GCAACCAATCCGACAGCCGACCTACATACCAACCAGCCCCTTTACCTACCCTCCTACTAGACCGCTCTCCTACCCCCTCGCCAAACGGCACCTCCTATGGCTCTCCTAACGAGTCCACCATCGGCCTCCTCGAGGACCTAGCCTCAAACCTACCTAGCGGCCATAGCTCACCGGCCCAAAGCGAGATCCACGTCCGAGACGGCCCCCGAAACACTAGTAGTGCCTACTCTCCTACACCCTCCTCTCCTACACCCTCCTCTCCTACACCCTCCTCTCCTACACCCTCCTCTCCTACACCCTCCTCTCCTACACCCTCCTCTCCTACACCCTCCTCCCCTAGTACACCGGCACCTCCCTCTTACTCACTAGGGACCCAGGGGCCTACTAGCCCTATCTACGGAGACGAACATACACCACCGCCACCAGATGTTGCAGACATACCTATAGGCCTAGGCCAAGACCGGTATAACACCTACCAGCCCCGAAACAAGTATCTACAACAGCTATTTGGATACAACCACGTACAGGCAAAGGACCACACCTTCCGTGGCAGCCAAGCCGCTAGCTTTGTGGCCGCCGCGGCCAGGTGTGCCTCTAGATACACACGCCAACCTACCGAGAAACACCTGCTAGACTTCCTACTACTACCGAAGGCTGGCCTTACCCTAGGCATCCAATCGGAGGAGTTTAGCACCCAATACGTCCTACAGCACTACCCGGACCTAATGCTACCCCCGCCAAGCCGCGTAGAAACCGATAGGGCCCAGGAATTTCTAGGCCAGCCAGACAACCGCCGGGATACCCCCGCTCTAGAGCCCAAAGACTGGTAGAAAAGGGCTATCTAGGCAGAGCTGCAAGGGCACTAGTAGACCCCTCAACCCTAGCTAGGAACTCGGCGGATATACTAGCCAAACTAAGAGAAAAACACCCGGAAGGGCAGCCCTACCCCTTTGCCTCCTCCGCGAGCCCTAGACCAGGCCCTAGGCCACTCCCGGAAGACATCTTACAAGCCCTGGCCTCATTTGCCCCGGATACAGCCCCTGGCCTATCCGGCTGGTCAGTCCCCTTACTAAGGGAAGCCTGTAAGCATAAACAGGTGGTAGACTTTCTTACCCACCTCTGCAAGCAGGTACAGAACGGCCTAGCACCAGGGAACCAGCTACTTACCGCATCGAGGCTTGTAGCCCTAGATAAGGAAGATAGCGGGGTCCGGCCAATTGCAGTAGGAGAGCTCATCTATAGGCTGGTAGCTAAGGTCCTCCTCCAANAACAGTTCTCTAAGGACCAACTAGCCCCCTTCCAGCTAGGGGTACAGAGCCCCGGCGGGGTAGAGCCAATCATACACCTACTAGGACACGCGGTAGATGGAAACCTTAGAGGATACACCCACGTCTGCTCTATGGACTTTAAAAACGCCTTCAACTCAGTCTCCCGAGCAGCGGTAGCCCACGGGATCCTAAGCTATGCCCCAGAGTTCTACAAGGCAGCTAGATGGGCCTACAACGAGCCAGCAGCCCTAGTGATGTATAACGGCACGGTAATTACCTCCTCGGAAGGGGTTAGACAAGGAGACCCCCTCGGCCCCCTCTTCTTCTCCCTAGCCATTCGGACCACCCTCCAACAGCTACAACAACAGCTACAGAGGTCAACCGGCTATAACAGACCCCTCCTATCGTCCTAGCATACCTAGACGACGTCTACATCATCTCAGGGCAACAGATCACCCTACAACAACTAGAAGGCTACCTAGAAGACGCCCCTATCGCCCTAAACATAGATAAGACAAAGACACACCCCCTATCGGCAATACAGACCACGGGAATGAAGATACTTGGCTCCTTTATAGGGCCAGAGCCACGGAAGGCCGAATTCCTAGCTACAAGGATAGAAGAACTCTAGACGGTGCTAGATAGGCTAAAAGACCTACCAAAACAACACGCACTCCTCCTACTTAGGGCTAGCACCTCTACACTACTCCGACACCTTCCTAGGACCATAGGATCACAAGGACTCCTGGCAAGATTCCAAGACATTGACACAAGACTCCTAGAAACCATAAAACACCTTCAAGGCTCAGAGGATAGAAGACCACTAGACCAGGACCTAGTAGCCCTCCCTACTAGGCTAGGAGGCCTAGGAATACCTCTCTACGCGGAAGTGGCTGAGCTAGCCTTCCAAAACTCACAGGCTATAGCAGACATCACCCTACAGAGGATCCTACCGCCAAAACTCTTCTGGCGCCTACCCCGAGCACCCTCGCCAGCCCTTAGCAACACTAGTATGGAAGGCCACCCCCAGACTAGCTATAGGCCTACACAAGGCCAAGAAGGCAACCTACAAGAGGACGGCCTAGAAGGGGACATAGACAAGGCCACAGAAGAGGACACACAAGGTCTAGACGAACAAACCACTCTAGGAAGCCAGGAGCAAGAACAGGTACAAGAACAGGAACAGGATCACTCCCAGGACCGCGGTAGAAGCAGGAATAGAGCAAACCAACAACCACAACCAAGCCTATCCTACCTCCTAGCCCAGGACACCTAACAACAGCCTAGCTTTCCCTAGAACACCAACAACTAGACCCCACTAGTACTGGCCCTGCTAGAACCATCTACCGAGCTGCAATAGACAAGCTTAACAGAGCTCGACTAGCTAGAGTACAGCAGAAGCTCTCTTTACAGCAAGAGAACGTACGGATCGAGAACTCAGCCTTCCTAGGCCGGAGATGGCTATCCGCAATGCCTACCTCACAGCCCCTTCTACTCTCGGACATGGACGTAGCCGCAGCACTTTCTATTCGGCTTCTTACATCCCCTGAAGAAGGCCAGGACATCTGTAGACACTGTGATAGGGCCTATACCTTCGCCCACGAAGACGCCTGCCGTGCTAGGACTAGACAGACAATAGTCAAACATAATAAGGTGTGCCAGGCGTTAACTACGGCCCTACAGACCGACCCACAAAACAAAAGTCACCCTAGAGCCACAAGGAGACTACCGAGGAATCCGGACAGACATTAGAATCGACAACCCTAAGGGAACCACCTACCTAGATGTGTCCATCATTTCCCTAGGTAAGGAAACCGCTAGGAAGGACCCTAATAGCACCCTATCGGCCGCGGAAAGGGCTAAGAAGCTCAAATACCAAACCCTAGGCCGAGCTTTTAAGCCGTTTATCCTTAGCCAAGGAGGCCTTCTAGGAAAGGAGACCTCACAAACCTACAAAGAATTCCAAAAGTCCCTTGGTCCTAGCACCTCGGAGTGGCTAGATAAGTATATCTCTACCACTCTAGTAAGACTCCGGGCTAGGAACTGGCTAGGATATGGTATAGACTAGATAGATTTCTTTTTTCTTTTCCTTTTTTCTTTTGTTTCCCTCTTCCTTTTTATCGTACCCTTTTTCTTTGTTTTTATATGAAAAGTAGTTAGACGAGCAAGAATAGCTTATATAGAAGCGTATCGAAATGCTGCTAACCCTAAACCCATAAGAGTATAGGGCCGTTAAAGATCTAGTAGTAAAGGAGGTTAAGCATTAAGTAGAGGAAAGCCTACGTAAGACCGGCTTAGGCTTATAGGGATAGTATATATAGAGACTAGACGCGGCGCTACTAGGGAGATATACGCTAAAGCTATACGGATCGCTTAACTTAAAATAAGTAGCGGTACTTATCTAAGCATAAACAAACTATATACACCTTAACTTAAACCTAGTAAGGCTCCGGGTTAAGGAAAGCGTAAATTACGAGTGTAGGATTAAAGATAAAACGGTAGCATATGTTTTACTATAGTGCCCTTAATAGATAGACATTAGATAAGAGATAAGAAAAGTAGTAGAAAGAAGGTAGGGGAATCTCTTTTACCTTCTAGAAGGCTATAGTAGAAAGAGAGAGTTATAAACGGAAAAGCTAGTAGATAGCCTAGGGAAAAGTAGGCACTAAATTTAGAAATAGTAAAGTTAACGATCTAGTTTCTTTAATAGACAACTAGAATAGGAGCTACGTACGTCGGTATAAGGATAGAGTAGTTAGAAATAGGAGTAGAAAAGTTTTTAAAGTTTTTACTAAATGCACTTAAGATAAAGTAGCAAAGGTAGCAATAAAGTAGTGTTTAGAATAGCTTATATAGGCAATAAGACTATAAATAGCTTATAAGAATTAACTAACTAACTAACTAACCTATTAGCTAGGCTATACGACCCTATTATTAGTAGGATCGTAACACTATGTATTATAGCTAACTATTCTAGAAAGAATAACTAGTTACGGAGTTAGACTTATAAAGCGGAGTGTTAAGTATAGTAAAGTAGATATAAGTAGTAGTATATACTAGAGGAACTATTAGAATAACTAATTAAGTTAAACGTAGGACTTTCTAGTAAAGACCTATCTACCTATATACTTAATAGATAATAAGTATATATAAGTCGTTTATAACTTATAAGGGTAAGCTCTTATACTTACTAAGTAAGAAAGTAAGGATTGACTTTATAGCTCTTAGGCTAAGGCCGTAAGCTAAAGATGCGACCCTGTCCGTATAGCTTACTAGCTTACTTACTTAGCGGGTAAGGATTAGTAACCGACTATTCCTACTTACTGCCTTAGTAGGTACGGACCCTTAGTCTAATAGCGGATCGTAACACTATGTTACCGTAACGTGTTAGTATTCTTATAGCTTAGTAGACCGATAGGAAAGTTTGTATAGCGTACTAGAAAGTAAGAAAAGTGACTAAGCGACCGTAGCTCTATATTATAGTAGAAAGAAACCATAAACATCTTAGAGGATAGGCAATATCTAAGCAGTAGGTATAGAAGACAAAGTGCGCGTACGACGGGAAGGTCGATAATGCTCGACACTATATTTGCATGTCTAACCTAGCTCTTACAAACGACTTGAGTATTTAGGGGTTGTATTTCTTCCTCTTATAAACATAGGCATAAACCCGGTTTAGCGTAAGGATCGAGAGGCTTTTATGTGTTTAGTGTGATCCTTATTTATCTTCTAATGCCCAGCCATAACAATACCCTCGGCTTTCCTCTGTGCAATTCTTGCTTTGATCTCGTCCTTTTTCGAAGCTCGGAGCCTTTGTGCATACTTGACACCAAATCCATGTTGGAAGACCTCGGCTGTCTCCTCTAAGGTCAAACCGCTCACTNNGGTGTAGATTAGCATAACGACCAAATCGAGAACAAATAGGCAATGTTAGGTACCTTCGGGGTAAAAAAAGATGATCAATATCCAACCAATGCCGCAACAGGCGGCGTAAAATCCAAAANNAGCGCCAGATGGGGTCAAAGATTTCATCATAGATAGAAAAGTGCTCGAGACAATTATGTTAGGACCCCAGTTGGCGCAGGTCAGCCACATTGTGCCTACTTTCAAATCAGTGGTGAGACAGGAAGATTCATGACAATGCTTACCTATAGCACGAACGTCCATCGGAAAGAAGTCGGTGCTCATCCAGGCGGTGTTACCGACAGATACACCGTAGAAGAATACGAACCAGATGATAAAAACGAGCACAACAATTGCAGGGGTTGTGACACCTTCGACTTCGAGTTCGAGAGTATGCAAATCGACGGGGATGAAGCTGAAAGCAATTGCGACCGCAATAAGTCCGGCTGACATACCCCAAACGGTACAGATCAAGATCTTGCGTCTCCCCACAGGATCTACGAGCATCATATTGACCCATGTCNNTGAGTAGAGATTAGCAAATCGAGGGTCACCTATGGCATGAAAGACGCTACGTACCATGATAAAGTTCGTGCCCGACACGACAAGTCCCACGGCGACGGGGTTAGAGAATCCTACGAGCGCGAACAGTGTTGAAGAATAATACATCAGAGTGTTAAAGCCGGACATTTGCGATATTACCTGTTTTTGTCAACCAAANGCATACTTCTAGGGCCATGGAACGCTTACCATAAGTCCACAAGCAGAAAGTAGTGCACGAAAGTTGGCGGGATCGGTATGCAGACGTTTTATTTTGTTCCATCTGGTGTCTCCCTCGTTCAATTCCTTCATCTCCTCGCAGGAAACACGAATCAGATTGACTTTATCCCGGATCTGCTGCTCCGAGGCTCCAGTATAGATTTTACGAATCACTGTCGTTGCTTCTTCATACTTGCCATGGTAAATCAGTTGACGGGGTGATTCTGGGCAGAGCGGAAGCAAACAAAGGAGTATGATGGCTGGAACAGCCCCCAGGCCAACCATGTAANNCTAGAACACACAATTAGTCCATGTCCTGTGTCGATCTTGAGAGACCACATACCGCCAACCATGAGAGACGTGTGCAAACCCTGCTCCTACACCGTAAGAAAGTACCTGTCCGCCTGTGATAGACATGTTGTTCAGGCCGATCAATTTACCACGGACCTTCATTGGTGACAATTCGGCGATATACAACGGCACAACCATGGCAGCGCTGCCGACTCCGAAGCCGACCACAAGACGTCCAACGGCCATCTGAGCAATCGAGTATGCAGAGGCTTGCAGTACCGCGCCAACGATGAACAGAACGCAGCCGACATAGATAGCACCTTTTCTGCCGTATTGATCAGCGGTCAGGCCAGCAATAATTGCGCCAATGAATGCTCCGCCTGAGCACAAAGACGTGATGAGCTCTTTCTCGTTGGAAGTGACGGGCCGGTTGTTCAGATCGTTGTTCAAGTAGACCAGCACGGCCGAAATGATGCCAGTGTCGTAGCCAAACAGACTACCACCTATAGAGGCGGAAAGTGCTACTAGCCACGTAAACCAGCCTGTCGGCAGCTCTTCGATGGAGTCGTGTTCGCCTGCATCGCCCGTCACGACCTCGACATGAATCGCGTCAGGTATCGTCATGGCGAAGTTAGCTTTCTCGAAGCTATTACGGTGGCTTGTGGCATTGAGGTTGTGGTCTTTCTCGTCGTTGGCTGCTTTCTCTGGAACGGACACCATGATGACGGATTCGAAATGGGGTCTGGCAAGTGTCTAAGAAGGATGGTTTGAGATGATTCATGAACATAAAGAGGGACACGTCGACTTTATGTACCAGCGGAACCTCACAAGCAACGCGGGGAAGTGTCTGGAGATACCCCATTTCCCCACAGTCATCATAGCTCGATGCCATGACTAAAATTCGCGTAGCCCGAATTTGCCGGGCTCACAGCCCGACATGCGCGGCGAGATTTGCCTAATGGGGAAGACTCAGCTCCAACGTCCATGAATTCGGTCCTTCTACTGACATCCATAGGGCATACATGGAACTCCTTATGCCGCATTGGCGCATGATTGTCTGCTCGGCAAATGATCAGCCCAATCAGGTGTGGTACATGACACGTCTGCTGGAGAAAGATTTCCATCTCAACAACAGCTCAATGGCAAGGACAATCCGTTCTTAGAACGTGTCGGAGGTGAAAATTCTTGATCATTGCGAGTCCGCGCCAGGCTCGACCCATCAGTTTGCCTGAGTTGTCGTGATGATGAGACAAGCTGCTATGTTCAACCCAGACAAAACTAGCTATTGAGAAATCATGAACTTATGCAAGCTTCAATCAGAAATGCGCACAAGACGCGAGTCAGTTGTTCAGGTCATGATTATCGAGAAATAGGTTTTTGCTCAAAGTTCGATGGAATCCAGACTACTCCATCGTTGTCTGAGCAACTCATGAGCCTCTCGAACCGGCCAAGCATGCAACGCCTCCATGTCAGATAACAAATCGCTCAGTGCTCTACGTTCAGCTGCATCTACAAAAAACTCGCCATAAAGTCTGATAGCCATGACAGCACCTACGAGCGCGGGCGGGCATTTTGGGTGACAAGCCGCTATGCCACAGATCTTGAGGATGACCGCTCTAACAGCGGCTTCCACCCGACGGCGTACGCCACTTGCGTTTAGGCCAGTGGAAGCCCTAGGCAGTGGTCAGCGGTTAGCATAGCACGTGGTATCGGCCATGCGTGAGATTATGTCTGACGTACTCTAAGATCGGGTTTTCGGCAATGAGCAACAATCGCGCCAATTCAAAATGTAAGATCCCGGTCACTTCCGCATCAGAACCATACCAAAGAGTCGGCAATACCTCCCCAGGGTAGTTCTGGGCGGTTGATAAAATATAGGGACAATCTTTTGCACATGTTCATCCTCTATTTCATGTTGTAATCTTTTCAACTTCACTTTATAGACTGGTCAGTAGTGACTCACAACTGATATTGAAAAGGCACAACTCACAATATTCGTCGATTGATCTCGCACCCCATCGCCATCGGGTCACCTCCGCTGCAAGAATGACCATCTTATTGACAGGAGAAGCGGTGACAATCTTTCCAGGAGGTAGGCTTATATCAAACGCACGCTGCTTTACGAATGCATTATAGATCTCTTGCCTAACAGCTGTCCAGAAAGCAGCCTCGGCGAGAAGTTGGCTTGGGTGAATTGAGGGCGCAGTGTTGGCGATGATAGATTTGATGATCGTGAGAAAATTGATCTGTGCTTCATCGTGAAGTTCTAATTCTTCATACTGTCGAAGTATGACTGCTGTGACGATCATGTTTTCTTGATTGTCTGCGTCGTGAAGTAATTGCATCTGGGAGAGCTTTGCAATGCATTTCAAGACATATTCCAAGGCAACGGAAGGGTCCGGCCGATCGAAAGTCTGCCCATAGTATACGATTCGCTGATTCACGATGTAGCGAGGGTTCCTGGGAAGATGCAGAGCAGCGACCGCGAAGATCGCGTACATGAGCGCCGGGCAATGCCGAGCACGCTGGGGTACGACAAGCTGGAAATGTTGTCTCATATCGCATAGATCGAACTTGTCCAAGTCAGTCTTCATCTAGAATCGCGATAGTGATTGCCTACCCAGTGGGCGATCTCTTCGATGAAGTACCGAAGGAAACATGCCTCTAAGATGTTGCTGTAAGGTTCATGTTTTGTTGCGTCAAGTTTCAAGATTGTGTCATCGGGCTCGGGGTATTGCGAAGAGGCCAGTGTATGGGGCTGTCCGTCGACACTGCTATAATTGGCTTGATCGTCTAAGCCCTCGAGATGTGTGAGAGGCTGTTCGTGATCCAAATCATCCCGTGGACGCGTCACAATACGCGTAGGATCCCCAGGACGAGACTGTTGGCGGACGTTGTGATAGTCGTCATTGTGTTCGACGAGACTCGATGGAGTAGTAAGAACAGAGATGCAGCTCGCTGGCGATGCTTGAGCTTGGTCATCTGCTTCAGAACCAGAACCTATTATAGTCCTTTGATTTTGCGCCGTCAGGTGTTGCGAGTCCCCGATCTCGACGTCTCGACCGACGTGATTGTTTGCAATGTCCTCGAGTGCGAAAGCGACTACGTATCCTTGTCAGCCTATATCTCTGACACCGGTATGATTGTTGAAGAATGCACTGCTTCTACTAGTGTTCGCAACCCATACTTGCTCATGGAACCTTGCACTGTAGTTCTTTGTAGAGCCGTGCTTGAAGATCGTACTCTTGGGTCTGCGAGCACATTCCAATCCTTTCTTCGAACATCTGCGGCAGATTGAAGGCTCAAGATCACCTGTCACACTCAGTTGAATGGCTCGAATGTTTGTAGTTCGTGTCTAACATCGAAGATGCTTTTCTTTACAGAGTTAGTGCAAGAGGCTAAAGGTAGAATTTGACGATGCTTACGCCGGCAATTTGTGCAAGGGTTGTCTCCTACTGGTCGTTTTGGCATAGGTTCGCAAGATCCTCTTCGTAGATTTTCGATTCTGAAGCTGGCGCTCGACAATCGTTGACTCGAATATGGCAAGAACCTCAACCCAACAAATCGTCCGAATGAACAACACAATCAGGCCGTAGGGCTAAGCGGGGCTGAGCTGCGGGGTCGGCGATGTATTCCCGAATAACACAAGCTAAGCTGCGGGGTCGGCGATGTATTCCCGACCAAGACAAGCTAAGCCGCGGGGTCGGCGATGCATTCTCGATCGAGACAAGCTAAGCTGCAACGAGCAAAAAAAACGCCGAAGGGAATCCCATGCGCCTTACGCGGCCTATCTGCTAGTAATCCACACTTTTACGATGTACATGTATCGAAGATTAATCCGTAGGGTACAATTCCGTCGCTTTTGTGATCGACATCTTGCCCTTCCTGTTTCTCTCTTCCTTGCATTGCTGCTGTCTGTGCTTTGACGGAGACTGGTTTCCATCTATCTGGAGAAAACATCCCTTCTCTGCTTCCTACAGTTCATCTTCTCTAGCTCTCCTCTACCACCTCAGGCCTAGCACGAACAAACAATGGCACCCTTACAACGCAAACTTCAAGTCGCCATCTCAGGCCTTGGCCGCATGGGCGCCCGCCATGCTCAAAACTTCCACGAACGCACTCCCCGCGCCGAGCTCGTTGCAGCTTTCACCCCCGAACCCAGGGAAGCAGCATGGGCTGCAGAACACCTCCCTGGTGTAATCGTCTACTCCGACTTTGACGAAATGCTCAATCATCCAGGTTTAGAAGCTGTGGTTGTAGCTACAGTAACTACTGCCCATGCTTCCCAAGCCATCGCAGCTATCAATGCTGGAAAACACGTGCTTTGCGAGAAGCCTCTCTCCACTTCTGTAGAGATCTCGCAGTCCGTGGTAGATGCAGCAAACAAGAGACCAGACCTCAAGGTTCTTTGTGGCTTTTCCCGTCGTTTTGACGCTTCATACCGAGACGCATTTGCTCGTATGGACAATGCCGCCATCGGCCGCCCTAGCATCTTCCGCTCTCAAACCTGCGATAAACTCGATCCTTCAGGTTTCTTTGTCGACTACGCTCAATTCTCGGGAGGTATTTTCGTCGACTGCAATATTCACGATATCGACTTGGCACTCTGGTTTNTCGGCCAAGATACGTTGGTGAAAAGTGTTTATGCAGTCGGTGTAACAGCAGTCCAACCCGGTCTCAAAAAGTGGAAAGATGTGGACAATGGTGTTGGTGTAGTTGAATTCTACGGAAACAAAATTGCGTACTTGTATTCGAGCAGAATGATGGCGGCGGGACAACACGATATGACTGAAATCATCGGCACAGAGNGAAAATTGACCGTAAACGCGAACCCCAACGGTACATTGGTGGAAATGTCCGAACCTACGGGAATCAGAAGAGAGATCCCTGGTGATTACTATGGAAGGTTCTACGAGGCGTTCGTTAGGGAGGCTAATGAGTTTACCGCTGCTTGTTTGGATGACACGAAGTTGCCTTTCAAGTTGAGTGGTGCGGTGCAGGCTGTCAAGATTGGTTGTGCTTTGCAAGAATCGCTAAACAGTGGAAAGAAGATTGAGTTTGATGAGACTGGTCGTAGGATTGAGCAGGCTTCTTTGTAGATAGAGAGATGCACAGTTGATTTAGCTAAACCAAACAATTGAATTTTCGCTTTCTCTTTGCCTCAAAGATGAAAGCAAATTTACTATTTGCTAGTTCAGAGCAGGAAGCATCTCTACTCCAACCAGCAAGTCGAAAAACACAACCAGAGCCCAACCGATAGCATTTAGATTCAAGAGACGCCTGTAATCTCTGCCATCATGACTCCCTGGCAAACTCAAGTTGTCATGCACAATGGAAAGATTCATTGCAAAGGGTGGGCATACTCGGGTGGTGGCCGTTCGCCAGAGCGTGCTGGGCTCTCTGCCGACGGAGGCTTCGGTCGGTACTAAGAACCACTAGAAACCTGTCACAAAAGCGCAAGTGATCCTGGCGAACTTGGTCAATGGCCCTTTCGTGTGATGTGGAGGGTGGATTGACTTTGTCGCGTGTGGGACAATTCCCTGAACACACAGCCATTGTCTGTAAGAGCGGCATGGAACTGGGGAATACATGTGACAAGCTCGGTTCATCGTGTGAAGGTCTACAGTATCAACAGGTCCAGACCTCCTACTGCGAAAAAGCTGGCGCACTGATAGTCCTCCGATTTCTATCACATGGCCTATATCACACAAGGATGCGATGACTATTAGCATGCGAGATGTGAATAAGTATTCTAATGTAGTGAGAGTTCGCTTTTGCGTTTTGATGCGGAACATGTCAATATTGATGTTGTTCTCTATACATACATACAGGAGCTTGTTAGATTATCGTGCATTGATCGTAGTATACGCACCCTATATTATATGGCGTGATCTCTACTGTACTAGTCTATCTCTATAGTATGTCCTTACGACTACTCTTTCCTCAAGTATTATATAGGCTTAGAGAGTGCTAACTTAGCTAGCAAGAATCAATATATATATATATATATGTATTAGAGTGGATTCTCGTAGGCGGACTCCTTCCTTGTTGTGCTTGCGACCGCGAGTCGTGTTCTTTTTTCTTGCTGGCATCGTGCCACGGGTGCTGTGTAGAGGACACTTTCTCGGTGGTCGCTGTTCTCGGACGTTGCGGTGGGAGGATAGGGAGATGGATGTGTCGGAGGAGAATGCAGACTCGAGCGGTGATCGTTGGGAGTAAGCGAGCAGAGGAGATGCTGGGCGGCTCTCGCGGAAGAGCACACAGATTGGAATCCATGGCAGCAGTGCTTGCTGAAGGAGCCGGATGGTCCAGCTGGAGAGGCAGTCAGTAATGTTGGGTGGAGAGAGAGTATGATACTCATTTACGCTTGCGACAAGAGTCTGGGTAGTTTGGATACCGGGAGAAGAAGGGGAGTTAGTCGTAAGGTTGAGCAAGAATGACGAGACTGAGCTGTTGTTCAGATGTTGTACGAAATCAGAAGCGCCGGCCCGCTTCTTCGTGTGCTGATGTTTTTGGGGGTTGTGTCTGGGAGAAGAGGAGAAGGTTCAGGATGGTCGACGAGTAGATGGTAATCTCGCGGAGACCGAGACCGAGCAGAGACTCGTCTTGTGAGATGGACCGGAGTAGTTGTGTTGCCTCTGCGGACTGTGGAAAGTACTTGTAACCGAACATTACCCCTTGGTCGTCTGAGAGCTGTCGAGAATGGGGCATATAGGGAGCGCCCAGGAGCATGAGGGCTCGGTGCAGATGGTTGATCGATGAAGCAGTTAAGAGAAGCAAGTGTCAAACAGTCGATACTGGCGTGAACGATCTAATGGAGGTTGCTGGTCGCGGGTGAGGACTTCGGATGTGAAGGTATCGTGTACTTGAGCGACATCAGTGTTTGAGATCGGTGTGGTCGAGGTGCAAGATTGAGGCATCTCTATGAAGAAGAGCTTGCGGATATGGGTAAAGAAGTGCTGATATGGAAGAGATCGTGGGTTGGAGACAGGTTGTCGGTCTTCTAGAAAGGATAAATAGTTGGATCGCTGATGATGAATCAGAACAGATACGCAAAGATGTGTGGCGTTGCCGGCTGCGAAGGACGGCCGTCTTAAACGTCTGGGACATGGCGTTCGAGACTCGGATGTGGGACATACCATGCCATGGTGGATTGGATGTCGACAGGAAGTACCAGAGCAGGAAGGCGAATGTGAGACGATAGACTGCGTCTGTGGCGTTGAACCTGAACTGGTTGAGCTTTGTGTCATGGAGCATGGAGCAGTGCAAGAACATACCTGAACTGTCTGGAAGAGTGTCTCAAAGCCGCCTGTTGGTGTGTTGCTGGCAAGGAATGCTGGAACAAATGATTGCGATCTGTCGATGTGATCTGACGTTTGGTAAAGATCCTGCGGTTGATACGATCCAAGACGAGAAAAACGGAAAGCTCTGCTCTACTCCTTGACAGCTGGCCAGACAAGCAGCTCCGTCCGTCATGAGGGTGGAGCATCCAACTTACAGATGATGGTTAACGACCACGACCATAACCATCCACCGAGATTGCTAGCTGACAGGGTGACACTGGCGATGAGCTTTGACCTGCGCTCCATCAGAAATTATATCTGATGCACTGCTTGATCTCTGCCATGGACTCTCGAGGCTGGCTGGCGCCGGTAGAGGCGGAACACTTCCGCAGGCGGTGTCGAGTCTCTGCAACATCACTGCGTCTCCATCTCTCCTCTCCAAGTCCGACCATGACCATGACAACCACGTCCACGCACACTCTGCAGCACCTGGCAAACGACCCTTGACCTTTAGACCTAGCCACAGCTCAACGCGCAAAAACTATGCCTCCCGTCGTGTCTGGTCCGAGCAACGGAGTTCCGAGTCTTCCACTACGCAACTCTCCTCTCCTCCACGAGCCGTCCTCACGCCGCTTCGCTACATACGACGTCGCAATACAGCGCTATCTTCCACCTATCTCTCTTTGGATTGAAGAGTACGCAATTGAAGAGACGGATCGAGAAAGGGCAGGGAGACACACACATACATTTGGGAGAGAGCGGGAGACAACGCACAAACAACCCACCGTTTTAACATGCTAAGTCGGTAATTGCGCTTTTGTGAGACATCTCGGGTGGGCTTCGGAACTAGGCAGCCGTCAGCAAACATGTCAGCGGGCCAAGCGCACCGCTCTTACAGACTCGTGGGTTGGGGCCATAGGCGTGGCGAATGGTCTGATGCTGCTGCTGCTATTGCTGCCTCATGAGGTGGTCGACTTGTCAAATCGTCTCGTCTGCTCACGCCACACCATACTTGCAATCCACGCGACACATACTTGCCCAGACGGACCGCAGGATTGACGCACACAGTACCTGACCAGGGATCAGACAAGAGCATGGATGTAAGCAACAAGGACAAGGACGGAGAGCCAGGCGATCGAAACCAGAGAAGAGCAGTTCGCATGGCTAACTATGGAAACCAGAGCAGAGCAGAACAGCGACCCGCAGCCAGAAGACAAGAGCAGTCGAAGTTAGAAGACAAGAGCAGAGCAGTTCGCATGGCAAACGCTAGGTACCGGAGCAATCACCAGGGCAGTTTACGAGAACGTAGAACGACGACGACGAGGTTCTTCCTTATCAGTAGCAGCGGCAGCACTCTGCTTCTTCTTCTTGTTCTTCTTCTTCTCATCTTCCTCTACGGCGATAGCAGCAGTGATAGCACCATCTCCCTCTCCTTCCTATCCCTCTCCTCCTCCCTCTTCTCTCTCCTCTCCCTTGCCTCCTACGGAGTCAAGAATAGAGGCGGCCTTCTTTCCACAATCCCCGACTCCCATCCGGCTATTGCCCAATTCGTCTTCTAGACTTTCTTCGGAGGCATGATCATTTATGATAAGGCTAAAAATCAGAGTCAACTTACAAAGCTTCGTAGACTTACTGTGATTTCTACGCTCGACAACAGGCAAGAGCAACTAGCGTTGCCATTACTAAATACTCAATATAAGACATCTAATTATTAGTTGTAGACGGACGTTCCAGCATTATAAGAAGAAAAGAAAGCAATATCTCTATACTAGTCTTATTAAGTATTACGGTACATGAGTTACACAACTTATAGTAGATCTAGTAGTTAAAAGTAGATCAAACTTATATAGCCCTAAAACGGCATTATTTTAATTTCTAACCCTAAGCATATATAACTTAGAATATCTTTCTATAGTGCTAATGCATTTTTAGTATATATAAAAATTGTAAAAGCGCTAGAAGTCTATTGTTTGACTAAAGGAGAGTTTATGGTTTTGTAAAGAGATGCTATTTAATGAATACCTCTAGTACATCCGATGTATATTTAGTCCCTGCTTTCTACAACCCTACCTTACATCTACCGTTTCCCAGAAAATTTAGGACTAGAAAAACTTAGTAAGAGATAAGTACCCTAGTCTTACCATGCATAGAAAGCATAGAGAGAAGAACGTACCCCTAAGTCTCCGTTCCGAAGGCAGGAAANGCAGGTGCCAAGGTGCCATCGCAAGAAAATCGGACGAGGAATTGCGAGTTAGGAGTGTTACTGTTTAGGATCACAGTACCGTCCGGAGCTGCGACAGAGAGGTAGAAGCTAACAACTCCNTGGGCCTGACCAAAGACGATACGGAATGGCAGGTACTGTCCTTGAACGAGATCGATAGTAGCGGAAGCCAAAGGATGGCTGGAAATAACAGCGGTCGCATCGGCATTAGCACGAGTCCACCCCGAGTATGCGTTCGAACCGAGCCATAAGAAGGCGATATCGTCGGGCTGACTTAAGGTAAAGGTGTACGTGCCACTCGATTGTGCGAAGATATATCCAACATGGTTCAAGGTGAAATAGTCAGACTGGAAGGTTTGGGTGCTTCCGTAGATGGAGATCTGGCCGACGTTGCTCTCGTACAGTCCACCACATACGGAAGCTGTAGCTTGATATTCGGGATTTTTCGATTTGATCACGGCTGGATCGTAGCCGCTGTAAACATAGTCGGAGTTGTACACTGGATTCGGATAGATTGCNCTGACCAGATATCAGCAAATGTGCCGGATGCAGCAGGAGATCATAGATGCAATACTGACCCATTGAATGCCCTCGTTATTGCAGCTTGCAGGCGTAGGTGCCGCTAGCTGCACAGTAGTGGTTGTAGTCACATCGCGGGCCCGCGTTACAGTGGTGTCGATAGTTGTTATCGTTTCAGTGATCGTGGCAGTCTCAGTAGTCTGCAGAGTGATAGCTGATGGCACAATTGTCACATTGTTGCTAACGACCGGAGTGACTGTTGATGTGCTGAAGACAGTCCGGACATCGGTGATCGAGATGGTGGGTACAGGTTGTAAGCAGGAGCATACAAAGGCAATATCTGAAGATGGACGTTCTAGGATGCTGGAGAAAACACTGGCCTGAATCGAGGGTAGCACTTGTCTTTTCCGATAGTTTATGCTCTCTGTTGTCAATGGTAGGGCCGTTTCAATCGTGGTACTGTGAATCTGATCAGTTCGCCTGCATATGCTTACAAGCGGTACGCAAGACCTACTAAGTGACAGTTTGATCGATCGTAAGCTCACTCGGAACGATGACTGTAGTGGTCGTAGATGCCTCAAATGTTTGGATGATTGTCTGCGTAGACATGGTCACATTCATAATGACAGTCGAAGCTGGACCTGTAGTTGTCACAACATCGGTGACTGTGGCATCGAATAGACTCGTAGAAGCAGTGACTGGGTAGATCGAGGAGCAGTAAGAGCTAGCCGGGCCATAGTCCAGCAAATCGTTTGCGACCTCACAGTTGGTGAAAGGATCGACAGGTGTGGTTCTTGGCGCAGCACTTGTCGACGAGTTGGTAACCGGTCTTATCGTGCTCGAAACGAAGCTGCTGCTTGTTGAGGGATGAAGATGACCGACGAATTCGAGACAGACGATCGCGTGCTCATGGCGAAACTCGAGCCGTTCAGGGAGGATAAGGTGCTTGGGATTGATATCGGAACCAGAGATGAGCTCGTCACAGGCAGAACCACACTCGAGCTAGATGTTCGACGGGAACTCAAGGTTGTCGAGATGACCGAAGAGTTCGAGATAGGATAGGGGACGCCGCTCGAGCGAGATCTGCTACTAGATTCAGAGGTGGAGCTGATGCTGACGCTAGTAGTACTTGTTGAGCTTAAGGCGGTGGGACTGACCCTTGAGCTGGTGCGTACCCCAGACACTGAAGAAATCGAAGCGCTAGTCGACGACAAAGGACGTGATAACCCCGAGGCGCTTGCTGATGCGAAGGTGCTTGCGGAAAGGCTTGTCGAAGGGCTTGTTGAAGGGCGTGTCGAGGAGCTTGCCGAAGGGCTTGCCGAAGGGCTTGCCGAGGGGCTTACCGAAGGGCTTGTGGGCCTGAAAACAACGGTCGCAAAGATGGTTCCGGACGCGGTCACTCGACCCTGTGCATCAATCTGAGTCAAGATGCTGCACACAGAAGTGCTATCGTCAAACGAGAGAGCTACGCAGTCTCCTTCACTGGAGCATTGTGAGAGGCATGAGTAGAGGGCCGCAGATACGCCGGGCAAGTTGAAAGCTTGACGTTTACGTAGGTTGTTGACGATGACACCATTATATGAGGTGTCACATTCTAGCATAAAGACAACATTGTTGACAGTTGCCATACTTGAAGGACAAATTAAGCTCGTGGGCGCGGCTGTGATCGTATTAATCTCTGTCTGTGTCCCTGTCTCTGTCTGAACAGTTGTAAGAGTGCTGGTGGCCGTTCGCGTGATTGTTGTCGGGATCTGATCAACGATATATTCGATGATGTAGACATAGATGATCTTCACAATATATTCGGTTGAGACTGAAGGTACCAGAGCAGTTGGTAAGGGTCCATGGCCAGTCGCAGTCACTTCGAGGACAGTCGACTGCACCGTACAAGGGCAATCTGTGAGAACGACCTCACCACCAGTGACTGTGGTCACACCCATCTGGCATGTAACCACTTGACCTTCATTGGCAGTGAAGGAGGAAGGGTGAACGACATTGGTGATGGTTGCCGCGGCAGTATATGTGTAGCCACTGTCAGTGGCCGAGCCAGGCATTACCATCAGATCGCTGATGGTCCTCTCGACAATCAGGCTAGTCGACTGGACAAGAGTGGTTTCGGTGCCAGAGATGGTGACGACCTGTCCAGCTTGACAGTTTGACAATGTCTCGTAGACGACGTCAGCGTTGTTGGCGACTGCGGCAGGTGCAGCGGTGCACTGAGCATTGCACAGAGTCACAGTCGTGGTAGGGCATGAGAGTGACGAGAATAACGTAGACCAAGACGTGTGGGTCACAGTGACAGTGACGGCATCCATAGTGCCATTGCGACGATATGCCAGTGCGTTTGTGATCCCCAGAATCGAGGCTGTGGCCAGTATGCAAGAAGCACGCATGGTTCCAAGCGTTGTATCGGAGTATACCAAAGAAGAAAAAGCGAGGGTAGTTGTGGGTTGACAGATGCTTGACAAGAGGGAAATCATCAAGTAGTTATAGTGGTCACGTCTCGGGAATAACATCTTGTAAAGGATCATATCCTACCGTTATGCTCATGTTCAGCTTAGAGAGACTACTGCTGTGTTGAATCCGCTGACTTCTACCGAAGAAGTCGACAATTACCCCTTGGGGTATACCATGTAAGAGTCTGTCTCGTATGTCGCGTTCGCCGAGACTAGCACGAGACTTCGCATGCATAGTGGATTCAAAGAGAGATGAGATACAAAACAACCGCGCTTGAATTGTATCCTCCGATAGCAGCCGCTTGTAACTCCGCTTCAGCCAGACCACCGACGTCTGAATGGTGTTTATGCTGCTTTCTCTACCTTGAGATTGACTTCTCTCTCTGATGGCGATAGTGTGACTTTGCAATACGCTACATAGATTGTTAGAGCAACGGCAGTACCTCGTTCGGGTCGGATGATGGTATACGCGATATCAATGAGATTGGAAAGCCAGGGGAGATCACGTGCGGAAGAGGGAAGCTGCTAGTTTTTCGGACTACAACGGGAATCAATTTGTCTCCAGACTTCAGCTCAACGGCTGTCAGCCTCCAACGGCTATTCAGCTCACGTCAGTCCATCAACACAGAACCATGAGCTGACAATCCTGCAGGAGTCTGCAATCTCCGTGAATCCAATTCTGACTATAGGAGGAGACTTGAGTCATGGTGGGGCTGATGATGTTGAAATAACGCAGGACCCTGACCTCGACCTTTGAGGCTACAGGATGTCACCTCGGCTCGTCGGCTCGAAAGCTACGCGCGACAGAAACGCGCATGACTGTCTTGACTCGCGACTCCAAGCAACTCATGCAAGAAAGTGGGACCCATCGCCAAGTCCTCAAGATGTGCCACGACTAGATGGCTCTCGATCGAGAGGAAGATGTACAACGATATGTTCTCACAGCATAGTTCTGCTAGTCCTCTTCCTCAAAAAGATACCCACTTGTATTGTGTAAGCGGAATCCATCGCAAAGACTAGATGAAAATCGCTCAGGTAAAGACAAACACAGTAGTAAAGACAGACAGAATAAGACGAACAGAAAATCAAGAACGGACAGAATCGCAAGGACGGACGGAATGGTAAAGACAGACAGAAGCAAATGCACTCGTTGCCTGACAACACAAAAGACCAGACAGGAACCCGTCAGCAGATTCCAGAGATCAAGTCATCTAGAGTATACCGCCAACCCGATACCCATCGATGCATCTAAACGGCAGTCAAAACACTGCTGTCATCACTCCTCTCAATGTACTTCTCACTTGAGAGCTTCTTTCCATAGCCCTTGCGACGCTTGATAGCCTTCCAGGCCTCGACAAGCGACACAAACAGAACAACACTTCCAAACACCAACCCCCACTCCCAGTTCAGAGCGGTGTGTCTGAAAACTTGTCTATTGACAACAGGTATGTAAATGATAAGGATAGGCGTCAGCAACCCAGCACACACCGAGTAGAACAAGAAGCGGTTTTTCATCAGATTACCGATGAAGCTGGTGGAATTGTCCATGTTGAACAGCCCAAGAGTGAGGTGCTTCGCCTCCCAAGCCATTACGGATAGCAATACTGTGAGGACGCTGTATGCTGTGCCTCGAGCTCGATAAGGCAAGTCGCAGGATGGATTGTAGGACTCGTTGCAGTCATAACCCAAATCCCCATTACCGACACCGAAAGCGACAATGACATAAGAAGCCAGACACAGGGCTCCCATGAAAGTGCCGTAGATGAATTTGTCGACGATAAGCTCTTTTGTGAACACGCCAGCTTTGAGACTGTGTGGAGCGCGGGTCATAACATCAGCGGATGCCTCTTCCATACCAAGACCAATGGCCAAGAAAGAGGAGGTAAGAAGGTTGGCCCAGAGAATCTCGATTGGCGAGAGTGGAAACACGGACACGTTATGATGATCCTTGAATGCCAAACCGGTGAGTAGCAAGATGACTTGCGAGATGTTCGAAATCAGCAGATGAAGCAAGAACTTCTGGATATTGTCGAACAGACGACGACCCTCGCGGATGGCGGAGACAATGGACGCAAAGTTGTCGTCAGTCAAAACCATGTCTGCAGCCTCTTTGCTAACATCGCTGCCATTCAGACCCATAGCAACACCGACATCAGCGCCCTTGAGAGCGGGCGAGTCATTCACACCATCGCCTGTCATGACACAGTAGCGACCACGACGGTGAAGTGCTTCCAACATGCGAAGCTTGGTGGTCGGACTGCAACGCGCGAGGACAAACGGTAATGGATTCATTACATCAAGAGCGTCATCAGTCAGCTTGTCAAAATCCATCGCAGTCATCACAGCAGTCTGAGCATTCGAGCCATATACGTCAGGCCCAAGGATGCCAATCTCTTTCGCAATCGTGGTCGCTGTCTTGAGATGGTCTCCAGTGAGCATGTGAACCACGATGCCAGCTGCTTGACATTGCTTGATTGCGCCAGCAGATTCCAAGCGAGGAGGATCGTAGAGTCCAACAAGACCAGCAAAAGTAAGCGAACCTTCGGCCTCAACAAAAGTACGCTCGGTAATAGATCCGAGATCGGCTTCATCGAGATGACGGTAACCAAGACAGAGAACACGTAGACCTTCACTGGCCATGGTATCGACTTGATGCAAAATTTCGCGACGTTGACCATCCTCCATATCGAGCAAAGACAGAAGTGCCTCGGTAGCACCCTTGGTGAAGGATACAATAGTGCGATTTCGTTCGGCGAGGCTGTAGACAACAGACATGCGCTTGACAGACGAGTCGAAAGAGTGCTCTGTAAGCAGAGACATGCCAGTACGAGAGAGAACTTCATCTTTGCCATGTCCGACACGGCGCGCCAGAACTTGCAAGGCGATCTCTGTGGGTTCGCCAGTGGCAGACCATAGGGTTTGATCGTTGTGAGGTCCAATAACGTTGGACATGTTGCACAATGCGATGGTCGAGAAAAAGTAATGGAGCTCGTCAATCTCATTCAACGAAGCTGGGCCAAGACGAACATCATCAATCAATACATCTCCGCGAGTCGGATCGAACGGGCTGAATTCGTTGACAACTTTCAAACGTCTTCCACTTGGAAGAAAAGCTTTCCTGGCGAGCATCTTGCCTTGAGTGAGGGTACCGGTCTTGTCGCTGCAGACGTTGGTGACACCACCGACAGCCTCGAGAGCGGCTTGCTTGCGGACAATAACATTGCCAGCAGCCATGGCCTTGGAGCCAATAGCCATCGTGATGGTCAGTACAGCAATAAGAGACTCTGGAATGACCGCTACAGCGACACAGATGCCGTAAATCAGTATTTCACCGTCGATATCCCAAAGACTGGTGGAGAAGACGATGATCGCCAAGAGAATGGCGAGTGCGAATAAGAGTAAAGCAAAGTAGGATAGCTTGACCTGGAGAGGAGTGCCAATAAGTCCAAGCGCGCTCTTGATACCATGGAGAGATCGTCCTAGCACACGAGAGACGGAGGACGAGCTGTCTTCAAAATCTTTCTTCTCGCGAAGGAGCTGAGCGATCCTGCCAATTTCGGTGGTCATACCAGTCGCGGTAACGATACCTTGAGCTCTTCCGCGTGTGACAGTCGTGGAAGAGTAAGCCATGTTGATACGATCACCCAGAGGACATTCAGTCTGAATGAGAGTTTCGAGGGCATCCTTGGTGCAAGGTCTGGATTCACCAGTAAGTAGCGCCTCGTCGGTTGCCAGATTGATGCTTGAATAAAGTCTCAAATCGGCAGGTACAATATCACCAGTGGCAAGCTGTACAACATCTCCAAGAACCAAGTCTTCGGCTTTGATACTCAGCATGGTACCGTTCTCACGGATCACACGACAAGCAGGTGCTGCCATGGCACGCAAAGATTGGATCGTTTGCTCAGCGCGATAGTCCTGGAAGAACCCGACAATGATGTTCAGGACGATGACAGCAGTAATGACACCACCTTCGATAAAGTCTCCAGTACCGTAGGATAGTGCCATTGCAATGGCCAAGACAAGGGTCAAGCTATTAGATACCTGTCGAAGAAGAATCTTGTACCAGGTTACACCTCCAGAGCTTTCGAGCTTGTTACGACCATATTTTTCGCGACGCAAGGCGCAATCAGCTTGGCAGAGACCTTTNACTGTCTTGATATCAGTACGATCATGATCTCTGGTCTTGTCAACTTACTCAACATCGGTCTGAAGGCGTCGTGCAACTTCGATTCCGGTCAGGGTATGAGCACAAACAGCAAGCTCATTATGATCATGGTCGTTTCCGACTGCGATCGTGGATATGTTTTCTATGCAGCGAGTCTCGCCNCCTGGCTTTTCAGTCAGATAATGGGACGAGCCCGCGCTTCGTATAGGCGGTTCATCGACGGAGCCGTCGAGAGTTGCGGTAGTGCCGCGACTTGTAGGTGTGATGCCAGAGTCACCCTGATTGTGGACTTCATAAGGATTGATGTAGGTTTCTCCCATCGATGTTGGCGAAGCAAAGCGTTTAATCTGAAGATGAATGACTAGTGAAAGCACAGTCTCATAACGTTGGTGGTGGATGCAAGAAGTGCGGGGTGTCAGACCTGATGATATAGGTAACCAAGGCTTATAGACGCGGCATCTTATCGTCCGATCGAAGATACATGTGACGAGTTCAACCACTCAATATGGTGGTCAAGACTAGGCCAGATCTTGGACGGCGAATCAGTGTACGAAAATCTGGGGTGGCAGTGCTCTTGGAAGCTTGGAAACTCTTTGTATCAACGTAGCACTGACTTGGCAGTGCTGGTTGTGATAGTTGTGTATCTGGCTGTCTCTCTAACTTTGCGGGGTGAAGGGCGAGTGCGATCGCGTCTTGCACAGACGTGTATTGATGAGTGCCGAGAGATCTCTGCTTGAGCTGTTTTTGTGTGCAAAACCTGCGCGACGCTCCACTGACATCGCCTAGGAAGACTCACATTTCTTTTCTGTCGTGGCGAACATCATCGCGTGGAGTGCAGAGCATTGCAAAGGTCATTGGTTGATTAAAGACCGACAAGAAAGCTTGTCGTCGACATGTAGCAATACGAGTGGGTATGGGCAAGGTCACACATTGTGCATCGAAGTCGAACTTTTCAGACCGGGCAGATATGATGATTTGAGATCATGTGATGTTTCGAGCCGCCTACTGTATCTGACCCAACAAAGCGGGATTCTCCTCAACAGAAACAGCGTCGAGAGCAAACCATCTTGATAGATACTCCACACCCGAATGGCAGACGCGACAGATCATACTTGGGCACGCAGCTGTTCACAGGATCCATGTATTTGGCAGCTGCTATGTGCTTACTGTCGCTTCGGGTGTGGAAAATCAGCCAAGACCAGCGATCATCAGTCCGTGGCCAGGATGCGCCATCCGGTCAAGAATTGGAGCCATGTACCAAGACTTTGCCGAGGTCTCAGAGCTGAATTTCACAAAGTTTTGATCTAAAGTCCATGTTTTTAGTATTACTTAGGTATCGTGTCAAGCTTGTATCAATTGAATCGATGACTCTCTATCGTACCTAAGTCACTGGGCTGCCCGCTTCAAAACATGAATCTGGACTAAACCTGTTCTGAAAACAAGTACTAGGTCTCGCGATCTCAGATCGAAGGAATGGATCCCAGCTGCCCGTTGTACTCGACTTGGCCCTCGCTGGTCCCTTCAAGCAGGAACGAACCGAAAGCAAGCCATCTCTACAGACAATCCAGGCCCGAACGCAGTTGCGACTACGAGTTCGTTGTTCGTACCCCTGGAGCGTAACTTGTCAAGTATCGCAAGCACAGTCGGGCTCGAAGAGTTGCCTCGAGTCTTGTATATTTCACGCGTCGCACGCAATTGCTCATCAATCAGACGCATGGCTTTTTGTACTCCGTCAATGATGGCCTGACCGCCAGGGTGCAGCGCCCAGTCGAAGTCTTCGATGTCCAGGTTGTCGCAATTGGTAATCACCCGGATGGACGTCAACAAGCTTCGAAACATCGGGGCAACGGCAGCAACAGTATACTTGGGAACAGTCCTGTTGAGTACAGTGCGATAGCCTATNGTCGCAAGTCAGCATTGTTGTTCCAGACCGCTCGTTCTGGTCATCGACACACCATCTGCTTCTGCACGAAACTCGAGATCGCTAGTTGTCCCAGAAATGACCGCACTGTCCCAGTCCAACAACTCAAATACTGGCTTGATCCCATCTCGCAAGCCCAGATCATTGCAAAGAACAAACGCGGCGGCAGCATCAGAAAAGAGAGTGCTTGCGATACTGATCTGCGAAGGGTCTGCGCAATTCGCAGCAGCGTCAAATTCGTATCGGATGCCGGGNGTAGTAAGTTCACAAGCGAAGCAAAGTATCCTGGCAGGTCGACCTCTCATGGTGGCTGCACATGCAAGCTGAGCGGCAGTGCGCATGATAGCCAATCCACCAGCGCAACCAACGCCATGAAGCAGGGTACGGTCCACAGAAGTCGACAGGCTGAGCTTCTCGTCAACCAAGAAGTCAAATCCTGGATTGCCCTGGTTGGTACATGTGACAGCGACTGTGTGGGTGATGTCAGTAGGTCTACAAGTTGATTCTCTGATTGCCTTATTGCAAGCCTTTACGGTCAAGTCGATGCCTGCAGTCCGGAAGAGAACATCCATGTCTGCGATTGACGGCGGCATGTTTTCTGTGCCATATCCGGTCTTGTAGTCCCGTATAGCTGACCGTGTTTCAATTCCAGTCGTTCGGTTGATCCTTAGCAATCTTTTGATTCTGCGCATCTTTGTTAGTGACTACGAGAGCTACGATAAGTGTCTTGCGTACCCAGAACTTCTCACATCGTAGAAACGTTTTGCAAAAGCGTCCAGACTTTCAGAATCAAGTATGTGAGGAGGGTATTGAGTACCGAGGCCGGTAATCCATAGACCAAGTGATACTCGGTCGCTCAGGCCTGTGTTGCAATAGATCATGATGGAAAAAGGAACTTGGATGCGACCTGGTTCTCGGTTTCCTTCTGCGGAAGATCTGGCACGATATATACGTGCCTGCAGTAGCGCTTCGGAGAGAGCGATAACGCGCAAGCGACAGTGGCTCAAATGCGAGCAGTTGATAGGTTGCACTATGAGTAAGCTGCATCAAACTACTAGAACATCAGCCTGGCCGCCCCATGGCGCGCCCTTGACCACACTTAGCACTTGCGTCGCATTCCCGTATAAGTGGTCGGTTCAAATGATCCCTCTCGTGCATGACCGAATCTAAATGACTGCAGCCATTACCAAGCTGACCCAAGCAGGATGCCTGCGGCCGACAGGGAGCGTGTGGCTTGCAGATTTCCTTTGTTCGACCTTGATTACACTTGCAAATCGTTGTAACCATTGACTACGCAGAGGCATGGATGTGCGCGCCACTCATCAGGTGTGAAAAGACCCTGTATGCCATGCGACCGGAAGCCTGTGATTGACTTCACAGCGATGCGAAGCTCTTGGCCTTGTAAATGGGTCTCAGCCCTTAGTAAAGGGTTCTATGAGGCAGGAGAACATCAACTGGAGGTTTCCCAAGCATTGAAGGCTGTATTGTCAGATGAGACTTGCCCGCGGAGACTTCCGAGTGACCTGAGAATAGTATGGCAAGAGCAGAGACGTGTTACAAGATACGCTTAAGTCACATCGCTGCAGATCAGGTCCGACTTCCGACAAGCAGAGCTGTTGGAAGACGAGCTATCCTTGACTGATGTTGAGAAATTTCAGAACAAGTGAATATTGGACGACTGAAATGACTTGAGTGTGCAAAAACGCCAAGCCCGAGCCGCGTCAACACCAAGCCCATAAGCTCCGCCGTGGACGCTTCTCTCCTGGCTCCTCCTCCAACAACTCAAGATACAGATTCGATATGCATTGCGCCCCTCTGAATGGACTAGAATCATAGAAGATTCAGTTGCCAATGAACAAATTGTGTGGCACTCGTTGCAAGCCATTGACCTGGCAAAGACTTTCGACGAGAATGTCACTGTTCCTGCCTCGTGGGTCAGGTTGACCAGTGGCGAAACCTTGCCTATCTTGGTAGTCTTGGTCTTGCTTGGCCAGTCTTCTGTCATGACTACACAACCAAATCAAAATGATCACATCATCCACCTTGTTACCATCCCTAGCACCTCTGCTTTCACATCTCATCTCTATCCACGTCTCTCGCTCTGACAAAACAATGGCTGGTTCGTTCCTCGCCTATGAAGAGCCTTCTAGCATGTAGTTCATACTCCTCATCATCGCCCATGACCGCTGATCCACTCGACAGNTCGTCCTCATCCTGGTCCTAATTTCGTTCTTCTTCTTCCTTTCTCTCGCAGAATGGCTGTCATCGATCGTCTTCCGGGCTGGGATCATTGGACCCATCATCGTCGGCATCGTCTATGGCATGCCTTTGGCCGACATACTTCTTGAGATCTGGCAGGAAACTTTTCTCGCCATTGGATACATCGGTCTGATTCTTATCATCTTCGAAGGCGGTCTCACGTCGCGTATGGATCTGCTCAAGCAAAACTTCTTCCTGAGCATGCTCGCCGCAACCACAGGCGTTCTGTTCCCCATTGGCTTGTCTTATCTGCTTCTCTATCTCGGCTTTGGGTATGGCGCCGTGGAGACCTTCATAATTGGTGCTGCTCTGTCGACCACCAGTCTCGGAACCACGTTCGCAGTCATAGGAGGTGCAAGCAAAGACATTGATCTGTCTCAAACCCGCGTTGGCACTGTACTTGTCAGTGCAGCGGTCATCGACGATGTCTCTGGTCTTGTCATGTCCAGTGTCATCCATGATCTCGGTTCCATTTCCGGAGGTGCAAATGTCAATCTTGGATGGCTCATCGGCAGACCGATACTCGCATCTATTCTCATGGCCGCCTTGACTCCATTGATCTGCAAATACGTTTGTGCGCCGCTTTTCCGCCGACACATCGAACACCACTTTGCACGATTTGACCATCTGTCCAATGTCGTCCTCATGGTCCTGGTTCTCTGCGCTTTCATCTCAATCGCCGCTTATGCAGGCACAAGTGTGCTCTTCGGAGCTTTCCTTGCAGGGTCATTTCTTACCTACCTTCCCTCAAAACATCCTGAAGGCCCTTTTGTTGTGTACTCGCGTGAACATGGCGAACAACACGACAACAAGAGCCCTACCTTCGTCCATACGTTCGAGAAATACTTTTCTGACGTCCAAAAGTATCTCATGGAGCCCCTGTTCTTTGCAAGTATCGGATTTGCCATTCCCTTCATCGATCTTTGGACTGGTTCAGCTATTTGGCATGGCGTAGTATACACGCTCTTGATGCTTTTGGCAAAGGTGNTGTCGTGCAGTCCGAACTTTTCTTACCCAATCTGACATCCGTTCTAGGTCATCGTCGGCATCTGGATCCCTTTGTGGGACACTCTAACCACACCCAAAGCGGATGCTTCAAGACCGCCGCTGTCTCAAACCCTCCCTTCCGCTGGGCTCCTTGGATTTGCTATGGTTGCTCGTGGTGAGATTGGCTTGCTCATCGTCGAGATCGGGTACAACTCGACCCCATATGTGAGCGACGCAGGTTTCTACACTGCCGTCTGGGCAATTCTGCTCAATACTATCATCGGTCCGATGGTTGTCGGGCTTCTCATCAAGTTCCGAGGTAAGGCCATCGGAAATGGTCATTGGGGAATCCAGACGACTCAAGGCGGTGGCGGTGACGAAAAGTTGCAGTCTAGCTCCCGCGACCAGACCTTGGAGGAAGGGTGAACGCAAGCCGTCGATGATGTGGATGGTGTGGAATGGAAGTGAGCCGCATTGGTCTGCATCCAACTCGACTGTGGCATGTTGTGGAGCCATCGATTATGGGCGCCATGAACCTGTGCGAGCCTGAAGCCAGTCGTAGGAGACTGAAACCGGTCACTGAGGCTTCCGAATAGGAAAAATTCGGTAGCCAGGTTTGCAAGACTCGAGGGTTAGATGGAAAGGCTGAGATACATGATAGCAGCTTGCGACAGCTGCGCTTACGGAATGGAAAGTATAACCAGACCACTAGGATGAGATGAAAGACCATGGCGAGCGTCTAAAACTTCTTAGTTGAATAGTTGTCAACACAGTTTGATCCTCACGACTCAGTTCATGGTTCGATTGAGATTCTCGTGACCATGGTGAATGGTCGTAAACTCGAGCACCAAAAAGGCAAGATATATCACGAGCATCACCAAGCCCGCGATCCGACTCCATTGAGCACCAAACCAAATGACCAATGTCATGAAGAGTGAAGACCCCAAAAGTACACCCATCTCAACCACGTCGACAATGCCTCTGTCAAAATCGCCTCCCGTGCTAGCCCACAATACTCCAATACACAAGGTCAGTAAGAAGATGTTGCTTCCAACGGTATTTGCAACCAGAATCCCCGTCCGATCGCAACTCCCACTCATGACGGCGATGAACTTTTCTGGCAGGGTTGTCGCGATGGACAGGAAAACCACTCCAAAGAGGACTTCTGACATTCCACTCTCTTCGGCGATTGACGAGGAGGCATTGGATAGGACGAAGCTGCTCAGAAGAACCGCCAGGAAGCCAAGAAGCAAGAGTGCTATGTGGTATGCTATGCTGTGCCTATGACGTGAGCTTGAATTGATTTGTCCCGCGGGTAGAAGAGGNGTTGCTGTATTGACACGACTATCCACAGCTTCGTTGTCGATGCTCTCATTATCGCTCTCGCTGTCGCTATCGCTGTCACTGTCTGATTCGAGCGCAGTCAAGCGGCCTTTGAAGATCAGATAAGCAACAGAGCCAACGTACAGGATGAAGATCACAATCAACATCCCACCAAAGATCCTCGTGGCCAGGAAAGAGGCAAAAGCTTGCAGACCAACAACCAGAAAAGTGATCAACAACATGCCCAGAGTATACACTTTAGCACTGTTATCAAACACCATGACTTCTTCATCGCTCCGGAACAACAGACCCAGCGAGAAGGCACCCAGGATGTTTGAGATGCCCGAGCCGATGATATTTCCGATTGCGAGAGAAGATCGATTACGCAAGATGCACACAACGACCACGGCGAGTTCCTCCCATTCTGCTCCGGCAGTGAGTAAACCGATGACTGATTCTGGGATGCCTGTGCGTTCGGCAACAATGGCGGTATGGTCGATGAACTTATCGGCGCCAAATTCGAGGACGAACAGAGCGCAGATGAAGCTCGCTACATTGTATGCGATTAGTCCAGCATTGGCCATCGATATGCAATTTCTGATGTCTGTTCGGTGTGAGAGGATGATGAACAGGTCGCAGAGACACGGCTATCGTTGCTCGCCAGAAGTGGTCAAAAATCGCTTCGAGGTGGCCAAAAGTCGTAATTTGACTTCAGTGACATGCCGCCAGAACAAAGCCGCAAACCTTCTTCGCTCCGCGACAACGTCTCATCACCAACTCATTCGATCATTCACTGGCGTTCAAGAGTGAATACATGGATGCTGTATGTGATTACAGGATCTGGTGTCTTTTCGCGATCTCTCCGACAAAACGGCCTACACAAGCACAAGTCTTGACAGGAATCTCGCCCTCTGTGGACTCCCTCCCCATGTCTCATCATGTTCTAGGTTTCATATGGTATCTCGTTGCAAAGATGGTGAGCTTCAATGTGTATTGCGCCACGAGTTCTGGCCCTACAATAGGACTGTCAGAAGTAGGTATATACTAGAGCGGAGGCTCTGAGAGTGAGTTACTCTACACATTTTCACCTTCGTTTGAGACAGACATCTTTATATAGGCTATACACGAGAACTCTATACATATAGAGCTTGCCACACCACATTACCCATATATCAAACAACACCTCCTTTTCTACTCTCCTCTTGCCTTCGTCAGAATCAATTCTCACAGCATAATTCATCATGAAGTCACTCCTCACAACCCTCCTCCCCACCATTACCCTCGCTTACGCCCAAGACTGGCATTTCGTCGCCTTCACCACACCAAACGGACAAGAGTTCATCAGCCAATCAGGCAACATGATTGTGCCCGCAATCCACGAAGCAGCGACAAACTACCTCTAGCCGGGCCTCCAGAGCACCGATAACTCGGGTGTATACCAAAACGTGCTCGACGGCAGGAGTGGTAGTTGGTGGTTCGGGACTGGCTGGTGTTGCTCAAATCCCAGTGAGTCTTGTAGATGGTAATCCCTTTATCTGCGCAAGTGCTGACGCTAGCACAGATNNCTTCCCTGGGATGGTGGTTTCAATGCCAACGAGGGAGATGTGCTCTCCTTCAACAACNCCCGCAATGCGAATGCTACGGAGTGGGTCAGTGTGATCGAAAAGAACTGCGGAGAAGCGTCTGCGACAAACTCTTTCCCTATCGCTGATAAAATGATGAATGACGCACCATTTGCAGCCGAGCTGTATGGAGCTTGGGATTCTGGTCCGGTGGTGTTCATGGATGTGGTTTTAGTATGTCTGCGCGTTGCTTCTTTTTAGGGCATGACACTGAGACTGACTGATCTAGNNATTGCTACAGGAAGTGATACAGGATTCTGCACTGAATACCCATGGANNAATGGCGCGACTAACGTCAGTGTGGTTGGTGTGGAGGCTAGTGTGGGCGTGGATACGGTCACTTGCAGCATCAAAAGCATCACGCTCTGGGGCCCCGCATGATCATCAACACGGCCGCACTGATTCAAAGTCCAAAGTCTACTTGTGATCTGACATTGCTCTACCTTGCAGAAATGCCACCGTCAACACTGATCACACCTCCAGTGATAAAGTCATTCTCCAACAGGAAAGCCACAGCCTTTGCGACGTCGGCACATGTACCGATTCTGTTCAGAGGATGCATGGCGGCAGCTTGTTCCCTTGTGTATGCGCCGCCCTCGTAACTCTCCTCCAGTACGTACATCCCGGAGTCGATGTCTCCAGGAGCGATGGCGGGGATGAAAATGCCTTCGGCGGCGTATTTAAGGGCCGTGGACTTGGTAAGGCCGATAATNCTGATTTTATTTGTCAGAGATGAGTGTCAGGGGAGAGCAAGACTCACAGCGTGTTTTGTGCTTGAGTAGGGCGCAGCATATGGTACACCGATAAGACCGGACATGCTGGACATGTTGATGGTAACACCTCTCTTGCCGGCATCGTCTTGCTTTTCTTGCTTCAGCATCATCTTCAGTTGCTCTTGCATGCAGTAAAAGGTTCCCTTGAGGTTGACGTTGTACATGAGACCCATGTTCTCGACAGGGGTTGCGTGGAATGGCTGAAAGGTACTCGACATGCCAGCATTGTTGACAGCTGCGTCGAGGCGGCCATGGGTTTCGGGAATATGCTTGTGGAGGGCAGCGACCGATTCTTGACTGGTCACGTCGACAGGATGGAATGAAGCACTACCGCCGTCTCGTGTGATAGTCTCTACTACCTGAGAAGCTTGCTGTCAGAAGGCGTTCGGTTTCTATACAAGGCCGGAACCGACCTTGTTGCCCTTACCTTGGCTTCTGCCAGTGACAACGACATGCCAACCCTTCTTCGCGAGAAGTTCGGCGGTCTCTTTGCCGATGCCAGTGATGGCACCAACGATCAGACAAGTTTCTTGCGCAGACATGGTTGATCGGATTCGATTATGTAGGAAGGGAAGGAAGTGAGGGCAAGTTATCGGAAATGCAGATTGAGGGATCATGCGCATATCTATTTAACGACGGCATGTGTGGCAAGGGTCCCTTGGGCAGGCATCCCATGAAGGTCAGATAGAATATAGCGCTGCATGAAACAAGGGTGAGGGGCGGCAGTCAAACGCCAAGGGAATTCGATATGATGACTCGGCCGTGAGGCAAGAGATACAAGCAGATTGTAGAAGCCATGGGCTATGTCAGAAGATGAAGACGATGGATATTATGATGAGTAAATAGCATGCTGTCTGCAGATGTGGAGGGGTATACAGAAAAGGATCCACGGTCTGCTGGGCCTGGAAAGAACAAGAAGGTACGCTATGCGCTAGTGAAAGAATGGCGGCCTCGAGCTCTCAAAGGATCAAACAGCAGTCGCAGCTTGACTCTTGGGCTTGGAGTCCATGTTGACGTCGCCGTCCTTGTCTTTGGGCGCGGCAGTATCGACACGCTCAGGGCGGCGAGACTGAGCTCCGTCCATCATACCCATACCGCCACCTGCTCTGAGTTGGTTGATTGCGCGAACAGTGTCGATGGCTTTGTGTAAGGTTCTTCTGGCGTTGAAGTTCTTCTTGACGGTGGGCAGCAGGTCCTCGTTGCCTCTGTCGTGTGCAGGACCAGCGATCCAGTCGTGGCTCAAGGCTTCGTGGGATGTCATGCGTTTTGTGGGATCGATGGTCAGGCAGCGCTTGATGAAGGCTCGGGCGGACAGCGACACGCCGCGCCAGTATTCAAGGGGAGTGAACGAGTAGTCGGCGACGAGGATGGCCTGCATCTCTTCGAGGTTGCTGTCTCGGTCGAAGGGCGTGTAACCGCAGAGGAGGAAGTAAGTAATGACGCCGATGGCCCACACGTCNGCTGGCGGAGTGTTAGCAAGGGAAGAGGCTAGCAGTAGAAGGAACGCTTACACGGGCTTGCCGTGGCCGCTCTTGTTGAAAATCTCGGGAGCCATGTAACCCGGGGTGCCGCAGGTCGTGGTCAAGACGTGGAACTGCTCCTCGTCCATGATACGAGACAAGCCAAAGTCGGCGATCATGAGGTCGGCATTGTCCTCGGGNGTGCGGAACAGCAGGTTCTCGGGCTTGAGGTCGCGGTGCACAATGCCGTGGTCGTGGAGGTATGCGACGGCGGACAGGGTTGCGCGGATGAGGTCTGCGGCGTCGCTCTCGTAGTATGAGCCTTTGCGACAGATGCGGTCGAACAGCTCGCCGCCCAGGGCCAGGTCGGTCACGAGGTACAGGTTGTTCATGGTCTCAAAGTAGTCGACCAGAGTGAGGATGTTCTGGTGGCCCATGGACACGCGCTTGAGGACGGCAATCTCGTTGCGCACCATGTGCTCGCGGCCGGCCATCAGGCGCTTGTTGATGACCTTGGCGGCATAGTAGCGGCCAGTGTCGATGTGCACGCACTCCTTGACGACCGAGTAGGAGCCAGCGCCAAGCGTCTTGCCAGTCTTATAGCGACACGGTTGGATCTGGGCTTGTGACATGGTCGTGAATTATTCTTCTCAACGCACGTGGGTGAGACGCTCTCTTTGTATTACGAGGCCGCGCGAGTGGGGTCGTGATCAGGAGACGGCGGCTGGCCAGAGGGTCGTGTTTCACGTAGAGAGGTGCTGACGGGCGAGTGAAGCGATTGCAATTGACGTCAAAGAATATCGAGATCTGGCCTGGAGTCAAAAATGAAGAATGGTCTGGTCGGGAAGATTGTCAGATTGGCACGGAAAGAGCAAAAGGTTCGCGGTTGGTGCTCGGTGCTTGAATCTTGATGGGCAACAGGGCAAGGGCATCCCGCTGCTTGGCTTCTCCGTGCGGGGATCGCTCCTTCCAAGCTGTTCCCTCGTTTTAGAACACGACCCTGATTTCTGCCCTGTCACTCGCTGCTTTCCTGCTTCTTTTCTCACGTCTAGAGCCAGGCATCCCTGACTTGTTGCGCTCAACTCTCTGTCGCATCCACTCGAGTGCGCTTGATGTCATATGTGATGGTCCGCTCCAAAGTATAAGACCAAGCTCTTGGCTCCTTCCTGCACAACTGTTTGCGGAGCACTTGTCGCTGCATCACGAGTGTCAGAATGTAGCCATTTGTCTCTCTAGCTCCAGCTCTGCTATGCAAGCTATTCCAGGTACAGTATCGATGTGAGTCCCTCTCCAAGCCACATGGTAGCCGCATCACCGCCTTCCTGCCTCACGAGCAATCCACATCCTCTTGGCTTGTCGCTGCCTGTTCCTTCCCTCTCTCAAACACCGCGACATGCGACTGCATGTTTCTCGTCTGCCTGACATCCATCTCCCATTTCCTCCCATGACTCTCAAGTACACCATCTTACAAAACCCCATCATGAGCTCCNTCGAAACTTACCTGCGACCTGCGCTGCAAACCGCCCAGGACGCTCTCATCACCGTCGTCGACAGTCTACAACTTCGCAAGGACGCACCCTTCTCTCCGGACGTTCCCAAAGAACTCCTCGAATCTATGCCTGACCTCTCAGGCCGCTTGCTCTTGACCTTTCCCTGGTCCAACCCGAGATCCGTCGATCCCACGCAGCACAGTGTCTGGATCTTTGACAACACTGCATACCGCGTCCAGCCGTACGCTCGCCCCTCAAGCTGTCGGTCACATTCTCTAACTGCTACCAGGGGCCAGAACTCGAAAGTCGACAAGCACGTGGCCGACCCGAAACTCATTGCCACCCCCAACAAACCTCTACCTCCGCCATCCTGGGAAGTCGAGTATGTAGCCGCATACTTCTCGCGCGAGACCTGTCGCGACGCATCGCACGTTATTGCCGACATTGCTCGTCTGGTCGGTCTTGCCAAAGGGAGTGCAAGCGAAGAGGAGTGTTTGGGCGAACTCAAGGACAAGCTCGACATCACGCTCATCAAGAAGCGCCTCGAGCCTTTCTTGAACCCCATTTTGCCCCGTCACACGATTCGCGTCAAGATCGCCGACACCGAGGCTCAAACGCTGGGTCCGTCAACCTCATCTGGTATCTCCTCTGATCTGCTCCGCCTGCATTTTGACGCACCCGCTGGAACGCAACTCACAACGACGGCCGTCTCGGACCCTTCGCCTTGCTTTGCAATCCCAGGTCGCACCGTGCTGGCCGAGCCCACAGGCTGGGGAGTCATCTCGGACATCGACGACACAATCAAGATCACCGGCACCCTGTCTCCGATCGCCGTCCTCAAGTCAACCTTCATCGATGCGCCCACGCCGGTATCAGGCATGCCCCAACTGTATTCTGATCTAGTGAAGCTGCTCGCCGACCCCATATTCTTCTACCTCTCAGGTTCTCCGTACAATCTGTATCCTTTCTTGCGCAACTTCCGCAAAGAGCACTTCCCGGACGGAACCATGATTCTCCGCGACGCTTCCTGGCAAAACCTAGGAGGTCTGATCAGCAGCTTGTCAGTCAACGTACAAGATTACAAAGTGGACAGGCTGGAGAAGATGCACACGTGGTTCCCTCAACGCCAATTCATCTGCGTTGGCGACAGCACGCAGAAGGACCCAGAGTCCTATGGCGAGATTGCTAGACGCCATCCTGGCTGGGTCAAAGCCATCTACATCCGCCGTGTCCCAGACGAGAATGAGATTCAGGGTGCTCTGGACCCTGAGAGAAACTCTGCCGAGCGCTTTGAGAAGGCCTTCAGGGAACTCGACAGCAAGATGTGGTTGGTCTTTGACGAGGCTGACGAGGTGAGGAAGAACGTTCAACTGTTGGCCAGGTAGTGGATCTGTCTTTTGGTGTTCTGTGGCCGAAAGCATTTTTTGATGCTCAAGGTCGATGCGCTGTTATACAAGATCGTCTCTTTATTCTTGCAACTTTGAGGAGATACCATACCAATACACAGCATTCCTTCGTGGCCCACGTCCCACCATCCCACCATCCCACTATAGCAAAAGAACCCCAGCTTACCATGCTCAACAAGGCGTTCAACCACCAAGCAATTCTAAGCCTCAGCCGTCAATGCTTTGGTCCATCTGCGGCCGATGAAATGCGAGCTTCGATCAACAAGCATCTGCGCCATGCCTCGGCTTTGGTACACGTACAAAGCTTACGTCGACGTACGTTTCGATTGTCCGCCAAGGCGAGAGCCACGCGGTGGTGGAGCGCCTCGTGGAGCTGTCAAAACGTGCAACGGTCAAACATGGTGCCAAGATGAGGCGTCGAGAACATAAAGATGAAATCGATTCTGCACACCTATATAACCAGAATCGATTGTCGCTTCCATAGACGTGCCGTTATTGCGCTGATTGGTGTATCTCTAGATGACAGGGATTGTCATGAAAACACTTGGCACTCGGATAATCTGACCATCTACGTCTCATACATGGCTGCTGGAAAGATCGAGGAAAGGAAGGAAGTCATCGTGGGTTCGATTAAACAAATGATATAGCATTGCTTTACAAGCTACACCTGCTCGTAGCCTAATACCTTGATCTCTCGCCAGCTCTTGAACTGTCGGTAACCCTCATAGCCGATGACGAAAAGTGCCAGGGCCGCCACAGAGACCATCATCAACTGTAAAGAGCTGGTTGCATGTATTTCTAGTCCATCAAAGACACCATCAATGTTCACAGTCAACCCGAGATCAAGAGCTTCGCTGATGCCGAGAATGTTGTTGTCAATATCCAGCGCAACAATGCGCAAGAATCGCAAATCGCAGTCCTCAATCTTCAACTCGGTCTCAAAGCCTTGCTTTATGGTTGTAGAAACATCTTCCCAGTTCTCATCGCTGCATGTGCTCTCACTTGCTTGCTGCAGCTTCCACGCTGCGACCTCTGTGGCGCCGTTCCAGCTCGCGAATGCAGAGGGTTGCTTGCCTTGTCCCAGAGCGACTGCTGGTGGCCAGCTGGGCTCGCCTTTCCAGGGGGCCTTGAGTACGCGGTAGGATTGCACGTCGCCAGTGCCCCAAGACGACATTGCGGAAAAGCGGTTGTCGCAGAGCACTGCGCCGTCGGCGGTGAATTCGGTGTGTACCCCTACGTAGCCGTATCCCAGGAGGATCCGTGGATCGGAAGTTGCGTTCGTGGCGATGACTTGCATGCTGCCTTGGCTTGAGGAGATGAATTGGGTGGGGTGCACGTATTCTCGGATTAGTTTTGCTGTGTAGTTGCTTTCCGAGGCGGAGGGATGTGTGGTTGGGTACGTGATTTCGATGAGCACGCCTCGTGAGGGTCGGTGTCCGGTCCCTTCATTATCGGCGCCGTTGTCGAAAGCAGAGACCAGCATCTTGGTCACTCCATCCATGTCTTTTGTCGGATGTAAGCCGATCTCTTTTGCCAACAAGACGGGGAATTCGGTCAGGTTGTGGAACCGAGCGAAGTGTTGATATGCGATGTTTGTGGCTTCACTCTGGCCTTCGCTCAGATCGTCAAAGGCATTGCGCTTGCCTCCCAGTATCCAGATGATGGCGCCAGTTCTCCCGTCGATGTAGGTAATGGTATGCGTGTATCTCGCCGAAACAAGGTAGTTGCCGAATTCGTCCTTTTCGATGCTGTTCATGTGGTACCAATCCCAAGGACGAGATGCTTCTCTTCCCTCATCGCGAATCTCGCGGAATGTCTCCTTCAGACTGTGGTGTTCGGAAGCACGCCATTGGAAGACCAGCTCGTTGGTCGTTAGATCTATCTCTTGGAAGAGGCAATCCCAGACCCAGATGACATCTGTGTCGTCCACGAAGCCGGAAAGTGTGATGGGATGGACCTCATAAACAGTCATGATAGCAGTGCCTTGTGGCGTGATGACCAACTCGTGCAAATCAGCGCGTAACCCGTTCATCGCCGAGATCTTTGCAATCTCCTCGTATCTGGAATTGTACNNTGTGTTTCTCTTGTCAGGAATCACGTAGACTCGGGGGAAAGCGCAAGAACAAACCACATAATAGTCTCCCTCGCCATGCCCGCCAATGCTATCGTCCCCGACCCAGAACGTGAGAACTTGCTCTCCTTTCAACTCCTGGACTTTGAGATTATAACCTTGGCCAGCGACATAATGCTCCCAAACCAGTTCACCGTCATTGTCCATGATCGTGACTGCTGGATGTGGCGCCTGGTATCCCCTTGGCGATAAGAAGATATAGTTATCGTCATGACACTGTGGTGAGTCATTCGGTCGACGAAGGACTGGCGACATCAGGTCAGAAGATTGGAAGGTCTTGTAAGGATATGAGCCAAAGTCGTGCTCAAAGGCTCGTATGTCCTTGGTATCGAAGTTTGCGCCGACATCCGCCGCAGTTGTTTGATCAAGATGAAATAGAGTCAGAAGGCTGACTAGAAGTGATGATTTGATCATGTTTACAAGACAAGTATCTCGGTATCCAGTTCGTGTCGTGCGATTGGCGTGAAATATAGCAAACGCGAGTATTGAGATCGGTCGAATGGTGTAGAGCGGAGGAGGCTAGGTCGATATCTAAGAGAGCGCGATACAACGAGGTTAGGTGAGAACGCAAAGATACACCAACGCAAGAACAAGATGTTGCAGCCGTCCACCACGACTCGAACGACAGTGATCAGAGTACACGACAGTTGCCTGTCTGAGCCACATGGGAGTCTCACCCATCAGGGTGATGGACTCCACAGCACACGCCTGTAATCATGACTCTTCCGGAAAGGATGCCGTAAGGCCCGACAGATCATCTTTGCGAAGATTTGCAGATGCATCCGAAGTGATCGGCCCGGACTAACATCGACAGAGCCTCTGCTCATGTCTTGCCCTGAGAAAGAGAGGTCTGAAACCCCCGATAACAGCCACGCAACAACAGCGTGACGACAGCGACTCAGCCTGCCTGTCTAATATCGCAGCAATCTTCCATGGTCGGCAACATGGCATTCGCCAAGCGAAAGGAGGTCAATCGAACCATTTTCGAGTCGTCATCTTTGCGGTGTATCTCCCGGAAGACAGAACCGTGCAAGCAAGAAGGAGGGTTTTTCTTTGCCAAGCCAAAAGCGACGCGTACACATCCAAGCTGTGGGGTAGCTCTATAGCGGATGTCGAGGTTTTCGATGAACAAGCCACGAGACACTACCGGGAGACTGTGATCGACCTCGCTTCTTCTTGCCTGTGATTATGTCTTAAAGGACCTTAAGGCCCATCGTTCATCGTTGCTCAATATACTTCTTCTCATCTTAACTACTTTTGTTTTGGACCACTTCAGTGAGGCGGGAACATCCCGGTCTTACCCTGTGATCGCCAATTCGCAAAGATCAGTAACAATTGAGCTACCTTCCATCAAATAATTATTCTACCTTTCAGATATAGCTGGACTATGGTCACGCAGTACACACTTCTATCTCAACTTGATGCAAGACAGTTGTCAGTCTCAATGCAAACGTAGTTCTGAGGATAAGAATCAGATCAGGGTGATCTGCCCAGCCTATAGTTCTCTGTAAACCATCGTGATTGGCTAGTTCGCTAGACCGGCGATTGAAGGTAAACCGTTTCGAGCCCTAACTCTGCAGAGCTCTATTTGGTGGTACACGCGTTCCTGACTCAAGAAGCGGTATCGGAATGCCATTCCAGATGAGGAGTTCGGTGCTGCAGCGTTAAACAAGTGAAATAACTCGACAATCAGTGGTGGAGAGCCAGAAAGAGGTGGTTAAGTGATGGCAGCCAGACGATTCCTATGGGTTGCGGAGAAGAAGTAACATTGAAGGTCAGGATAAGCATCTCGTATTTGGTCGTTCTGATCCGCCATAGATAATCAGATCCGGTGGGCCGATGGGCCTCCATGATTTACTCGCGCGATGAACATGATATGTAAATGATTTTCTTGTCTTTGCTCATGGCTTCCCCACTTCTCCACCGTAATTGCTGTGAGGCGCAGCCATCAATTTCTTGCCCTGTATGGTGCCTCTCGAGGGAACCTTTGGTTGCAAGCATACGTACTCCAGCACCGACCCCGGCGCGTTTTACTTTCGGTTCTTCTTCTCTTGTCGGTATAGCTTTGTCGTTCGGCGCGATGCCGCCGCCATCAAGCCACCATATCCCTCCAATAGGAAATTGCGTCGCGTTTCGAGATGCAATGGGATGGCTTCGCCGAAATACCGTTCGGCGAAGAAACAGCCCTGACGTCGCTGTCGCATTCTGTCGTCGGTTCACGCCGCTGCACTTCGGGGCTATGCTGTTGTGAGCACGAAAATCGATTTTCCGGGCATGGGAGCCGGTGCTTAGCTGCCCTATACTTGATAGCTCCTCTAGCCATGCGTACAAATTCGCATTTTGCCTCCTTGTCTTTCTCCAGAACCGATTACGGTAACCTCGTGTTCGGGGATGCATAAAACAGAACAAAGCTCTTGTACGAGTATGATGACTGAGCCAAATCGAATCACACCGCATGATGATGTCTCGCCAAATCACCAAAGATCCGGAGCAGTGACGGCAGCACGCCGCCATGGAAATCTCGAGACCATACGCAAACAAACTGGCTGGTCGGACTTTCCTNCCAGCATCCCTGTTTCGATGCGAACGACCAAAAGCGGCAAAGTGACGGAATTCGGGAACACCAAGCTTCGCATCATCGAGCGCATCGCTGTCTCTACAGAGTTCGACACGGCACTGGACTTTCTCAAGAACATGACAGAAGGCGGAGAGAGATTACTCAGCCTCAAGGATCTGGAACAATGCGCGGCGCATTTTGACACGGGCAAGAAGGGAAGACAGCAATCAAGAAATCGAGGAGGATCCAGCTCTGCAGCGACGAGCACTGTAGTCAGTCAAGCCGACGAAAGCGAACCGAGCTATCAGTCTATGGCACAACCTCTGGACTCGTGGAACGGCTTCACACTCGACCAAAGCCCGATGCCTCTGCAGACCGGATCTTCCATGCCGCCGCTCAAACGACCGAGTCCAGAAGCCTTTCAAAACATGTCCGTATCGCCAGTGGATTCAAAACGACCTCGCATGGACACCCTCTTCGACACTCACCACACAGACTTCTCGTACCACATGTCCGAGCTGGACATGTGCAACACGGCGAATCTGACCGTTCCTCAGCGGTACCATCAGAGCGACACGAGCATGCGAGCCTCACCGAGCATGCGAGCCTCACCGAGCATGCGAGCCTCACCAAGCAACCCACCTCCCCGATCGCCATCCCAAGATCCAGCAAGGGCATTACTGAGCATCCACCCACACGCCGGAAGCATTTTCTCAAACCTCAACACCGCGTTCGACGACTTGCTCGCCCGAATCGAAGACCACCAACAAATCGTCAAGACCGCTCTCGATCAATTGCGCATGGCCACAAACGGCCTGAGTGTAGTATCTGGGATTTCTCCCAGCGCCAACGATCGTGAATTGGAGAATACTCTGCGGACGGCACAGAGGAAGGAAGCACGCGCCCGTCATGATCTGGAACAGGCGAGATCGGCAAGAGACGTGATCGATGTCGAGTATGGCCACATCGGCACGTCGCTCTCTCGTGCATTGGTGGATACCGTACGAGCCGAGTACTCGCGTGCAGGAGTGGCCATGACACAGGCGCAGGCAGACGTTGAGGCTGCACGACAACGACTGAGCAATGCGAACAACCGGGAACAGGTCCTGAAGCGGACGAAAGATGTGGCAGAGGTCGGCATCGACCAGCTGCAGCGGCAGACCAGGTTCTGGCTGAAAAGACTGGCAGAGGCGGGAGTCAAGCTGACAGATCAGTTGGGGACCTTGCAAGGAAGTGATACAGGGCGAACGTCATAGCTGATAGACCGACATGGATTCTAGACTTCTTCAACTGCCTTGTCGAACTTCTTCGAGAACAAAATCTTTCCCCCGCTAAGATCATGGAAAGGGTTCTTCTCACCACCATCAGAAGCGTTTCCGACATGTTCATCAATACCCAGTTTGATGTAGAACCCTTCTGCGCCTTTTGTGCTCACCAAACTAACACGGATACCTTCTTCTTTCGCTCGGTCAAGTCCCCATCGGACCAGCTCTCTACCGTATCCACAGCCTTGATATTGAGGTGCTTGGAAAAGTAACACTAGATCCCAGGTCTCGTCGTAGCCTGGCTTTCCAAAGTATTGCTCCATGAAGGGAAAAGAATTTTCCATGTCTCTCCAGCCTGCAGCATCGGCGGCATTGTTGGGATGGACTAGCAAGTCAATCTTGTTGTAGACTGGAAGGATCAATCGACTCATCAGCCAACGTAGCCAGGATTGGCGAGCTTGCAGGCGTTTGCCGCCGTCTCCGGTGCGCATCCACACTGCCATGCCGGTGACCTCTTCAGGGTGATGCTCGGGATGAGAGATCCAGACGTGGGTGCCAGCATCGAAGTAACTCTCGCGCAGGTCGTGTAAGAAGAATCGCTCGAAGCTTTTGGGGTGTCTGGATCGATGGGGATGTAAGCGTGCGCCGTGGAGCTCATCTTCCCAAAAGGCCAGCGCAGCGATGCGAGATGCTGGCTTGAGATCTGCCCATGTTGCTGGACGGACAGGCATGGTTCTCAGGAGTATATTTGAGTGCAATGGTATGTCAAGTTATCGGTAGAGTCGAATCCTTCGTAAGCTTGTCGGGGTTCAAGAATTGGAGATGTTGTGTATTGGCAGGTCAACAGCTTTGGGCGTCACCTTGTCTTTATACATGCTAGATTAGTGTGCGAGATCCGCTCACCTTTCCAACCATTTCCTTCATCCTGTAAGGGTACAGCGTCCGCCTGGCGGTAAACCAAAAAGAGACGCCGCCATGGTGTTCGGAGCCCGCGGAGAGAATCAAGCTGCTCGTGAACTTACAGCGTACACACGACTTGACTCGGTGCTCGAGGTTGGAAGAAAGTGGTTGCCTTCGAATTTGGCAACCAGCCTACCAGTTTTCCGGGCGTCGGTGCCCGCGGACACCTCAGGTAAGTGATGGTGTGGTTCATCTGTATGGCGGTCTCAAAAAGCTTTCGAACATGGTGATACGCAACATTGCTGCCAAGTCGGCAGTTTCACGATGCTAGTACGTGTTAGGGGAAGGGGTAGGCTCATGGTCGTCTTTAGGGCCTAAAGTACGCGAGAGTAGGAATGCGTGCACAGACGCGATTCGATGTCGAAGATGCAGACGCATGCGTGTCGTGGACTCGTGGCCCACAGGGCTGTATGGATGCATTTTCGATTGATAAGACACGGAGGCCGCTCATGGTTGACATGGCTGAGCGTTCTGTTTATTTCCTTGTTACTCGCTGTGTAACCTTGAATTCGTCCCAGGTCCAGAACAAGATGGTTTCGCTACAGCAGCTCAATACATCGAATTCAAACATTCGATTGTGTGTTGCGACTCTGATGTGCCTCGTGTTTCTGCTGGCATTGGTGACACGGGGACATTGGAATATGGTCTCGGGCGGGATACAACAAGGGTCACTATCGATTGGGCAGACCGACACAGATTCTGGATTCTTGACACTCCAATGAGGATACCTCAGCATGGTAAGTGTAATCATTTTGGGTCAGAAATCGATGCTGATCAATACATATAGCGTGGTCCGTACGAGTACTGATGAATGCGAGCACATTCAGAAAGGTCAAATGACCGGTCGACGTGTCGAGCGCCGGCAGCAGTCGACGTGGAAGAAGTGAAGACTGGATTATGGTCTCCAAGCAGTCATCTGATTGTTATTTAGGTGATGGAAGTGGTCATGGTGGATGGAAAAAGCGGTTGTTATCAGCTTATCGGGGTGCGCGTCAACAAAAACGCGGGCCGAAAAATGAAGTCAGATGGTCCAAGCTTGTCCGATGGTTGAAGGCCGAAAAACAGCCCCTCATCAATTCATGAGACATCACCTTGTACTGTTTCCATCACCTGTTTCCTCTTCATATCACTCGACTGTAAGTGCTCTGTGCCCTTGCCTCTCTTCTCGTCTCCAGCCTTCACCCTCCCGTGTCCCTTCTCGCCGTCTTTCCCGTTCAGCTCTCGTAAACGTCTCTAACAACAGAGCAGCAGCACATCAACATGGCCCAGGTCGCACAANAAGCAGTCCTCATCTGCATTGACGGATGGGGTGTCGCCGGTGAGAAGTCGCCCGACAAGGGCAACGCCATCCTCAACGCCGACACTCCCTGGATGGACGAGTTCGCCAAGGACGGCAGCAAGATTACCCAGGGCTACAGCGAGCTCGAGGCCTCGTCGCTCGCCGTCGGTCTGCCCGAGGGCCTCATGGGCAACAGCGAGGTCGGCCACTTGAACATTGGCGCCGGCCGCGTCGTCTGGCAGGACGTGGTCCGCATCGACCAGACCATCAAGAAGGGCGAGCTGAACAAGGTCGACAACATCATCAAGAGCTTCACCCGTGCAAGGGAGGGCAACGGCCGCCTGCACCTGCTTGGCCTCGTCTCTGACGGCGGTGTCCACTCGCACATCAACCACCTAATCAAGCTGCTCGACGTCGCCAAGGAGGTCGGCGTGCCCGAGGTCTACATCCACTTCTTCGGTGACGGCCGCGACACGGACCCCAAGTCTGGCGCCGGCCACATGCAGACCGTCCTCGACCACACCAACAAGATTGGCCTCGGCAAGATCGCCACTGTCGTCGGTCGCTACTACGCCATGGACCGCGACAAGCGCTGGGACCGCGTCGAGCAAGCCATGAACGGCATCTTCAAGGGCGAGGGCGACGACTCGTCTGACCCCGTCAAGTCCATCAAGGACCGTTACGAGGCTGGCGAGACCGACGAGTTCCTCAAGCCCATCATTGTCAACGGCAAGGACGGCAGAGTTCAGGGTATGTCCACCTCCTGGCCTCCAGTCTTCTTGATTCTCCAGGTCACTAACACGATGCGCCAGNACAACGACACGCTCTTCTTCTTCAACTACCGCAGCGACCGCGTCCGCGAAATCACCCAACTCATCGGCGACCAGGACCGCAGCCCCAAGCCCGACTTCCCCTACCCCTCCAACATGCACCTCACCACCATGACCCGCTACAAGACCGACTACACCTTCNCCCTCGCCTTTGCTCCCCAGACCATGGACAACGTCCTCGCCGAGTGGCTCGCCAAGCAAAAGGTTCACCAGTGCCACGTCGCCGAGACGGAAAAGTACGCCCACGTCACCTTCTTCTTCAACGGCGGTGTCGAGGTCCAGTTCGACAACGAGCACAGAGACATGGTCCCCTCGCCCCGCGTCCCCACCTACGACAAGGAGCCCAAGATGAGCGCCATGGCCGTCGCCGACAAGCTCTGCGAGCGCATCAAGGAGGGCAAGTTCGAGTTCCTCATGAACAACTTTGCTCCCNCGGACATGGTCGGCCACACTGGTGTCTACGACGCCGCCGTCATTGCTTGCACCGAGACCGACAAGGCCATTGGCAAGGTCTACGAGCAATGCAAGGAGAGCGGCTACACCCTCTTCATCACTGCCGACCACGGCAACGCAGAGGAGATGCTCAACGAGAAGAACACCCCCAAGACCTCGCACACTCTGAACAAGGTTCCTNTCGTCATGGCCAACGCTCCCGAGGGCTACAGCCTCAAGAAGACTGACGGTGTCCTCGGTGACGTTGCTCCCACCGTACTCGCCGTCATGGGCCTGCCCCAGCCCGAGGAGATGACTGGCTCCAGCTTGTTGATCAAGTCGTAGGAGATTGTATATACGGATTGGAACATTTTTGGAAGCGAAAGACACTTAGATATCCCGGAACTATGATAGATTTCATAGACGAAATGACACTTGATGCACAAAGAGCCTGAGATCTCATCCTTGATAATCACAACGACAATTGTAATGACTCGCCAAACCGACGTTGAACCCAAATAGACCTCGTATACAAGACCCTGGACGCGCAATGCACTGGCCGAACGTCCTTGGCAAACAGTACACCCTTCGAACCTGCCATCTTCGTCGCGATTTCTTTGAACAATCTGCAGCACTCCAAGCAACTTTGGCTCTTTTTCGACATTGGACTGTATTCAATTGCATTCCACTGGTCGTCGGCTTCAATACGGTGACGAGAACTCAAAAGGCTCAAAACACAGGCTGCAAAAGTGGCCAACACGACTACCCTCCACTCTCTTCGACAGGCAAACCGTCATTTGACATGAGTTTTTGAACGTTGCGAACGCACTCCCCATCGCTGAACATGATATGACGACTGAACTCTTATCTCCGGGCAACACCGACTCCGTCCTCGATCTTGAAAAGGAAACTGTGGACATCGACCCAGATACAACTAGGCACAACCTTTCTGTATCGACTCTGACCTTTGCCCGTGGAATCAATGGTGAATGCATCCTCCTCAACCAACCGCGGATTCGCAGCATTCCGCCTCTTGCCATCGGCTTTCTAGACTTGGCCAACTCGGGCGACTTTGCCGCCAACGTCTTCAATCGAGTCCCAGTCCCCGTCTACGCCGTCGTTCTCATGGCCGTCGGAGCTACGGTCGCCCTCATCATGTTCATAGTCGCTCTCCGCGACGCCAAATGCAGTTGGATGAACATCAGACTGTTGAGAGAAGAAAGGACGCTTCTCATTAGCATGAATGATGATAGGTCAGCCGAGCTCGAAATCAACCATCGAGATCTGGGGACTGAGATCTTCGACCGTGCTGGTGTAGACATTGCCATGGGTATCGGAGCATTTCTCATTTCGGTCGGCACTTACATGGCTATTGGAGGTGCTAACCGCAAGGTTTGGTTTGCGAGTAACTTGTTGTCCGGCTATGTCGGCAATGCTCTGCCTGCTGTGTACGGTGTTTGCAATGTCGGCTGGTCTGTTTATGTCTGGCTCCGCGCACGCAAACAGGTATCCGCCGTGTCAAAGTATCTTCATGACGATGTTGCGGGCCTACTTCTCTCAGTCCGCATACGCAAAATTCAAGGACATGCCATCCTTACCGCCATCGTCTGCCTCGTCTCAGGTGCGCTGTCCATGGTCACTCCAAATTACTGGTGGCCATATCCTGTTCTCCTTGTTTGCGGCCTGGCGTTTCTTTACAGCACTTGGGTGTACAGGACACAAATTGGGTACCAACGGCTGTTGCTCTCCAAGGAGGTTATTCTGGACGAAACATACTTAATTACAGAGATTTTATTCCTTCAGTCAGTTCAGACCACATTGCGAGACAGTCCCGACAGCTGGACGGCACTTCGACTGGGAGATATGTCAATGCCAGATCTACTGCACTTCCTTATCAGATGCGATCTCTTTGAGCGCCTTTGCTGCCAATTACTCAATGAGTCGTCTCTCATCAAGCAACACTTTCGCAGTTCGGCAACATCAACAACAACAACACTCCACCAGCGAACCTTGTTACAGCTGGACGATCCTGAAAAGATCACTGAGATCTTTAGTCTGGCCCAACTTTGTTTCGAGCAGCATGGGCTCAGAACCGTCAGGAATCGTAAACGCTATCTGCTGGAGTGTTTGGGCGCTTGCTTACTGCACCGCAAGGGGGCGNACAAGGATGGATGAAATGGCAGGACGAAACCGAGCATACCATCTTACCACAAGGTCTCAAGTCTTGTGGCCGTACGCCAGAGTCTCAGGGATCAATCAGCATTGAAGTATCTGCTGTTCCTTCCTCCTAATCGAGACTTGGGTACAATTACTGCGTCCGTACACCGTCGCATGCAAGTACCAAATGTCAAAGAAGGAGAGTATGATCGCCAATGACTCAGGCAGCAAACCCACATCCTGTTCATCAATGTTACAGCTTACCCGATTGGGGCTCTGCATCCACGTTACTGTATTTCGCACGGTTCAATTCCAGCTGCTCTTCGCCGATTCTTGTTTCACAACTCTTCAAGCTTAATTACAAGACTACTTGACGCCTGTCCAATGTCATTCTGCCATGTGCGCCCTCCTTCGTTCCTGCGTCATGCTGCAATGCGCTATAGATGTTTGGCACACGATCGGCAAACAAGCGTGGGAATGGTTTCGCGCCGGCCCGGCGCGAAGATCGTCGTCTCACCGTCTATACAACGTCGGGATCCGCATGTAGTCAATATGGTAGAATCTTTCTGTATAAGATATTCTCCGACACATGCTGATCGACTATGTGCGTTGGCCAAGTGTGGTTAGCTGCCAAACCGTTTCGGATGCGAGATTTGAACATACGGTCAACACGAGCGCGCATTGGTGCTGCATGGTCTCTACAGATCTTTCAAGTCCTCTCTTGGCCGACGATACTACACTTGCATTGACCTGATTCCGGCAACAACGTCTGGCTATCTCAATGTGACCGCTGGAGATCTGCCTCACCGCATACACATCACATCCACAATCGCCTCTTGTGTATTGTGCAGATCTGTCGATACGAGAGCAAGGCACAACTCCCCAGTTAAAGCCATGGGTATATAAGGAGGGCCAGGAAGCTGCTATTCTTCTCATCACAAACTTCCCAAATCGCCTTTCTCACCTACCAGCTTCTACCACTCCATCACCAAACCAACTCTCACACTCGAATCTCCAAGATGCACTTTTCATCCCTCTTCACCCCCATCGTGGCCCTCCTCACCACTACCGTGTCCGCCAGCCCCATCGAAAAGCGTGCAGTCACCTCCGATCAGATGGTCCAAACCCTCAAGGGCCTCAATCAACAATCCAAGAGCCTTGCCACCATCGCAAACAAGATCAGCCCCATGGCCGGGGTCCCTCTGCTTGGCCCCAGCTCTGGTAGTGGAACCACCACTTTCAACGACTTGATCACTGGCTTTCAGGGTATCATCAAGACTGGCACTACTGCTATTACCGACATGGAGGGTACGGCACCCTACACCGATACTGCTGCCGAGCAGCAGGTTTGCGCTGCTTTCTCCGATGTATGTTTATATGAAATGCGATTCCCCGAGAAGAGGTTTGGTGACTGACACGCTCTCATAGNNTTCGTCCTTGTGCACCAGAACTTGCTCAAGATTGTCATTGGCAAGGCTGGTCTCTTGCAGGGTATTTTCCTTGGCCCTGTTGCTGCTACACTCCGTTCGCTCGAGGGCGTTGTTGATGTGAGTATAAAAACAGGTCTGAAATCAAGAAACAGTTGCTGACGTTCGAGATGTACAGNNACTCTTGCTTTTGGCGTCATTGACTCTGTCCCTGTTTGCGCCGACAATGCACAGAGCCAGAAGAACAACCTGGACGAGACTCTCGGTCAGGCTGTGTGTGCTTACACTCCTGCTGGTACCCTTGGTCTCAACCTCTTCTGTTAGAGCGAGAGCGGAGCATAAGTTGAGGCATGTAATGATATGGAAGGAAGAGAGAGAGAGAGAGAGAAGGTTATAATGTGGTCATGAAGATAGCTGTATCGTTGATAAGAGTAGTGTATGAGAGTCACACCCACTTGCCTTTATTATTCTATCTACACTTACCTTTTGCTCGAGCCGCTGTGCACGAAGAGCAGTTGTGCAGTTTTGCAAGAGGCGGCGCTACCCTACACAGTCATTGAAACTCGAGCGCGCATCCGGAGGTAGAAAGAGATGGTTTGTCGTTTCGCTCTAGCAGACGTGGCTCGTACCCATTCCGTTACCTACAGTTCGAGAGATCCAGTCAAAGTATCCTTGTGGTGTGGTGCAGAGAGAGAAAAACTTTTGCTGCTGACCGGCGTGCCAAGTCTGAGCTGGCCGATGCTCAAGCTTCCGTCAACTGCCGCGCAAGCCGCGCTCTTCCTCCTTCTTTCTCTCTACTTTACACATCTCAACGTGTATACCACGGTCTGTCGTCGCTCATCAGCAGCGTCGTGTCATTGCGGCTGTATATAAGGACGCGAATATCACTGGAGCGATGGCGTATCCCTTCTCCACTCTTACCCTTGCAACACTGTGATGGTTGACGACCGCCAAACGTCATGACCTTGATAGATTAATTGTCTGCAATCATGACAACAATACAGCTTCTCATTATGCGTAAGTAGGTCGGCCAGGGCCGAGTAGAAGAGTAATTTTTCATCTCGTGTCAAGCTTTCCATATTTCCGTTCACTTTTGTCAATTCTTGCATACCGTCGATATGGTGCTCGGATTCTTTGAAGAAGAGCGAGCGTACGACTTTGTTGTCGTCGGCGGTGAGTACAGGGCGACCTTGGACCTGAAAATATGTGCTGATGTCNGCAAAGGTGGAACGGCAGGCAATTGCGTTGCTGGCCGTCTGGCAGAAAACCCCAAACTTTCCATCCTTGTCATCGAGGCCGGCACCGACAATCCCCTCAAAGAAGAGAGAATTTCGACTCCTGCTCTCGCTTTCTCACTCGTCGAAAGCGAATATGACTGGCAATATCCCACCGCGTTCTGGGATAGAGATGGCGAAAAGAGGCATGAAGCCAAGATGACAAGAGGAAAGGTTTTGGGTGGAAGCAGTTGTTTGAACTACTACACCTGGTTGCGCGGAAGTCGTCCAACGTATGACGAGTGGACCAGGTATGGTGGCAATGAGTGGAGCTGGGATAAGTGCTTTCCCCACTTCCAGAAGGTGTGTTCTGAGCCTTTCGACTGGTGATGATACTGACAAGAACAGCCCGGCAAGATGCGCGATACACACCAAATCCTTGATCATGATCCTGCTCATGTCGCTTCGAATGAGGATGGTCCACTGACCATCAATCCTGCCATCCCCATCCCACTCGCATCAAAATTGCAAGAAGCTTGGAAATCTCAGGGTCATCGCCTCAACGACGACATCTACAACGGCACTGTTGATGGCCTTGCGCACGTCTGTCACACAATTGACTCTGGTCACCGCGTGCCCTCTACTGTGTTTCTGGAGGGCCACAAGAACATCACTGTCAAGCCACGCACCATGGTCCATCGCTTACTCTTCAGCGGCGAGACGTGTGTTGGTGTACAGACGCATGCGACAGACAAATCCCAAGTATACTATGCTCGCCAGGAAGTCATCGTGTGCGGCGGTGTCTACGAAAGCCCCAAGCTGCTCATGCTGAGCGGTATTGGTCCTTCGGGCCCGGACTCCATGACTGATTTGACAGCAATCTCTTCTGGCATTGGTCACAGCATCCACTCCCCGCATGTGGGTCAGAATATCCAAGATCATCCTGTTGCACCGCACTCGTTCAAGTTGAAGGATGGCGAGAGTCTTGATGATGTGCTCAGACCGGGCGTCAAGAACATGGAGGCTATGGCTGAGTACAAACTCGCCAAAAAGGGTCCGTTAGCCTCGAGTCTACTGGAGATGAGTGGGTTTGCCAGAGTCGACGACCGATTTAAGAAATGCAAAGAATGGAGAGACGAAGAGGAGAAGAGAGGTCATGATCCCCTAGGCCCTGAAGGCCAGCCCCATTTCGAGTTTGACTTTCTGGTGCGTGTTCTTTCTACTACCTTCGTGTCACTGTAAGCTAACATGTCAGCAGNNCCGTGTTTTGCCTCGCCTTTCTTTCCTCATGTCCCCGAGCCAGATCACGGAAACTACATGACCATCGTTGTCTCGCTCCTCCGACCACTCTCCCGTGGGTCCTTGACTCTGAAGTCTGCAGATGCCCTCGATTACCCTCTGATCAACATGAATTACCTCGATCACNCCCTTGATGCTGTCGCATTGCGCGAAGGTGTCCGTTTCGTTGATGAAATCATCCTTAGAGGCGACGGCATGAAGGACATCGTTATTGGCGAATACCCCGAGGGTGACGGTAGCATTGTCAAGGGAGAGGCACAGGCGAACGGATCCAGCGACGGGGTCTACGGTGCTCCGAAAGGCGAAAAAGATGAGGGCAAGAGTGTCGAGGGTAACTCTAAGCACATGTTGGGCTTGGACAAGGTGAGAGACAGCGACGAGGGTATGGCTGAATGGCTCAAAGGTCGTGTAACCAGTGGATACCGTAAGTTTCCCCTCCTTTTTCCTGCCTCGCAACGACCGCTGACCTCATTCCTTTGAGATCCCTGCGGTTCATGCAGAATGGGTCCGACCATTGAAGAAGGTGTTGTCAATGGTCGTCTCCAAGTCCATGGTGTCCGCAACTTGCGTGTCATCGATGCGAGTGTCTTCCCACTTATCCCGGATGCAAGGATTCAGAATCCGGTCTATATGGTTGCCGAGAAGGGAGCCGACTTTATCAAGCAGGATCATCCTGCTCTGTACCAGCCCAAAGAGAGTCTAGTAAACAGAGTCAAGGGTCTGGTGTTGTAGATGAAAAGAACTCGGATAGATTTGTTTGCGAGCGATGCTGTCGCGTCTGCAGCCATTACATAGATAGGTTTCCACACTCCGGTCATTGATTCATGCAATTTTGCTAGATTTTAGTAAGATCGATAGCTCAACCTTGTTAACATGGCACAGGGTCTTGATACGGGATAGTCGATATTGCAAGGCAATCTCTGCAATCTCTGGTATACCATGGAATCTGACGCTTGGGAGAGACCTTTTGACCAGCTCGCGGTTCAGGTCGTCATGTTGTCGAACAATTTCCAGCTTTAGCGACTCGTCCGTTCTTGTCCGTGTGCCAAGATCGTCGTCCAGATATTCGACCAGCGCAAGCAACGACTGTGATTCGAAACGTCGCGACATATGAACGTCTTTGGAGTTTTTCTACAAAAATCGTTGGTGTTCAAATTGTCATGACCAGCTTGTCCATTGAAGACAGTTTCCAGGTCAGTCGTCACCAGCCCAAAACTAAAGATGTGAACTTCATCGGCTGTTTTGCATCGATGCGACGCCACAAGCTCTCCCAAGGATCCTTGACTAACAGCCAAGCTTGAGTGTCGCCAGGATATGCCCAGACCGGGCATTTCAACGCGGTCACGTCGTGAGTTTCGGTGAGTTGCCCAGAATCTCAGCCCCTGGTCTTTCTGTGGGTGAAAAGTTTAATTTCCTGTCACTGGTGCAATAAAACGTGGCTGGATTCCCTCTTATCAATCTGATCATCTTGATCTGATCTGATAACTTTTCTTTGACGACACTTGGTCCTCTTTGCACCTTTTGCAAGATGGGCTTCTTCAGCCGTAGGTTTTGCTATGTGGTTTGTTTATACATAACTTTTACTGATCTCGAGTCACAGAAGATGGTATCCGCTCGACGAGGACTTCGACTGAGAAAAAGCTTGTGAGGAAACTTGGTTCGTCTTCTTTTGCACTCGATGGATGATGGCGGCTGACATGTCGATAGATTTCTTCCTCATGGTACCTACCTGATCNNTTCTTCGCCTTGTTTTGTGACGACCCTCTGATCGATGTACAGACTTACTGCTGTGCCTGCTACTTCTTCAACTACCTCGATCGCCAATCATTCGCCAATGCATATGTCTCCGGCCTGCGTGAGGACTTGGGTCTCGTCGCCAACGAATACAGCATCTTGTTGTCAATGTGGACGGCAGGTAGTGTCATTGCTGGCATCCCTCACTCGTTGATCATCCAGAAAGTCGCACCTCGGGTCTGGCTTCCATTGAATCTGATTCTCTGGTCGGGAGTGACGATGTGTCTTGCCGCATGCACAGATTTCAGAGGTCTTTGTGCGGCTCGCTTCTTCCAGGGCTTCTTCGAGGCAAGTGTCTATGGAGGCAGCATGTATGTGTTTGGCTCGTGGTACACGCCTTCTGAACTCTCCAAGAGAGCTGCAATCTTTACCGCCGTCGGGCAGGTTGGCAGCCTGTTCTCAGGGCTCATGATGACAGCGATGAACAAATCCCTGCACGGCAATGCCGGTCTCACGGGATATCAGTGGGTTTTCATCATCAACGGCTTGATGGGTATACCCTTTGGTATCTTTGGCTTCTTTTTCTTCCCCAATCTTCCCGAGACTATTACGGCTTCTTACCTCAGCAAGGAGGAAATCCAGATCGCGCACGATAGACTCGGAGCCAGGAAAGACAACAGTCATAGCATACACTGGAGATCGTTGGTTGGCAGAGTGCTCAAGACACCGCACATCTATCTGCTCGCCTCATTGTCGGTGATTTCTGGCATGCTCGAGGCATTTGCTTTCCAAGGCATGTTGCTGCTCTGGATGAGATACCACAAGGCGCGATTCAGCCAAACCGCCATTACCACCTATCCTCTTGGCATCCAATCCGTGGCCATCGTATCCCAGATTGGCGCAGGCATCTTCATCGACCGAACTGGCCAAAGAGTTCCCATGGTTGTGCTGGCGGCGAGCGTCCAGCTTGTTGCTGCTATCTTGCTCTTGCAACCGCATCTCTCTGACGGCGGAGTATTTTCTGCTCACTATCTGAGCGGCACTTCGTTCATCGTCAATCCCGTCATGTATGGCTGGGCCAATACCATTCTGCAACGCACTGGAGATGATGCAGCGAGATCGGTGATCTTGTATACCATGGCGCTGAGCGGTCAGCTCCTGTACACATTTTGGGGTATTGTCATGTATCCTGCAACCGATGCGCCGTACTGGAAGAAAGGAGCAATCACTATGGTTGTTGTGTGTTTTGCATATGTTGCAATTGGCTTCGGTGTCAAGAAGGTGAGTTTTTCCTTTTTCCTTGTCGGAATGCAGTTTGCTAATATTGCCGCAGNNCTTGATGATGAAACGAGACCGCTCTCGTCAGATGTTAGTGACGAGGACACAATCGAGGAAGTAGCCTCGGAACAGCAGACGACGAAAATGGGTTAGATGGTGCTAGCCACAAGATTATCAGATGGCTTGAAACTTATTAACCAAAATTTTGATTAGCCCGCATTCGGAAATTCGTAGTGGAAGAGGATAAGCGGGACGAGCTCCATAAACAAAGACCATGTCAAATCCATATAAGCCATCTTTTGAAAGTACCGCCAGTCTGGAATCGAAACACAAATGCTGCAAACTTAATCCCGCCAAGACTATTCTATCGCCTTGTCTGTTTCCTGTTTATACTTTCGGAAGAACCTCATACTCTTGTGGTTGGCACTGCGCTACAAGGCCTTGTCGCTGTGATACTGATTTACTGGAGAAGTAGTGCTGATAGGGGAGTCGATGTAACTACTAAGCCAATGGTGTTCATGGGCTTGAGGTGCCATCTGTGGGAGAGCAAGGCCCAACAAGGCGGAAAGTGGCGTCGATGCGCTCATCGTCAAACCCCTTCAGGTATGGCGCATAAGCACCGTCAACATAAGCAGCCACCTGCAAACCCCTGTACGCAACACCATTGACAGTGGCCCTACAATCAAGCTCCGTATCGGCACCAGTAATGGTACACAACAAAGACACGGCGGTTCAATTATCCTCGCGCATGGACCAGATAGACACAGGTCTATCGTCCCCATAGTTGTAGACGTTGGAGATACTGCCACCATTGTTCAGCAGCGATGAGGTGGAATTATTGTATGTGAAGACTTGAGGTCCCCATGGCGGAGAGACGATTTGCGGTGGTGAGAACGTGCCTTGATAAGTACCGTCGCTTGATTCATTAACACCTATCATCACTGTTCCGTCAATATCGAGACCCGTCCCAGAGACCTGGACATAGTAGAATGAGCCGGCTTGAGTTGAAACACAGCTGGCGACGTTATCGCCAATTCTGGATGCAGTTGTGGTTGTTGCTGACGGAGCAATATCCGTAGGGGCTGTAATAGCCAATGGAGTCACTCCTGCTGGAGTCTCATAGCCCGATATCTGTATCATTGAAATTGCGTTGGCTGGACTAGAATTGACGGGAATATCCGTAGCGATTGCAGAAGCCAATGAGGTGAATGTAGCGTCTCTTGAAGACACACTCAAGTTCGAAAAACAGACGCCAGAGGCCGTCGAAGTGATTGTGGGTCCCCCAATGACCGAGAAAGATGTCGCCGTAGCCTCGACGGTCAAGGTTGTTACTTGGATCTGTGGAAGGGAACATGAGCCAGAGATGGTGATAGCGGGTTCTTACATGGTGCGAGTGACTGTGGTAGTTTTCTGCTGATTCGCTGAAGTGCTGGCCTGGATTGTAACGTAAGAGATCGAAATGACAGTCTCTGGAGATTGTGGACTCTGAGACGCTGGAGGTCGAGATTTTACGTTGACTGTGACAGTCACCGTGCTGAGTTTGGTCACAGTTTGCTGGATAGATGGACTGGCCGTGCTGACAACGGTCTTAGTGGTGATGGAGTTCGGACAGGTTTGAATCTTGCAGGTTGCGGAAGATTTGATAGTGACGGTCGACTGCGGTTGAAAATTGACCACAGTCTTGATGGTGGATACTGTCTTGGTATTTAATTGGACACAAGTCAGGCATTGAGATACGTCAAAGATTCATCATCATCGTAGCTCCTGGACAGTAGCAGTAACGGTAGTCGTTTACTTGATGGTGGTCCGCTTTGTTCTCGTCATCACCAGAGTATCTGTCTCCGTTTTGGTGCGGAGTCTGGTTTATGTTGCAGTACATGCCGTGACTGATGATATGATGCAACTGTATACACTCGAGACTGCGGCGGGCTTGAGACCAATGATAGGTGAGGATGTCCGCGTCCTGTATAGAAGCGATCAGCTGCGGCACTTAGTTTTGAGATTCAAGTAGGATCCACCTCGACAAGTAGGAGTAACAGAATGCTACAGATGAGCTTTGCTGACTCTTGATCGTGTTGAGGTTTGCTGTGTTGCACTCTGAGGGCAATGAGCTGGGTGCCCCGGAGCGGTAACCAAAGATTGCTGACTGGCTGCTCTCTCCTCGAGCGGCAAGGCAAAGGTCGATAGACACAATGCTAGAGTGGTAGCTGCGATGGACAGTTTCATTTTTTGTGATCAGCGCACACAGCCCTAGAAATTGAGAGAGGATGGGATGGGAAGTAAAAGAATTTTACTTACCATGTGAATGGTCTTATGGTTTGTTCATGCAGTCTTGGTCTGGCAATCTTCTTCCCACGTTGCATCGTCCTGCTCACATACAGCTGAAGAGCTACTGCGTCTTCAGCTGAACAGGCAGGTGGACCAGTTCATTAGGTCGACGTCTTGATGCAGACTCGTTGACCTATAGTATAAGTTGGGTACATATGTAGCTTTCTGTGTTGGCAGATGGTGAACAGTTACTAGAAGTTCGATTCGGATCAACCTAATGGGTAATTTAAGGGTTAGACGTGACATTGGTAATGTGGCAGGTTCTCGGGATAGCATCGTTGAAGCCAAGTTTCGGATGACTGACTGATTGTTTTTCTTCTGCTCTATTCTTCAGCGCTCGATGCTTTTCGTGTTTACATGATTACTCCTACCTAACTGTCTAGGCTTGTCTTAGCAGTAGAACAAATCTGACGTGTATCCATCGACTATATCGATTATCTCAGCTCCAAAATTGCCAGCTGGAATGGGACAATCTTACATTGCAGCCTATAGAGGAAGATGGTGCACTTGAAAAACGGCTTGATGTAGCCGCCCGCAGCTGAACCTGTATGACCGTTTTTCCGGGCTGCATAATATACAGACGCCGTTTTCAGAACGCAACGTCGAATTTTCTAGTTTTGCTGCTCACGTTTTGCTCCGTACCTTGATCGCGCACCTTATTCTCCTCTCGATTTGGCAGCATAATAATGATGTGCTTGAGCTTCATCTCATTGATGTTTCATACGTCTTCTATCACTATAGTGGTGACTGAGAGTTCCAGCGCTGATATGATTCCCTCGCAGTCCCGAATCTCTAACGGTAGCTGAAAAACGGTGTCTTGCTCAACTCCGGAGATGCTACAATTCCAGGATCACATCAGATGCCGCAAATCCTTCTGCTCGCTAGCCTGAGCACGTTATGCACGCTTCGCAGGATTGGGACGATGTTCTGGGCTCTCGTTAAAAGAGTAGACTGATCCCAATCTCCTCACCTCAACTCACTCGAATTTCGATTTCCTGCCAACGATGGGCATTCCTCTATCCACTCTCTCGTCTCCGTCACTCGATGGTGGTCTTGTACCTGCCTATGGCCTTGGTGATGTCGGCCCTTTTACTTCGGCCTTCACTGTCGATCCTTCCGACACGAACTCTCTCGGTTTCTCTGCGTCCATGACCAATATGAATGGCGATATCCAAGCCCAATACACGGATACTGCCAACACCCCCGTACTGCAAGCTGTTCTGCCCAGATCAATTCATACAGTTCAAGCACAAGTACATATTACACTGATATTGGTGGAGGCAGCTCTCAATTGACGTCAAGTGTCTATACTAACACGCTTGTCGCTTACGGAAGTATCTTGTGTCCTATCGCCAACACTCAGATCGGAACCGGGCCCATGACTCTTGCCTTGGATAGTTTTTACGGGGAGGGGTTCATCCTGGGCACATACGCCATGTACTTTGGTCAAACAACAGCCACTGTATCTCCACAGCCAACAACAACCACAATGATCGTCCCGGGCCAAGCTACTTATCTGGCAACTAAGACCGAGACAGTCTTTGTGACCACGGAAACCGTTGGTTTTACAACAACACTTACTGGACAATATCCGGCATCTCGTTGCTCAGCCTTGCAAACCTCATCGGAGACCACTCTGTTGACATCCACTAGAAGTTCCGCTTCTTCTACGAGCAGCCTATCATCACCATCGAGCACTTCCAGCTCTCAGTTGTCTCCATCAACTGCCACTTTGAGCCTGAGTCGCCGTTCTTCCTCGAGTAGTTCCAGCTTACAATCTTCTCGCAAGTCGAGCTCGATAGCAGGCTCGAAGTCTGAAAGCTCGAGCTTGTTATCATCTACAAAAACTAGCAGCTCATCAGCTCGTGCCGTCAATTCAAGCTCCTCCGGGTCATCTGCTTTCTTTACGAAGACTTCGTCCTTCAAAACGACCTTCTCATCCAAAACAAGCTCATCTCCAAAACCAAGCTTATCTTCCAACAAGTCAACCTCTTCAAAGTCGACTTCATCCTCGAAGACCAGCAGCACCATGTCGAAGTCTAGCAGTTTGAAGATAACATCGAAGTCTAGCAGCTCGAGGATAACAACAAGTTCGACAACCTCAAAAGCCATTTCTAAGAGCAGTATAAAGCCCGTCACAAAGACTACGAATTCCAAGGTCACATCTAAGTCGACTTCTTCAAGCAAAACTTCCTCATCGCCCGTCTGTAGCACTGGCGCTGATTTGAAATCGCTGTCGAGCTATCCTTCTGTTGCGAGTCGTCTTTGTCAAGAGATCCTGAGCACCAAGGTAACCTTTCCAAGCTCAATTTCTGTGTGGCCTGCGATTCAATTGTCAAGCGCCTGTTCTTGCTATGGAAAAGCTTCTCCCACGAAGATCGGCACTCCAGCGAAGGGGTCGTTGCATAAGAGGTACACAGTGGAGGTGCAATCCTCTTCGACGGCGGTCTTCAGTAACTCCTCATCGAGTTCGTCATCATCTACGTCTACTGCTCCAACAACTGTTTCGGGATATGGACCGCCAAATATCTATTCTGTTCCTACTACGACGATTACCACAACTGGAACGAACACAGTATTCATGTAAGTCTTTGTCTCTGGTATCATTCCAGACAGCAACTAACGGCATTGCAGAACTGACGACCCCACCACTTTCCCCATGACTACTACCACAGTCACCATTGGCACCACTACTGTCACGAAGAACTTTACAGTGACGATCGATCAACGCACGTTGCCCACCACGTGCATCTCGAACTCCAACTCTACAACAATCAACCTCTCAGCGCGTTCTCTCACTTGCACAAACCTGAAACTACATACCGCATTCCTCTGGGTCATGATGAAGAACCCCTTCGACTTCTGCGCTTACTACCTGACTGCCAACCGCAACACATCTCCCTTGCCAGAGGTGAGTGCCAGCACTCTAAAAGATACTTGCAGCTGTCTGGTTACCCACAAGAGTGCACCATTACCTTTGTTCAAGGTCGGATCTTCCTATTCGCCGAAGCCCAAGAAACAGTGCAATATGTCGGTGGCTTCACTGATTGAGGCGAAGTTCAAGGAACCGGAGGCGTTTTGCAAGTACTACACTAGTACTTCGAGGAGCATTTCACCGTTCTCGATGCTTAAGCCTGGCGACGTGTTTGCCGGATGCAGTTGTCTAATTTAAGAATCTCCATAAAATTCGGAAACCCATGTAACATAGATGTGTGGTCAGAGAACAAATCTTCGATAACGTTATGTCCTGCTCGGAACGCTTCCATCTACATCTGCGTATTTCTTATGCTCGAGACATCCGCTCAACACATTCAAGTGAAAGACGATCATTCTATACCGGCGTTCTACAGCTATCGTCGAGAAACCAATCGGTGGACCGTCACGCTTTTTCGGCCACCGTGAACTCATCCCACATAGGTTTTCCGATCAAGGTACTTAGTCCCTAACAACCTCCTCGTGCATTGCGACATTATTCTTCTCCATTGCGACAGCAGCACCCTTTGGGTCTTCGAGAGCATGTGGCACCAACTGATCACCGAACAGCTCATCCATCTGTTCGAGAGTCTTGCCCTTGGTTTCTGTAGAAGCCATGTTAGCAAGATGCTCAAAGAATCAGGACAGCGACACAACTTACCAGGGNTAAAAGAAGATATAGCAGAGCATGGCAATCACATTGAAGACAAAGAAGACGTAGAAATAGCGGAAGCCAATCGTCTTCAGGGCCTGAGGAGTGAACTGAGCAAAGATGAGGTTGAGCACCCAGTTCGTGAATGTCGTTGTCGCGTTTCCGAAAGCTCTGACCTCGACTGGGAAGATCTCAGCAGGGTAAACCCAAGAGATGATACCGAGAGGAGTGTAGAAGAGCGAGAAGACAAAGTTCATGGCGACCATAGCGCGAAGCATGTTTTCATTGTTGGGGTTGAGGTGTTGGGACATGGCGGCGTTGCAGACGAGAGCGGCTCCAAGACCAGCAGCGGAGATGATGAGGGGCTTGACGCGACCGAATCGCTCGAGTGCCCAAAGGCCGATTGTACAGTAGACAATGGATAACGAACCGCTGATTCCGATGATCATGAGCGAAGTTGAGTTGTCGATACCAAGGATCTTGTAGATCTCAGGACCTNNAAACAAACAGTATCAGCATTGCGTTTTGAGTGGTAGATGTAGAACACACATACCGTAGTAGTTGATGACATTGATTCCACTGAGGGGACCAAAAGCTTGCACACCACATCCAAGCAAAAGACGCTTGCGCCAGCTTGCCTTGGTGAAGATGGTGCTGATGGATGTCGAGTTGTTGATGCGATCGGCTTCAATGACGTCTCTGATCTCGCGGAATTCCAGCTCGATACGTTGGTCAGTCTCTGCAGTTCCGTCGTGGTGGAGCTTCTGGAGAACGGCTCTAGCTTCCTCCCAGCGATCTTTTTCGCAGAGCCAACGGGGACTCTCTTGGAGGAACCAGATACCAGCGACCAGGATCGTGGCGGGAATGCATTGGAAAGCGAGAGGAAAGCGNCCCTTGTCGAAGAGTCAGATTGGTGAAAACCATAACTTCATGCCTTGCTTACATGAGAAAGGTCCTTTTACATGCTGACACCCATAGCCAATCCATTGAGCGGCGAAGAAGCCCCAGGAGAGGAACCATTGTAAAGCGCCAGACAAGGCTCCTCTGTATCGAGACTCGGATATCTCGGCCGCATACATGGGGATGGTGGAAGTGAGCATACCGACAGCAGCGCCTGCGACGAATCTGNNTCAAGATATGTCAGAAAGTGTCCAGCCATGCTACTTTCGGGAATCATACCTTCCAATCATGAGCATGACCATGTTGACAGCTGCTGCTTGCAAGACACATCCAATCAAGGAGATGACTGAGCCTGCAGCGATTGTCTTCTTTCGACCCAAGCGGTCAGCGACGACCATATTGATGATCGTGCCCAAGACAGCACCGCCCTGGAAGGTTGAGACAATGCCACCAGTGACAGTGCTGTTTGGGTTGTTGAAGTACTCGATGAATTGGGGGAAGGAGATAACCCCTCCTATGATTCCGGAATCATAACCAAAAAGAAAGCCACCGATCGCGAGGAAAGCACTCGACAAGATGACCGTTGCTTTGCCCATGATGAAGCGTTAGCCTGGTTGGATGTGAAGATACTAGATGATGGCTTGGTCCTTGGGAAGGATCTGCAATCTCTTATATACACATGCATGGTCTACTTGACCCCATTCCCCACACATCTACCCGGAATGTGTGCCATGGGGAGGAACCCTAGAGCGGGGCGAGACTCGGGAGACTAGCAAGGCAAAGTCGATCATGGGGCAACCAACAAGCCAGAATGATACCAGTGATGAGAACTCAATCTTGCTGTAAGCATCTCGAATAGGAACAGTGTGGTGGGGATCTGCTTGGTAGGTCGCGTAGGTAAGAGGGGTGCCCTAAAAGCACTTCCAAAAGAGGAAATAGCGTCGGTGCATCTCCTGCGAAATTCGAACCTAGAGGAACGGTTCGCTGCATCTCGCGCGAGCTGCAGACCCATCGGCATATCTTGAGACCGTCATAGCCGAACATCAAAGCAAGTTGACATGCCTTAACATGCAGACCATGGCATGGTGAGAAGAAAGGTACACTTGATCCACGACTTTTGTTGTTGTCGCTTCACGGCAATTTCCCCACATTTCGGCAATTGGATCTGGCTACCATGAAAGTTGCAAGCTGTGGCATCCACGGTTTTCATGAGACCATCGGCCTTGATGTCAACGAGATACGAGTATTCTGGACGCTTGAGAGCGACGAGTATGCTGAGCAAACCGCCTACCGTGTGATAATCTCGTCATCGGACTCAAGCATAGCTGCTGAGGCAGCCATCAACGCCACCTGGGATTCTGGTAAAGTCTCCACGAACGAGCAGCGAAACATTCTCTGCAAACCCAAGGATGGTTTCCGCTCAACAAGCTTCTACTACTGGAGAGTGACAGTATGGGACAAACAGGATGTTGCTTCCCACTCTGAGGTCCAGACCTTCTTCACCGCATACCCCAGATCTCAACTGCTGCCACCTTACTCCATGAACCAGAAGTACATGCCACATTCAAGTCTCATCTTTCGTACATGGTTTGAAGACATCGAGAACAAGTGGAAGGCTGTTTGGATTGGAGATGGTGGTGACAAGCCATTGTACATTCGTAAAGGCTTCAATTTGGCTCGTAAGCCAACCAAGGCTATAGCTCTCGCTTCAGGTCTTGGACATTTTGATCTTCACGTGAACGGTCAACCTGCTTCTGACCATGTCATCGATCNNCCGGGTGTAAGTCATTCTATGTTATCGTATGTTGCAAGCCGCTCATCGTTTCTAGGGTCGAACTACCACCGTACCGTTCAGTACGTCGGCTACGACCTAACAGCACACCTTGACGCTGGAGAGAATGTTCTCGCAGCACATGTCGGTAACGGTTTCTATGCCGGTAGCGGCACCGAGGAAGACCGATTCTTCTGGCCCATGTATGAAGACAACACTTATGTTCGCTATGGCAATGAGTTGTGCTTCTTCGCCGAGCTTCACTTGTTCTATGAGGATGGCACCCACGACATCATTCACACCGACCCCTCATGGAAGGTCCGCAAGAGCGCGACTACGCTTGCGAATATCTATGCTTCTGAGACGCACGACAAGCGTCTATATCCCTCGGGTTGGACGTCGCCGGGCTTCGATGGGAGCGAGTGGAGTCTTGCAAAGCCGCTGACCGGACCTCGGGGCTTGCTGCGCTACCAGAGTCAGCCACCAGTCATTCTTCACGACAAACTTGAGCCTCAGTCTACAACAAATCCTCGACATGGTGTGGTCTGCTTCGACCTCGGACAGAATGCTTCCATCATGCTTCATCTGTCTGTAGAAGGGCAAGCCGGTTCCGAGATCATTGTCCGATACTCCGAAACGGCCAACGATGACGGAACAGTCTTGATGCCTGACCCGCTGTTCAAAGATTTCGAGACCAAGGTCTACTCCAAGATATATCTGACTGGAACAGGCGGGCCCGAGGATTGGCGACCAGACTTTTCATTTACTGCTGCTCGATTCATACAGATCGAAGGTGTTGCAACGGAAGACGGACACGGACTCCCTGTTGTACGTTCTGTATATGGAAGACACATCTCCTCTGCCTCCCAGCGTGTAGGCTGCATGAAGACCGACAAGGACGATGTCAATGCATTGATCAAGGCATCGCAATGGTCGCTATCCAGTAACATCTTCAGTTACCACACAGACTGTCCACAGATTGAGAAATTCGGCTGGCTTGAGGTAACTCACCTTCTGNCACCTGCGTCGCAATACGTGTTTGGTATGGAAGCACTCTACACCAAAATCATCTACGATATGATCGACGCTCAAGAACCTAGTGGTCTTGTTCCAACAATGGCGCCTGAAATCAGATATATGTGTGGCCCTCTGCACGATACAATCAGTTGGGGTGGAGCATTGTGCTTGTTACCCGAGTTGCTTGTCAAGTACTACGGCTCCACCTGGGTCATACCGCAAGTCTACCCAGCCGCTGTACGATACATGGAGTACATGAAGACCAAAGAACGCCTTGGAGGGCTCATCGAACACGGTCTAGGAGATTGGGGTCGCGACATTGCTTGGGGCAACCTTCAAGCCAACATCGAAACCGCCTACTACTACAAATGCCTCCAGAACACCGCAATGATGGCCAAACACCTCGGTCACTCCGAAGAAGCTGCAAAATATGAAGCTTGGGCTGCGCGAGTCCTCAAGGTATACAATCGCGAACTCCTCGTCACGGATGATGAGACTCTGCCGTACGCTTACTACACCTCCCGCGACAACATCGGCCAAAGAGACTGCCAAGCCGTCGCTCAAGCATACGCTCTGCAATTCAACATGGTGCCTCTCCAACACATTCCCTCAATCCAACGCGCCTTCCTCGCCAGCGTAAGCGACAACCGTATTCGCTCCGGCGAACTCGGTCTCAAATGCATCTTCGAAACCCTGGTCGATCTGCAGCGTCCGGATATCGTGCTGGCAATGGCCAGACAAGAAGAACACCCTAGTTACATGCGCTTCTTACGCAATGGCGAGACCACTTTTCTTGAGTTCTGGCAAGATGAGTGTAGATCTAAGAGTCATGATTTGTTTTGCACTATTCATGAGTGGTTTTATGCTGGTGTGTTGGGAATACGACCGCGGGGAGATGCATACAGGACTTTTAGCATTGAGCCGCCGTATGATTCCGAGTTCAAGGATGTGGAGGGTCATGTGGATTGTCCCTACGGCAGGATCATGGTCAAGTTTAGCCAAACTGTTGAGAGAGTGGCTCTGAATGTCTCTGTTCCGGTGGGAACAAAGGGGTCAATCAAGGTTCCCGAAAGTGTCAAGTCGTCAGTCAAAGTATCCCGAGGAGACGAGATCTTGACAGTGGAGGCAAAGAATCAGTATCTGGACTTGAGAAATGGCAGCTACTCCATCGAATTTCGGTGAGGGTTGAAAGCCGCCACATTGTCGAGTCACGATCAACATTCCACCTTCCTAGTCCTGCCTTGATCTCTCGAGCGATCCAAGGTTTCTCAATCAAGCACGCAGATACTGGCAAACAGTCATAGTGAGTTGGAGATTGGGCTTTGCTTAGAGAACGTGTATACGAGTACGAGTGCTGGTGACATCCGCTGACCAAAGTCAACGCGCTGATTGGCTGCTTCCCGATTCCTCTCTACTCCAACGTCGACATCAACATCACAACACATCGGCTCAGATCCTGCCTAGTAGGCTTTATTACGTGTCTCCCGGCAACATCCTTACGGGGATCCCCAAGAGTCTTACATATCCAGGACCTCTTATTGGCTGGGAGGTCGACAACACCTCGATGTCCCGAATTTGCGCCCTCGCCAGTGACGAAAATGAGCACTTTATGGTTGGGACTAGGTTGTCACGACTGCAGGTTTCTTGCGTGACTTGGTGACATGTAGTATACCATGAGCCATATGAGTCGGCATGCCTTGAAGTGTCTACACAAACTACTAACGGCTGGGGCAACCGAGTGTGACGGCCTGGCAGGTCTTCTGTAAGCTGTCCTTCCAGTGAAAGTATAAAAAGTCCCAATTTCTCCAATTATCCTCTGACCATTCATACTCTCAGCGGTGAACGTTCCGTTTCCTCAAGCAGCGCACATTTATCATGCAAGACACCACCCATACTGAAAGACATGCCAACAACAATGACCTGATGCGAAACTTCATCATCGGGTTTAGCGATGGCTTGACTGTCCCGTTCTCACTCACGGCGGGGCTCTCCTCGCTCGGCTCGTCGAAACTCGTCATTCTCGCCGGACTAGCCGAGCTATTCTCCGGAGCCATCAGCATGGGTCTTTCCTCCTTCTTGGCTGCATCCACAGATGCAAAGCAATACGCGGTCGAGATGGCACGCGAAAAACTGGAGATTGAGCAATGTCCTCTCGCCGAGGAGCAGGAAATCTATGACATTTTTGCGCAGTACGACATACCACGTATGCATGCTTGTATGATCGTTGAGAGCTTGAAAGACAACCCTGAGATGTGGGTCAAGGTGAGTTTTGAAAACGGACACGGATCGCAACAAGCATCGTTACATACTGAAGTACTTTTTGTATTCAGTNTCATGATGGACTTTGAGCTGAAGCTCACAAAGCCAAATCGTGCTGGTGCCTGGGTCGAAGGTCTGGTGATGGGACTCTCGTATCTACTAGGTACTTTCTTCTTGCTCGTGGACGCCTACTGCCTGAAGTTACTGACATTGCCGAAGNGTGGTCTGCTGCCGATGATTCCGTACTTCGTGTTCAAGCGAACGAACGACGCGCTTTTCACGTCCATCGGTATTACTATCACCGTCCTCGTCGTATTTGGTTACGGCAAATCTGCAATCATTGGAAATCCAAAAAGCGACTCGATCGTTAGCGCCTGCTACACCGTTCTTGTAGGTATCATCGCTGCAGGTACTAGTTACGGTATCGTAAGGGGTATAGATGCTGCAAACCCTGTCAGGATGTAATCTATCTCTTTTGAACCAATATAACAATGGCTCTGAACGCCTCTCGAGCTTTCACCGTAACAGCTACGAGGAAGCAGCCATTAGGGGAGAGAAGTGTTGAAAGAGGTGATCTATGAAGCTTGGTATTAGTGATGATTGAGCGAGATAGCATGAGAGTCCTTACGTATTGCCAGCCGAATGAAAGAGCGAACAGTCCCAATCCTTCATTGTTGGTCGCACCGCCAAAGAGGTTAGTGAGCACAGCAGCCTTCTCACCAGTAGCTTTCATGGCAGCCAAGCAAGGTACAGATACAGAATTCAGCCATGGAAAGATGTATGCGGGAAAGAACTCGTAGAAGAACATGCCCACAAAAGCATACCAGAAGTATCGAAGGGGCTTGGAGTCCTTCACCTCTTGCCAGTGCAAACCTTGCAGTGTCTTGACAGTAGGCAGAGTGCTCCAGTACACAGCTTCGACATGCCATAAAGCAATAGGTCGTAGCAGACCACAAAGAATGTAGCCGAACAGACCAATTGAGATCATTGTCAAGATGACAGTCGTGGGACTGATGGGCAGATCGTAAAACGACTCTTGTGCTGCGAAAACTAGCGAAACAGCAGCAGCGTTTGAGGCCGAAAAAGCAGTGATGGAACAGATGGCGTGCTCTTTGAGTCCCCATGGTCCAGGATTGATGAAGACAAGCAACGAGATCCAGAATGGTGCCTTGTTGTCGCCATTGTTCGCCTTCCATCGAGATAGATGGCGGTCGCCACGAGGAAGGAACTTGGCCCAGGCATTGCCGACAAAGTAAGCAATGAGGACGATGAAAGTACCTTGGATGGTGATTGAAGTGGGTTTAAACTGAAAATCGTTAGCAACTGGTCAGCTCAGACGTATAGTTCGGTGACTTGCTGTATAGATCTGGTTCATGACGGCTTGAAATGCAGAGAGACAAGACGCCAGGAAGATACCACGAAACGTCACTGACGGGTCTCCATCGCCGCGAAGTGGCAGTAGGTGAGCGGCTGCATCTGCTCCTGTGACTATGATATGATCAGGGTCATCGGACTTGTCGAAATGGCCGCTCGAAGCATCCGGGGAAGGCACGGCAGTGATCTCTGGCTCGAGTCCTCCTTTCTTCTCAGACTCTGCATCGTATGCTAGGATCGAAGGACGCCCAAACACAAAGTCTTCATCATGTGCCAGGGGCATGGGCCGGTGATAGGCTGGACAGAGATATCACAGGTTGTTTCCCCATCACGCCAGATAGAGCTAACGCCCGAGGTTGTAAGGTAGCAATGGTCAAAACCAGCAAGGACTGTGAGCAGCCTTTATTCTATCCATATCGCTTAACATAGCAGTTTTGTAAAATCTTCCGTATTCGCCATCTACCCTCGAGATAGCGTAGGTTATGGTGTGATAGAGGAAGCGAGTTTCTGCATTGCATGATAGGACGTTGATCATAGTCGCACCAGAGGAGGGTCCAAACAAAGAACCATGATCGACAACCCAGGACTCTTTGATGCATGACAGCGCTATACGACGTCTGGCAATTAGCCGCGCGCAAAAAATAGTCGGTTGAGATTGCCAGAAAGAGCCTGCTACTAACCCGATTTGGAAGGTACGCCCAGACAAAACCTAAGGAAGATTGATCAGGCATAACGACATATCATTGGAAAATTGTACCATTCACCCATCAAGCATTGAATCTGCTTTTGATGTCCGTGATGGAAAGGAGGTTCAACAGTTTCTAGAATTGGATGCTTGTAGACAAGCTTTGGTTCTGGCTAATTGGCGGATCTGGGGTCTTGCCTCCTGAGGCTTGGAATAGAAGCTTCTATACGGTCGAAAGGTCTTACCAGTCGTTCCATGGCATTAGGTTGTCAAGAGCCTTGAGTGATTTTCGTATCCACTCACTTTGCTCATCGTCTCTGCATTCTTAGTGACCTGCCAGGGCTGCCACGATCCTAGGGTCACAAACTTGACTCAGTACATTCTGAGGGCAGACAGACCATACTTTGGCACAAAGTTAGCATAGCAACGAGCAAGCATCCCTGTGCTTTGAGATCCGCTCCTGGCCAAAAAATTCTTATACAGAGACTTGCAAGTTTGAGCTTAGCAACTATCTAGCGGGATAACATGAGCGTAAGTGCAATGACTCCAGAACACATAAAGCAGCATCGGTGATAATCGACGGCCATTTGCAAAGCTTTGTCATGTCTCTCATATTACGGTGTGGTCTGGATCTAATGAGACGCTGATAGAACCTCCACAATGCGATTGATACAAAGCAACCCAATCATAGAACTCGAAGGAGAAATTGTGCTCTTCCAGTTGTCACCATACCAATTAAAAGATCCAGCGTAATGCAAAAGTCAGAATAAGAAACTGCGATATGCGTAATTAACTAAGAGCTCAAACAGAGGGTTCTCTACCATGACATTCGAAGAGAAAGAAAGCAACAGCAATGAAGGTAAAAAAAGGCTTGAAGAAGCTCAATCTTGTCAAACAAACAAATCTAAATCTAAATCTAAGAAAAAAAGTGGATATCTCAAAACACAAAAAGTCCCAAAAGGCCCAGGACACCCCGACATGATCATAATAAAGCCATTCCCAAATATTCCTCGATCTCCTGTAACCATAATCATTAATCCTGTATTGCAAAGAAATCTGCTTTAACGACCGCCAATCTGCCCTCTAGGCACAGGTCTAATCCAACTAGTCAAAACACCCATGCCCATCATGATAGCACCAATAGTCAAGAAACTCTGTCCATACAGCGTAGTCTTGCCATCAATACTATACCTAAAGATAATAGCAAAGATGATACCGCCAAGGTTTCCACTGGCGCCAACGACGCCAGAAACAATTCCATTGGCATGGGGATGCACATGAGGAACAAGCGAATAGTTAAGTCCATTGGCGCCTTCGAGGAAGAAGCCTACACCGCCGGTGATGAGGCCAACGAGAGCAGGACGCGAGTGAGGGTTAATGACACCGGTGATGACCATGAACATGCCTGCGAGGGTGACATAGACATGCAACAGCACCTTCTTGCCCCAAGGCCCAGACATTTTGTATGCGTAGTCGGAAACCAAGCCACCGAGTGGGCGGAAGACGATATTCAAGAGTCCAAACATGGCAGCCCAGTTACCCGAATCCTGGAGACCGAGTTTGAGGTTGGCGCGGTAGTAGTTGCCGAGGATACTGTTAACGCTCAATTCGCAGCCGAAAGTGCAGAAGTAGCAGATACCCAAGACAAGGGTTTGGGGTGACAAGAGGACAGGAATGGCGTCTTTGAGCGAAGGCTTTTGAACAACTTCGCCGCGCACGGTGTCGAGCATTTGTTCTTCGCCCATGTGCGCTTCATTGTCGCTGAAGGTGCCGCGCATGTTGTCGAGTTTCTTTTCTTCGGTTTCGATGTCAGAGGTGGATGGTGTGCGGGAGGCCTCCTTTCTGGTCTTCTCGCCGGTGATCTCGCCAGTGCCTTGCACGTCGACGATGGCGCCCTCGAGAGCGTGGGAGCGCAGGTTGGTCTCGGCGGTTTGGAAGCGATCGGCCCACTTGCCTGTGGGAGTGTCGTCGCACAAGAAGAATAGAGCGAGTGCAACGGCGGTGATCAAGATGCCAGGAACGACAAAGGCAACGCGCCAAGCGACATGGCCAGTAAGACCTTGATCGCGCATGAGCGAGGTGTAGATGGCAGGCATGACAAAGTAAGTGATGCCACCACCAGAGTTACCAAGACCAGCAGTCAATGAGTTGGCAGTGCCGATAATGTTCTTGTCGTAGAAGCCAGTGGTCCATACTTGGCAAGGCACGAAAGAGCCACCGAGGATACCAATGAAGAATCTGAGAACATAGAGGCCAGCAGCGCTAGTGACAGTACCAGCCAAGAAGGTAGGAAGAGCACCAAGAAGCAAGCATCCAGCAAATGTGTATCTTGGACCAAAACGATCGCAAGCAGGACCGGCAACCAGACGGACGAGAAGAGTGGCAGTCAGAGCGATGATGTTGGAGTTGGCTATCTCGTGCTTGCTGATACCAATATCCTTGGCAATGACATCGCTGAGCAGCGGAGGGAATGCGTANCCTATCTTTCGGGTCAGCCACAGTCTGGGGGTGGGGATGTCATAGTGCACTTACCAAGACCAGAATGCCAGCAAGAAACCAAACCATGAGAAGAAGAACACACGACCATAGTTGTTGATAGGGTTGAGGATAGGGATAGAGCGGGCCTTCTTGTTGATGGGGTTGACCTCAGGGGCCGACCACAAAGTGCTGATACCCATTGTGATGTGGTATGTGAAATGTCCAGACTAGTGTTCCTTGAAGACGAGAGACTGCCAAAGAGTATTCTCCAAAGCCAGAAATAGGATGGCCTTGCACCTCTTTGGGATTGTTGGTATGTAATAGAAACCGAATGGAGAGACCAATTGCTGAGGTGAGGACGTGGAGGTTTAATATTCAACCTCTCACTCCTACTGACATCGAGGCACCTTGTTCAATGTATCTCCGGTGCACAACAGATTACCACAACGCCAAAGCAAAAACAAGTCCGCGGATTTGTGACTGCCGTCAGTGTGCAGATCTTGGGTCCTCAGCTAATTCTGGGGTTGGGAGGAAATCTGGAGCATCCAGTCCTCACTGGGCTCAGATAAGGAACTGCAGTGGAAATGGTCGAACGATGCGTGGATGTACACAGAGCCGCATATTGGGTCAGCAACGTGGGTGAGGAAACGGGTAGACTTCAGGCTAAGCCGTGTCGAGATAAGGATCCGGAACTTTTAGGATGCTCTGCACATGGACCTCTGATGTGCTAATTCTGTTTTCCTTTTTGCTACTCTTGAAAATAGTTAATCATATAGGCAACAAACTGACCTTTTGACCTCTAAAGAAGTATGCTCGTCGCACACTGTCAGTCCGATTAACCAACCCATATCAACCTGACAGAGTGCTGCGTTGAGTACGGCTTGCAATAGATACGGGGTGCCTGAATCGACGAATGGTTGACCATGCGTCGGGTTGGCTTATCTCTGGGCGCACAGATAACCACACCTTTCCGACGGGGAAAAGTGGGTTTGCAACATCCCCTGCCTTATCAGTGGCTTCCTGTTGTAAAAGCTCTCATCACAGAAACACTTGGCCATCTGCGATGTGAAGTTTCCAGATGCTCTTGGATGCATGTTATCAATTTTTGCTTTGTTCTCGAATGCAATTCCTTTCTCGTACTTGGCTGTCNNTTCGCCTCGGGAGATGGTGGTGTGGAGGATGCAAAAGCTTTGCTTGACTGCGCTCGAGTCGTGGATGCGTGTATCGCAGATCAACGTTTCCCATTACAAGACCATGGAAAGCTTTCTGTCTCTATCAATCGCAATGGTCCTCGCGACAGTCATCATGTGTGTAAAGCGAAGACAGAAATCTGTTGAACTGCCAGCTTGCCAGTGTCGTTGCGTTTGACGTTGACACAGCCTTGCCGTTAGCTCCCGCTGTCCCTTATCTGTAGTTGTAATTGACCAATCAGAGCAATTTTCTCCATCANNGGTCCCCAAACCTCTATCTATGCAGATCATCTTGTGGGTTTATCTTCTTCAGTCACTGACATGTGAAATATGCACTTTGTTTGTGCTATATAGAGTGCGCCTGGTCCTGTCAAAGTGCATGATGATTGCTTCTGCGTCGAAATTGAGCCTCTCTCTCACTCCCAATCTTGTAGAGTACAAATGAATTCTTCGAACCACGACGCAAGGATTTGTTTGTTTCAAGCGTCTTATCGTGGGAAGGGAGTCAGTGGTTCGAAAGATAGACTTGAAGACGAAGATTTTCTGCCAGCTCTTTATTTGTAAGTAGGGAGACTGGTTCTGGGCGCAAAGCCACACGCATGTTTTGCATGCTGGAAAGGTATATGATAGGCTGGGCAGTCAAGCTGGCGCACTGAGAACAGTTTATCAACAACGGCATGGCATGGGTATTGTGTTTGGCCGTCGAGGTGCCGCGGAAATACCTCTGTCGGGAGATACCATGTCTGTAAACTGAATGTAGTTCCTCTTCGTGCCAAGCAAGCTCTGTATATTGTATCGCTTCAACGTAGTGTCAAATCGACCTGATGTACCGCTCAAGCAAATGTGTGGCAGAAGCGAGTCTTTCAGACGCTTGCTCGAGTCAATGTGTTCTTGGGGGTGATCGCTGAAGCTCATATTGGCGCGAGTGAGTTGACACTCAGCCTACAAGCCGAGACAATCAGGCAAAGCAAGCCTTATCTGATACGGAAGGAATATTCATGCCCTCTTCGCAATCATCAAAGTTTCGCAGAAACTCTTCAGGATGGGACTTACAAACACACAAGCATCTCCTGGGAACATACCGGAGAAGCAGCAACATGGAAAACTTGTTGAAGTCTGCATTTGTCTCTCCTGACTCTGCTACAACATAACCAAGAGCTCAACCAAACTCGTTGGACTCCACCTTCAAGCTTCGCTTCTCCGGGAGTGAGGAGGACAAATAATGGCATCTCCGCGCAGCAGGTAGGCGCGTGCACAGAATAGTAACGTGGATTGTCGAGCTGTTGGCTTGGCGGTAAGGGTATGTTCTCCAGAGGTCCGAATTCACGAAGGCTGTGGTAGATAAGAGGACAGAATTCTTTGGCTGACTTATGCTTTCTTCTGCGATGCCGAGATATTGGGTCGTGGCTTGCTCTATGTCTCCAGTACCTGTCAGCAAGAAGTATGACTGTTGTGGGAGGTAAATCTCCGTGTCGAATTTTTATTTTCGTAGGCTGTCGTGCTTAGACTTGAGCTGCCTCGTCTCTTGTAGCTACCGTTGGAGGTTCAGTCTCTTCTGTGCCAGCCGGCATCTCGATCTCCTCTTTGACGACGGAAGTCTCGCTTTGATGACCAACCTCCGGCTTGACGTTCTCTGCGGGCTGCTCTTTGGGAGCCTCGATCTTCTTCTTAGGTTGTTCTTTGGGAGAAGGCTCGAAGATTTCAGCCAGGTTGTATCGCTTCAGTGCTTCATAGTCGTTGGGCACTACACTGATACCGCAGATGCTCTACATGAGTTAAGTACTGGTCACAAGGTATACGGAATCGGATTGGCTTACAGTGTAGATCTCGACCAAGATGAGGACATCTGAGTTCTTGAGATCAACTTGATGTCCTGGGCCGACGGTCGACGCAACTTTTTGGATGATATCCATTCGCTTCATGACATTGTGATTACGAATTGTGGGACGAATGGCGAACNNTAGGAATATCATCAGTATTCATCGATGCCGTAGGTAAGCGGAGGCACCAACCTTCGTAGGCACACGCGGCTCTGTGTGAAAGTGAGGTGCAAGAACCTCCTTGGCTGTCTTCTCGAGACCCTCCTCGGTGGCCTTGCCCATCAAAGTCATTGGGGTAAGGCGGTTGCAGAATCTGGTACGCTTTGGCGCATTTGGTTTGGCAGCATCTTCGCAGATTCTTCGTACAAACGAAACGGGCTCGACAGGCGCTCTGGTCTTGAAAAAGATTACTNNAGTGCCGGTATTAGTGATGTAACGAGATTTGTAGCAGATCGACTCACCGCATTGAACGTCCAGCTTGATTGACCAGAACAGAGGTTTTGACTGAGGCTTGCGAATGTCTGCGAGTTCTTGCTGGATTTCGGCCTCGATGTTGATTTCACCATCACCCTCGTCATCAGAACCAGCAGCACCAGCTTCCGCAGCCAGTTCTTCTCCGTACAGCAGTTGAGCATACTATATCCGATGTTAGCGTGATCATCAATTGCCACGGTCGTCATGTACCTCGTTGAAAAGATCACGAAGTTCTCCTGTGCATTTGCCTTCTCTACCCTTGTCGCATGTGGCCCAGATGCCTTGGTCGCCTGGTAGGATCACTTTTTGCGATGCGTACTGATCGACTTTGCGAGGTACACGCCATTGTTTCNNTATCGCCCAGTCAGTCTTGGAGTAATCAGAACATCAGATGCAGAGATTTACCTTTGACTTCTTGTTGCTTTTATCTGCACCAACTGTAGGTGCGGCACGCTTCTTGCTTTCTTCGGCCATGGTTTTGATGGTTTAGTGAGGATGGTGATGGAGTTTTTCTTCGAATGCAACTTTCCAAAGCCGGCAAGCAAGGTCGAAGTGCCAAGCAATTTCAGAAGGAAGTCATTCTCAAGCAAACAAAGCGTCACTTCAGTCTAAAGTCAAGAAGATTGAATTGAAAAGGAAATCATTCATGCGTTTTGTACAGCTAAGTAAACTGCCTCATACCCGCAAAGGGAGGCATTTTTGGAAAATCAATAGTAAAAAATAATGCTTTCCCACTCTTTGGCCCAAATTCCTTCAACGCCGACGACGCCGCTACTCCGACAAGAATGGCTTTGCAGGAAATACCGCCAATCTACATGCTCTTCCTTGACTTCTTCTTCTCCTTCTTGTCATCACCACCCTCGCTCTTGCGCTTCTTCTTCTTTTCCTTCTTGTCGGCTTCGTCGTCCGAGTCACCGCCCATTGACTTTCTCTTCTTCTCCTTCTTTTCCTTCTTCTTCTCGTCCTTGGACTTTTCCTTGCGGACGGCCTGCTCGGTTGCTGCGGCGGTGACACCGTCAGCCATCTCGACGTCCTCGACGGCGCCAGCGGTGGGGTCCTCGACGTTGATGTCTCCAAGAACAGCGTTCATTGCGGCTTGCTGATAGGTTGTTAGTTTCGTGCATTTCAATCACAGTCATTCAATCATGCTTACCATTGCTTGCTCGTTCTTGGTGGGGGCCTCGCCAGTGGCGTAGAAGTTCAGTCTCTCCTCAACCTGGGCCTTGAGGGCCTCACCAAACTTGGTGGTGGGGGTCTCTGAGAAGTTGTCGATTCTCGAAGCGATCGAGGTCTTGTTGGCAAGGAAACGCGAGATACGACCCTTGTTCTTGGCTCCAGCACGGCCGATGAAGGAAGAGTGGTAGATGATACCGAACTTGGGGGTGTTGCCCTTGGTCTTAAGGGCTCTGAAGAGGGCCTTCTCGGCACCGAGAATCTGGACGGTAGAGGCGGGGTACTTTGCGAGGTTGGTCAAGGAACCGGCCTTGGAGATGAGACGAGCACCGACGGTCTCGCCGATAAGAGCAGCCAAGTTGGGAGCGACGATGCTCATCTTGGAGACGAGGTAGTTGCCGACCGACTTGCGGTACTTGTTAAGGGAAACGACGCGCTCAGCGAACGACATGACGTTCTCCATGTCGGCGTCAGAGATGTCCTGACCCATGGAGACCTTTGCGGCGTCGATGATGCTGCGAGCGATAGCCTCGTCGTCGTCGACAATAGCGGCAAGGTCGTGCATGTTGTCCTCGGTGAGGGTCTTCTTGTCCTTGATCAAAAGAGCGAGCTGGGCGTACTTGGTGTTGTCCGAGACGATCTTGACCAGCTCGGGGAAGTGCCAGCCGTACCATTCACGGACACGCATGGAGAAGAGGTTGACGGCCTTGTCGAGGTGGTCGATGGTAGCAATGGCCTGGATGATGTGGTTGTCGTTCTTCTGGACGCTGAACTTTACCTTGGCACGCGAGTAGGCGTGACCAAGACCGAGCTGGGCGCGGTCGACATCACCGGTCTGGAGCTGCTTGAGGAGCTTCTCGGCGTGCAGTCTCAAACCACGGAGGAGGTCGGCGCAGACTTCGGAAGTCTCAGACGTCTCGCACTCGAGCGAGGGGAATCCAGCCTTGATGCTTCCGGCGAGACCCCTGTCGGTAACACCGAGGACGGTCTTGTTCTTCTTGCTAGCCTTGGGCATGTTGGCCTCGAGGACGGTCTTCAGGTAGTCGGACATGATGCCCTCGGAGACGAGGTTGGCGTTCTCAAGAGCCTGGGCAGCACCCTGGAAGGGAGCGAAGGAGACGAGCTCGACCATCTTGCCNTGGGAGGGGTTAGACATTGCGCGCACTCATATTTGCAGGGTGGTAGAGGCGATACCGAACTTGGCGAGGTCCTGCGACTGCTCCTGGACTTCCTTGAGGCGCTGGCCGACCGAGTCGGCCTGCATGCGGACCTTGAAGATGGCATAGCCCACACCGGACTCGTGCAAAAGGTAGTCGACAGACATGGTGCCGATGATACGATGTCGTGATACGTGACCGTCGGGTTGACACTCTTGCTCGGGAAGAAAAAAGCTGGAGGACCAAAATTCAAGAGAGAAAATGCCAAGCATTCGAGCTTGCGGTGCCGTAGGGCTGAGGGCACCTCCGCGAGACGAGAAAGTTGTATCAAGGCCAGACAATAATCATTAGCTACTGTACTCTGCCTAACACACAGGGTTATTGTCAGATTCCAGGCGTAGTCACATCCACACATCGCCAACATGTCTGCAGCCCAACTCCTCAACCCCAAGGCCGAATCAAGGGTGCGTTGTGCCAAAATAATTATTATACGCCCGCCAAACAACCACTGACAAACTGTATACAGCNGCCGTGGTGAGGCCTTGAGTGTCAACATTGCTGCCGGTGAAGGTCTGCAGGGTGTTCTGGCCTCCAACCTGGGTCCTTCGGGCACCCTGAAGATGCTGGTCGATGGCGCTGGCGGCATCAAGCTCACCAAGGATGGCAGTGTCTTGCTGCGCGAGATGCAGATCCAGAACCCTACTGCCGTCATGATTGCCCGCGCTGCCACTGCACAAGACGACATCACTGGTGACGGTACCACCTCTGCTGTTATCCTCATCGGCGAGCTCCTCAAGCAGGCCCAACGCTACATCTCCGAAGGCCTCCACCCCAGAGTCATCACCGACGGCTACGACCTTGCAAAGACCGAGACCCTCAAGTTCCTTGACCAGTTCAAGCTTGACCGCGAAGTCGATCGCGAACTGCTCCTCTCCGTCGCCCGTACCTCGCTCTCGACAAAGATCAATGCCACCTTGGCCGAGCAACTCACCCCTGACATTGTCGATGCTGTCCTCGCCATCTACAACGCCCCTGCTAAGCCCGACTTGCACATGGTTGAGATTATGACCATGCAACACCGCACCGCCGCCGATACACAACTCATCCGTGGTCTCGCCCTCGACCACGGCGCCAGACACCCCGACATGCCCAAGCGTGTCGAAAACGCCTTCATCCTTACCCTTAACGTCAGTCTGGAATACGAAAAGTCCGAGATCAACTCTGGTTTCTACTACTCGAGCGCCGAACAAAGAGAAAAGTTGGTCGAGAGTGAGCGTAGATTCGTCGACGAGAAGTTGCGCAAGATTGTCGAGCTGAAGAAGGAGGTTTGCGGTACCGACGGCACCAAGGGCTTTGTCATCATCAACCAGAAGGGTATCGACCCCTTGAGTCTGGACGTCTTGGTCAAGAACGGCATTTTCGCTCTGCGCCGCGCAAAGAGAAGAAACATGGAGAGATTGCAGCTCATCTGTGGTGGTATTGCTCAAAACAGTGTCGACGACCTGACACCCGACGTTCTTGGATACGCTGGAAACGTCTACGAGCACCAGCTCGGCGAGGAGAAGTACACTTTCATCGAGGACGTCAAGGAGCCCAAGTCGGTCACTCTTCTTATCAAGGGCCCCAACGCACACACGATTGCACAGATCAAGGACGCCGTCCGTGACGGTCTCCGCAGTGTCTACAACATGATTGTCGATGGCAGCGTCGTACCGGGTGGTGGTGCCTTCCAGATTGCGGCACACGCACACTTGAACAGCGAGGCATTCCGCAAGACAGTCAAGGGCAAGGCCAAGTGGGGTGTTGATGCATTTGCCGATGCTCTCCTTGTTATTCCCAAGACGCTTGCAGCCAACTCAGGACACGATGTGCAAGACTCAAGTAAGTTTCAGGTATCCAAGATGGATGATGCATATACTAATTTGTCTANNGTCGCGGCTCTGCAGGACGAGCAAGCAGAGGGCAACATTGTCGGTCTCAACTTGACGACTGGCGAGCCCATGGATCCCACACAAGAAGGTGTGTACGACTCATTCCGAGTGCTCCGCAACTGTATCGCATCAGCCGCTGGTATTGCATCAAACCTACTACTGTGCGACGAGATGCTCAAGGCGAGACAAATGGGCAGAGCACCCGGTCCTGGTGGAGAGCAGATGGAGTAAAACACAAAAGTCTTGTCAGATATTCAGTAATCATGACGATCATGGCATAATGCGCCGAGTCGCAGCATTGTATGTTCCAGCAGATGCATCAGGTCCAGCAAAGGTGAAACTTCCTAGGTTTTGATGTCGACCCCACATTCTGATGCCGCGGAGAGGCACGAATACGCGCTTGGCGGTGGCCGACTAGACCGGGAATAGCAGCCAAGAGTTGCATGACTTGAATAACACCTTTCTTGTCGCATTGTACTCGTACCTTTGCTCTCATCTACGTCGCCTGTGTGGGCTTTTGCTCTGTCTCTCTCTCCTATTCTTGTCTTCTTTTGGTATCACAGCTCCCTTTGATTGGGCGAGCGCAAGCAGCTTGCTCTTCTCCGTCTTGTCTCGGAGTTAAGTCACACGACCCTCCAACATCTGCTTGTGCGAATAACCGCCTAGCATGATCCGGTATAGGCGCTACAGGGCCTTCATTGCCTTTACCGTCATTGCCATCTTGGCCACGTATTACTTTGTGGGACATGGCAGTATAAAATTACCCTCGGCAATCGGCGCAGGCTCGTTGAAGGCGATTGGCAATGATGCTGCATCTGCTGCCAAAGAGAAGGCTCAAGCTGGTCTTGACCTGATCAAACCTGACGAACCTACCAAAGACGATATACTTGGTGTCCTACCGCCGCTTCCAACCACAAAAGTCTCTCCTGCTACAACTTCGATCACTGCTGAAGCGCCAAAACCGACGACCGAAAAGGCAGCCACTTCTTCTTCCTTGTCCTCATCCGCCGTCGCCGTTGCAACACAGTCGCTCAGTGGAACTACACTTCAAGATGCTGCTGCCATCTTGCCTGTACATGAGCTGGACGACATGACCGAAGTCGGTGAAGGCAGACTTGAGATTCCACCAGTCTACCCAGGCATGGTCAGCGTACCCGCGATACACTGGTCCAAGCAGCCCGAACACTTCCCTGTTTCGACAACCATCCAACTACCCACTGGAACCCCTAAAGCTATTCCTCGCATCCAACACAAGTTCAAGAAAGAGTCGTCTGCCGACAAGGCTGACAGAGAAAAGAAGCTAGAGTACATTGAGGGTGCGGTCAAGCATGCTTGGAGCGGATACAGATCAAAGGCTTGGTTGAGAGACGAAGTGCGTCCTGTTTCTGGTGGCGCTCGAGACCCTTTCTGTGGCTGGGCTGCTACCCTGGTCGATGCATTGGACACACTCTGGATCGTTGGTCTCAAGGACGAATTCGAGGATGCTGTCAAGGCTGTCAGCGAGATTGATTTCACCACTTCTGAAAGAAAGAGCATTCCTCTATTCGAGACCACCATCCGCTACCTTGGTGGTATGCTCTCGGCTTATGACTTGAGCGGTGGTCAACACAAGGTCCTGCTGGACAAGGCCGTCGAGCTTGCTGAAGTCCTGATGGGCGCTTTCGACACGCCCAACAGGATGCCCCAAACCTTCTACATGTGGATGCCTACTNTTGCTTCTCAGCCCCATCGCGCTGGTACACACGTCGTCTTGGCCGAAATTGGTTCCCTCTCTGTCGAATTTACTCGTCTTGCCCAGCTGACCAAAGAGCCCAAGTATTATGATGCTATCGATCGCATTACAGACGCCTTCCTGGAATGGCAGAATGCTTCCGGTTCCAACGCGACGCTGATCCCTGGCTTGTTCCCCGTCGATGTCGATGCTTCTGGTTGCGAGAAGCCTGCTCAGATCAAGTCCCACTATTCCCATCCTGCTGGAAAGGATGGCGAAGTGGCAGTGGGTGATGGCGAGCCCGTTGTTCCTCAGCGTCCAGTGACTCAAGGTCAAGGTGCACCGACTGGTTCTTCAACAGGGGACGACGGATCCTCTAAACCCGTCAATCTTGGTGGATCGCGAATGGGCGCATCTTCTGCCGGTGGTGTAGGCAAGATCATTGGCTGGGATAATCCTTTGACCGAAGGTGATCTTGACAATCCTCAGGCAAAGGCCGCTGTTCTCGACTCAGACAGTGCAGAACTCAACAAACGCCAGCTAGGCGATCTCGAAAACCAGAGAGAAAAGGCTGCAGAGGATGTCTTCCAGAAAGAAACTCAAGCCAAGATGCACACCCTCCAACAGGAAGTGTGCCTTCCACGCGGTCTGGCTTCGAGCAACTCTGGCAGTCGTGATAAATTCACCATTGGCGGCATGGCTGACTCTCTGTACGAGTACTTCCCTAAGCAGTATCTTCTACTCGGTGGTTTGGAGAAGAAGTACCAAACTCTGTATGAGCAGTCCATTGATGCTGTCACCAAGCACCTTTTGTTCCGACCCATGACTCCTCAGGACGCAGACATCCTATTTGTAGGCGAGTACAATGCCCACGCTCCTAGCAAAGAAGGCGCCGTAGAAGGCACATTCAAGCCCGAGGGCGCTCACCTTTCTTGTTTCGCCGGCGGCATGTACGCCATGGGTGCCAAGATATTCGGCCGCGAGGAAGACCTCGAATTAGGCGCAAAATTGACTGAAGGTTGCGTTTGGGCATACAACGCCACAGCCACTGGCATCATGCCAGAACACTTTNTGGTCTCGCAGTGCGAAAGCATGACAGTCTGCAAATGGAACGAGACAAAATACTGGGAAGAGCTGGACCCCTACGCCGAATCCCGTACCGCGGCTATCACCGCCAACCCTGTAGGAGGATCCCGCAATGCACCACAAGTCGATAAGAGAGATCTAGAAGGACCTGCTGCGACAGTCGCACACGCACCTGCCCCTGCAGTCCCCAATAGCGTCCCCGAACTCGACATTGCCACGCCCGCCGAACAGGTATTCCACGACTACGTCCCTCCTACACCGCCCACGCACGAGGAATTCGTCCTCGCACGTATCTCTGAAGAACGCCTTCCCACAGGGATGACACGCCTGCTCAGCAGCAAATACATCCTGCGCCCCGAAGCCATCGAAAGCGTTTTCTACCTCTACCGCATCACCGGCGATCCACACTGGCGAGAAGTAGGTTGGAACATGTTTTTGGCAGTGCAAAAGTATACCTATGCTACTTACGGCGCTTCTGCCATCGATGATGTTACAAAAACTCTTCCTACACAAGAGGACAGTGAAGAGAGTTTCTGGCTGGCGGAGACGTTGAAGTATTTCTATTTGCTGTTTGAAGATGAGGGTGTTATTAGTCTTGATGAGTGGGTGTTGAATACTGAGGCTCATCCGTTTAGGAGGCCGGATGCTGGTGGGTTATCTAGTTCTGGTTCTGCTGTTGAAGATACAGAGGAGTGATTTCCTGTTTTTCTACTTGAAAGGTCTTGTACTTTTCTTGGTTTTTGGTTTTTAGTTACTTATGCTATCATCTCAAAAGAATTTTCCACAAAGACGATTCAATTCTACTACTTTTTCTGTACAGCCTTTTTTACTTGCTTTCTAGAGATCAGTGTTGTCTTGCGCACGTTTACCAATTCGTGGGTCGAGTTGGTATAAACCTCTTCTCTTCCTTTTTCTGAATGATTGTCTACTCTGAAGCCTTAACAGATTGCCAGCAAGCAAGTGAGAGTGACGAAACTCGCGAGTGTTTACTTAGACATTCTCTGATGACAGCGGCAATCGAGAAAAAGGTATTGAATTACTGCAACGACGGGACAGCGAAAGGTTGGGTGGCGTATAAACTGGCATTGAAATTGCTGTAGTCGTTTGAATTGTAGTGACCTCGAAGGGAAAAAGGTACTGAAGCACTACAGCAAAGTTCTTGAATCCAAGGTACCATACGTGAGAGAAAGGAAAGAGGGTCTAGCGGTGGTGGGCCCTGTGTGTGTTGTTGCTATCACTTACCTTGCCACTGGCTATTCACATCCGGCAGCAGTGTCAACAAAAAGGCAGGGAAAGAGCAACCAATCGATACCGTTTGCATTCGATGTCTTGAAGGGGAAACAAGGACTATGTTGATGGGCTGCTGGTTTTATTAAAGCCTTGCACTTGCCTTTTGGAATCAATCCTAGGAGATGTTTCGGACATCTCGATGAAAAGAGTGAGCACGCTCTTTTGTATCTTGCATTCTATCTTCAAAGGCACCTCCTACTTTTCTTGTGAACCCATGTCTGCTACTCCAGTACAGTGTTTCTGAGAAATCCCACGGTATTCAACTCGTTGCCTCCCAGATCTAGTGCCTGCAAGAGAAGTAGACTTGAGAGACGGGATTTCTTTGGGCGAGTAGGTCGTGTTGGACGATGGAAGAACACCAGTCTACAAGTACATGTTCGCGAACGAGCTTTGCTATACAGAGGAAGGGTGGCGACCAAGATGTATGCTATCATTGCCGCAAAGCTTACCGTGTTCACGTTGTGCAAACCAGGCTTTCTTGACTAGTCATCCAGCATGTCACTCAATGAGCTCGAACATATGACGAGGAGGAGAGAGGTGATAAGAGAGAGTGTTGGCAAGATGCATGCGCATCAGACAAGACAGAAGTTGATGAGAGGGTGCGTGCTTGCAGGGAAGCGCGAACCGGCTCTCGGTTCGCCCTGCTGTGAACTGATCAACCACTCAGACCTCAGCATCTGAGCTGATCAGAAGAACAACTCCACCCATGTGAGAGGGGCACCACGATGATGCTCAAAGACGGATAACTAATGCGCTGAGGTAAGGTCTGCTGGACGGTAGGTCTTTAATTCTTGCCTCTTTTTTCACTGCTCATGTCTGTGTATTTTCTTCCTCGTCGTCCTTGTACCATCACTCGACTGCAACAGATAGCTACGACTGTCAAACTGCCTCATCGACACAGACCAAGGAGATCAGTCCGCGCATACTCAACTCTAAGCACCAAAGCCATCATGGGAGCACAAAAACAGCTTCTGGTGACGGCTACGCCCAAACACCCCTCAACACCATCAAGGTATACAAACACAGAGGTATATTTTTACCCTCCTCTCCTAGTCTCCCTTTAACAACCAGCTAACCCTGCTACTTTTCAAAGNCTGCCTACGACTACCAAACCATTCACTCCATCTTCGCCTCCACCCTCGTCTCCCACGTCTCCTTCATCACCCTCGACGAACACAATGACCCAACACCAATAAATCTGCCTTTGACAGCAGTACTAGGCCGCTACGATGTTTCCCACCCTCTCCCCGATCACCCTACCCCTGAACAGTCTTCCCACCATAAAGACCTCAACAGACCGCTAGACCTCTACCTCCACGGCAACGTAGCAATGATGCTGCGACGCGCAGTCCTCAAGAACGGAACCATAAAAGTCTGCATCACAACCACAAAAGTGGACGGTGTAGTTCTAAACTATACACCCAATGGCCACTCCCTAAACTATCGTTCCGCCGTCATCCATGGAACCGTTGAACTCGTCTCTTGCCCAGAAGAGAAAAAATTCGCAATGCATCTCCTTACGAACCATATGGTTCCTAATCGCTGGCAAAAGGTGAATCCAGTCACGTCTTCAGCGCTAAAGAGCGTGCAGGTGCTTCGCGTAAGCATTACGTCCGCAAGCGCAAAGGTGCGGGCCAAGAATATGGGGTTGGCGGATAGTTGCAACATTGCTGCCGAGAGAGATAACATATATACTGGTGTGATTCCTTTATACGAGGTACTAGGGGAGCCGGTGGAGAGTGGGTATAGTCCGGGCAGACCTGTACAAAAGCACTTACAGGAATGGAGAGAAGAGAGAAATGCACAGGAAGAAGCGTATGCGGTGGCAGCAGCAGAGAATGAACCTGAAGAAGCAGAAACAATAGCCGAGCATGTCAAGAAAATTGATGAGATACAGCGGCAGAGAGGTAAAGAGACGGTAGATACGGGAGTTGGTGTCTAGTTGTGGGTGTACACGATATTTAAGCGGCACTGATGACGATCAATCACGCCTCATCATGTACTTGCACAATTGTATCGAAGCATCCGAAGGGAATTCCACAACGGCGTCAAGAACTGTTTTTTACTTGGTTTAGCCAAAAGAGCTACCTATTCGCGTCCGTTGTAAAAAGCAGTGTCCATTACAGGCTGTGAGTTATGTGCGTCTACCATGACATGGGCATGTGTGAGAGGTTGGAAGGGTGGATGGTGAGTGTTATATGAACAAGAGAGAAAAAGAGTAGTGAAGAGAAAAAGGAAACACAAGGGGAAAAAAAGGTTCTCTGGCGGATAGAGCAAAAGAGAACGCTCCCATTCTCAACACGAAGATGGCACAATCAAGTGTTCCTCATCATTCAAGATCAAAAAAGCGCTCCAGTGAAATACGCCGGCCATGTGGCAATCCCAGAAAACAGTTGGGGAAAAGAGGAAAGGAATTAAAGGAAAACGTGAAGGAAAAAGGGCGGTCGAGATTGGTAAAGTCGTTCAAGGTCGTGGATGCTGTGGAGTCGAGCGCTCATCGGATCATCAAGCATTGGTGACCTGGGAGATGTTAGTAGTGGTCTTGAATGTGGTTTTGATGACAGTTCCAACACACTTTCAATATTCTCCTCGAGTAATCCTCGTTGTCGGCAATGCTACCGTCACTCATTCTTCTTTGAGCCATGGCATCAGGGTCGATGCGGGAATCGGGTCCTGTTGAAGGTCTGAAGCTCATGGGTTTTTGGGACGAGGGGCTTGAGTAGTCGTTGAGTTGCTGGTGACCGGATTCTGCCTCACGGCGTTGCTTGCGGCGCCAGAAGAAGAATGCAGCACCAAAGAGTGCAGCAATGCCAACTATGCCAACAACGACCCCGGCAGCAATGCCGGCAGTGTTGGAGCCTCCTTCTTTGCCTGATCGTTGTCGGTAGACTTGGAGGCTTGGGAAGTGGGTACTTGGGTGATGATGACGGTCGTGCCGGGAGCGACGCTGGTGATGACGGTAGCCTTGAGCAAGGTAGAGCTTGCAGAAGTGGTGCTTGTAATCATAGATGAAGCTGCAGAGCTTGATGACGAGGCGGCAGAAGACTTGGAGGTGGATGACGATGAGCTTGAGGAGNCTAGATGAGCTAGAAGAGCCGCCAAAGTAGTCGATGTCGGTGTCGGTGGTTGTGTAATAGACGCTCCAGTAGCCATCAGCACCGCCTGCAGTCTAGGTTAGCCGATGCACGTGTGCATTATGTGAGAGGGTCATCAACTTACAGATATCACTGGGATATCCGACGCATGCTGTGCTGCACTTGGAGTCATCGCTCTGCAGACTGCTCTTTGCTGGCAGGGTGGAGCCACACCAACAGTCGTCGCCGTTGGTCATGGCCATGACGGTGGCGCCGACGCCGATACATGTCTGCTGGCAGTGACCTTTGGATTGGTAGTTGTAGGTTCCATTGTCCTCAAGGCCGGCGGCAGCGTTGAAGCAGCCAGCATCTGTGACGGGGCCAGCGACGATGGTGGAGGATACTGTCTGGACTGAGAGAGCCGAGAGGGCGAGAGTGACTGCTGCCACAGAGCGCATTGTTGACAGCATGGTGCGTGTGCGAGAGTGGATGTGGGTTGGGAAGAGTCGCAGGAGAAGGGCGATGATGCGTGTGAGAGTGTCGGATGGTGCGACTTGAGTAACGTCAGTCGCCTTGTCGTGCAACCACCAGTGAACAGGTCGTACAAGCCAAAGCCAAAACCACACTATCGTGACCAGCACGCGAATGTGACTATGTTTTGGTTTGGAGAGGGATGCTGCAGGCAAGAGGACGGGTTTCGAGTTTGCCTCAGTGTGTGTCGCAGCGACGCCAAGGGTGGAATGGTGTTTTGGTCAATACACGGTTGAGGAATGTGCAGTCCAGGGATTAGTGTGTCACTCGGGCGAAGTCGAAGAATCAAGGAGGGTCGGACAGAAAATAAGAGATAGCGAATGTCGTCTACCAGGTGAACAGGCAGTGTCGGACGGGGTCTAGCTAATGCGGTCGATGATGAATTGATGGAAAGAGCGAAGACGGAGAAACAATCAAAGAAGAGAAAGAGGCAGAGACGTCCGTGTGCGCGACCAGGCACAACTCGTTGCTCTCTCCCGTCCACCACACCAAGACCTGTCCACTGATCAACCCAGCCCCGTTGCGCCCTGCCCGCTGCGCTAACGCAGGAACCGCCTAGTCGTCCTGATGACCCCTGGTCCGTATTGAAACACTGAGCGACGTGTCAACAACCTTGCTGCCCTCCAACAGAGAAAAGAAACAATTCCATTGTTCACGCGAATATCCTCTATCTGCTCGACTATAAACCTCGTCACTCATTCCACGCTCACTCCCCTCTCACATCTGCATGGCTGTTCTGCCCTTTGATTGCGCTCAACAGCACACCCGTTCTAGAACCCCCTTGTGCCAAACGCGTACCCTCGCGCATCCTGATTCCAATCTCATGGCCAGTGCACAGGCCCTTTTTGCTCCCGCCAATTCTTTGGCTGCCTCTTTTGCCCGGCCATCATGATGCGCCAAGCTCTACCTCTTTAATTCCCTCTTTCCTCCATGAGACACCGTTCACAACGTCTCTTCAGGTGACAGGATCAGAGACACAACAGCATTCAGGGAACATCAATCGCCATGGGGAAGGAGGGGAATAGTAAAGAAAAAGAAAAGAGAAATCGTCGTCGCTTGCAATTCTCTGTCCCATCCCCGCGCCTCTTCGTGTTTCTCGTCTTCCGCTTGTCGTCGATCTCACTTTGTACGAAGCAGTCGCGTCCTGTTGATCTTCTGTCTTTTGACTTCTCGTCAGCAGCCTTTTTACCTTTCTGGCTGCCCGCATGTTTGCCATGTGTGCTGACTTTTCTCTCGCTGACAACCTTTGGTTTCGAATTCTTCTCTTCTCAGTCCTTGATCATTCTTCATCAGATGCTTCGTTATTCGCTCATATCAGTGCCGTACGAAGCCGCCGGATTGAACTCGGTCATTGAGCAGCGTCGCCGTCACGACGCCGGGCTTTCCAGCATGACAGCCCAGCGCCGAGGTTTCAGACTGCGCTGGCCTTCCGTATAACGTTCCTTGGCTGTTTTGTATCCTCTGTCTGCTACAAAATTGACAAAAGACTCAGCAGAGGCATATGTAATGCTTCAATCGACCTGTCAATCGTTCACGCATGCGATAGAATGTCATGGCACAACTGATCAAATGATTCGGACAGTAAAGGTCTCAAACCTTCAACTTGCGTGGTCTTCCGGGGATATTAGATTCCAAACGGTAGTGCCACCACAATCGTTCTCACGATAGGCAGCCACCAACCGGAACATGAAGGAAGTTCAGGCCTACGAAGCAAAAGCTTTCAAGAAACTCCACCTTCTGGACCCCATTAACCTTTCACTTGTCTATGGTCTCTGCACTGCGATGAGCTGTGTAGGTTGTTTCATCAAAGTCCTCAAGCTTTGTACAATACCCGTGAGGCTGAACTTGCCTAAACCGCCATGAACCGCATCTGTCAGGCATCCCACTCCTTCGAGTGAATCGACGATACCTGAACTCCAGGTTCTTGGAATGGTGGAAATGGCGTAAACGGATTCTATTTCTTTCGTCTATCGTTTGCCAGGGTAGGTCGCGCAATATTGGCCGCCTAGGCAGCCTGACTATTGGAGGGCTCTACCTTGAAGAGCTAGGCTTGATGCCCAATCCTGGTGTGACAAGCACGACATGTACTGATACAGGACTCGTCAGCTGTGAGATGTTAGTCCATGGTGTGCATACTTCCAGATCTCGGGATTTTGACAACGAAGTGAATCCCCAGAGGTGGTCAATGTAACGATCAACCCACCGCTTGGGTTTTGGAAAAGACGCGACGTCTTTGTAGATGGCAGGTAAGACACAACTATCTCGACTACAATGACAACTTCGCGTCCATGATGAAAATCACACAATATGTATATAACACTGGTTTGTACACGACTATCATTGACAGGACTACTCCTACTTGACCATCAAGCTGAGGAAGCTCTTTGTCGAAGAGACAGTATGAAGACTACTAGACACCGCAGGCTTGATAGCTGATCACAAGCAACATCAACATCTAATCACACACGTATCCATGGTTCAGATTATGCACCGAATATGCTGTGCTCCCAAAACGACAACGTGGATGCATACTACATTATCTTCTGAATCTATATCGGGCCATACAAAGGAGGTCATGTGCCATATTGTGTATCGTTCCATACAACACACTATCAATAAGAGCTCTAATAATAGACCTCTGATAATAGACCTCTGATATACATATTTCTTCTATTCCAAGGAACATCGTAATTTGTATTAGCTATACGTCGTTCCTCGTTCCTCCACGATCCAATCTCAATGATGCACATCCTCTGCAACTGCGCCTACATGGCCACCACAGATCGTCTCTGCTGTCACACGCAAGATCAAAAACAATAAAGATTCAACAGCATACACGTCTTTCCGAGCCGTCCTCATCAATTCAACCACCACACCAATGACACCAAAAGCACAGCAATGACAACATCACACCTCGGATATCTTTCCACCTGCACGCCGAGTACGGAACAAACACTGCCGGCCATCACCCGCAGCCACCGAACGCAACACTCTCGGATCATGAAGACTCCGTTCGCGAGTTGATGCTGTCTCGTCTGTGCCTTTCCAATTTCGGCACGCGACTTCCGTTTTGAGGCGTCACCAAGAAAGAAAAAATATTCTTGGATGCTTCTTGCTTGCTAACCGAAGCAACAGGAAGAGAAACAAAAGAAAATTCCGACACGGGGAATTGAACCCCGGCCTCCTCGGACCTAGTTGTTGTGTGAGACAACGGTTTGAGAGCGAGAAATCCTAGCCACTAGACCATATCGGATTAGATGTAAGCATGTTCATTTTTCTCGAATATATCGCTATACACGACTATCTGATGGGTCATCCGCCGATGGTGATACCCTGGCCGCTACCTACATCGAGCACCATGACATGAGAAGTTGCTTAACTGGATCCTTGACCGTTGTTCCATAGTACTGATATTCTTCGCTGTGTGCCAACGCTTCTCGAACCCAATGAAACTGGTCGTTGACGATTTGAGGCTGATACTCTTTCTCACACAGAGGTCGTGTGACACACGTACATTCTTGAGCCAGCACTCAAGGCGTGGGATACGACCAATATCACAAGATCAACCAAAGGAAAGAAATCGTTACACAAAGATCTTGAAACACCACCTGGGTGTCCAAATGCTTCACGAAAATCAACTAAAATAATGCTGCCTGCCACTCGAGCACGATGAAAAAAAAAAGACAAGCAAAGCCAGGCTTCACCACCCAAAGTTTCCCCCACACCACAACGGGCAAAAGCATATATCTTATGGCTCCATCAAGCTCTCGACTACCAGAAAGAAACCGAGTGTGATGCTGGTAGAAAAATAGCGGCTGTCAAAACAATTGCTGCCGCTTCTGTGGATCGAACACAGTGCCTCCAGAATACTCTTGCTCGTAAGAACAAGAAGGACAGAAGTGGGCTTCAGTCTGGCGCTCTCCCAGATGAGCTAAAGCGGCTTATGCCAAGAAATGTCGGTTATTGCATATATCAATGGCATGCAAACACCTGGGTGAAGCCATGCTGTTGATTTAAGATGGAAAGGCGAGAGAGGTAAGGTGAGTGGTAGGCCATGTCGAGCGAGGCTCGAGGGCAGAAAGGCAGGAGCGATGTCGATGTGTTCAAAACCCAATGTCTGCCTTTACGTCCATCGCTCAAGGCTGAATGGTACATTACAGTTCAGCACGAAGACGGAAAGTACGAAGGACTCACGAGCCAGGAACGACAAGATAAACAGGAAGGAGCAACCAAAAGTCATTCATGAAGAGAAGGAGTGACCGAGTAGCATTGTACCTTCCTCTTCTAGATGTACAGAGCTCTCTTCCCACTCGGCTTTCATGTGTTAAAGGACCCTCTTTTGTTGTCTGAATCACTTTTCTTTCTTCAGCTGTTGCACTGGTCTGTACTTGTCGGTAAGAAACTTCTGGTTCGCGCCGCCTCCATGACACTTCTTCTACCATTGCTTCAACATCTCATGTCTGATCAATTCCAACACAATGATAGTTAGAGACAGGGTGACCAGCCTTGGCACGCCAAGATTTCGCGCCGTGCCCTGAGAATTCTCTCACCAAAGCACCAAAATTCGATAAAATCACAACCATACCTTCAACCACGATTCCGGCCCTGTATACACATGTTCCAAACCAAAATGATTATTCCAGGTGATCAACGAGGGCAAAGGAAAGCCCACGTGGGGCTCGAACCCACAGCCTCAAGATCTCAGTTCATCAAAGTGATGATTAGAAGTCTTGCGCGCTACCATTGCGCCAGCAGGGCCGCTTTATTGAAGGTAAGTCGCCTTAGAGAATCTATATACACCAGATACCCCTGTACGCCAAGACCACATCGTCATCTCTTCCATCCGAAGCCTCCATGCCCGAAAATGGCGCCTATCTTCATCAGACCACTAAAAACAAAACCCGAGCCGACCAATCAGAGTACTCTGCACCCGACAGCACATCAAGTTGTATTTCATATGGAGAAGATCCCCTACATGTCCTGCCAGTGTCTAGAGCACTCGGGTCTTTTCTTTCCTCAACATTCGAGAATCGCAAACCAGGAAAAATCTATCCAAGCGAGAAGGATTCCAGGGCTAGAAATGCACGGTAAGCCATCCAACACTGAGGCTGCCTGGACGTTCATGCATGGCTTTGCTTAACCGCCCGAGGTGCAATATGTCTTGAATCCTTCCATGCGGTTTTTCCCATCGAGGTATATATACTGTATGCAAGAGGTGAAGCCTCAAAGCGAGATCTGGACAGAGTTAATACGGTAAGGTGATGTGTGCCGCCTCAACATGGTCAGTCTGGCAGAGTCACGAGAGTTCTTCATTGGACCCTCTTTTAGTATCGTGCATGATGAGCGTTCCTCGGGCTTGAACTGCAGGTACGTTGTTGTTGGTGGTGGGGTATTGACAAAGCAGTCGAATGTATGGGTTATTACACTATTGAACTTCTGCAGCAAATATCCTCGTGGAAGAGGTGTGTTAGTTGTCTCAGCATTTTGATCCTTCGAGTCTGGGCTTCTCTCATTATCTCATATATCGACACCTGCATCTCTTTCTCTTTCTTCGCCGTGGCATTCGGATCTTCTCAGACAACCATCCCAAACACCAGCAAGATGATGTTCAAACACCTCCTTACCCTAGCTTGTCTCTCGACTCCCATCCTCGCAGCTTCTGCATTACCGACCTACTCCAACACCTCCTCCCACCAAACCCCCAACTACACCTTCAACGAACTCTACAACCTTACGAACCGCTTCCTCCAAAACCACATGTACCCTCTCAACATCGCGCAATCTCTATCCATAAACTCTTCTCTACTGTCTGAAGACATTCTAGGTCGCGTAGACGCCACCCGCGACTATGCAGGCCGCGAACTCAACACTGAATACCTATTCGGCCTTTTCGCCAATATTGCATTAAACCCTGATGCTTTTACTCTGCTCGGGTATCCTGTAAACTATACGTTTACGCGGTTTTTGGGCAGTGGCAATGTGGTTAGTTTTGCGGCTGTGGTGGAGTATATGTTGCCAGTCACCAAGACTACGATACCACAAGAGTTGGATTTCTGGGTCACGTTTAATGATAAAGGGGAGATTTCGCAATATGATGGGTATGCTTCCTCCCAACCCCTTGTCACCTCTTTCATCTTCAAGCAAAAGATACTAATGCACAAGACAGCANATTTCCGCTACCTCCAATGGCAACTCACCAGTACAATCTCCACTATCGCTACTTCATTGAACCTATCCTCAGCAGCAGACCTCACACCAGTCCTGCACTCCAAACTCGCCCAAAGCATCTGCGAAACAGCAACAACCTTTTGCAACGGCACAAACCTGCAATACGATTCCCAACAAGCTTGCGAAAATCACCTCTTCAACGAGACAAGATTTGGAGAAGGTTGGGAGTGGGGTATGAATACCGTGAGCTGTAGAATGGTAAGCGTTTCTTCCCTTTTCCCTATCCCTCTCCTTCCTTATCACTTCTTTCCCAATTGAGAGGAAGATTGCTGATGCAGAGACTCCTCAAACACAGNNATCCACCAAAACATGGTTCCCCTACGTCCAGACGTGCATTGCCCGCACATTGGTCCCTCAGGCGGAGGCATGTGTGTAGACGACCGCACCTACGTCGGAAACCTCGAGGAAAACTACTTTGTCAATACGCCTTTCCTGGATCCTAGTCTTGCGGTTGGAAACTTTCCTTGAAGTCCTCCTCGTCAAGAAGAGGGGTGGACGACGTATCGTTGTTATGTGGCTATGATTTGCTGATTCTGTCGTGTTGGAGTATGAAGATCGATAAGCTGGAAAATGACATGCGTGGATGGAGAGAAGGAAACGATGACTATGTGGTTGTGTTTCTGGATGAGTATCATTGCATAACACATATTGATCAATCTTTACAGCCCGTGCCAACAATAAAGCTTCGTAGGTAGCTTCAAGTTTCTCGTCGACGGAAGGGAAAATGAATGTGTTGTGCCCAACGTATCCATGGAAGGATGGCTCATGAACAAGACACGAAGTGACAGACACACGAAAAAGTACTTCTACAGATGCTACAATGCGAATCTATACTTTTGATCTCAAACTCCATGCTTTGGCTATACATGAGATGCTCAAGCATAATATCTGGGTTCATCAAAGACGTGGTACCTGTGTCCTCTGACACCCTCGCCTCTGAACATGGCAGGGAAACGCAGACCCTCAGGAACCTGGTCCTCAGAAATCTGCTCATTGCCACCTTCAGGCTGACCAACGACAAACTTGCCGACCTAAGAAGAACACGTTAGCATGAGTAAAGATAGAAGTGAGCGAATAGTTGGGAGAAATCTTACCTGAAGTTCAGTGTCGGTAATGGTGCCTCTGGAAACTCTGGCATATCCTGATCGTCTCAAGCCCTTGTACAAGATGTACTCGCACCATCTGTCCCAATCGTCGCTGGGATCAATGTCTCTCATACCACTACGCTCGGAAACGTAGGTGTTGTAGTTGCCCTGACCAGTCTTGGTCACGAGGTAGGAGAGCAAGATAGAAGGACGAGGTGTGGAGCCCATCAGATCAGCCAGATACTCGGATTGCAGGCGTCTATCTTCAGGATCTTCTTCTTGACCCGAGTGGAAGACGAAGACGTCGATCATCTCGCCATAGGCGTCGAGAGTTGCGTGGATGGCAGGAGCAAGCTCACCAACAGGTGAAGGAAGCAAGTGGTGAGTAGAGTTTACAATAGGGAATTTTGAGAGCAAAGCGCATCCCCAGGTGTGCTTGTTGGGACCCGGGCCATAGTCGACGTACATGCCGAGCTCTTCGGCGAGATACTGAGTCGAGTCGCGGTTACCCATGATGATACGCTGAGTGTCTGACTCAAGCAAGCCCAAGACGTCGAGCTCCATCTCCTTGACGAGAGCACCGATACGACGCTCTGATGTCCACATGGGATTGTCGAGACCGAAGTGGGTCGTCCAGATACCTGCTGTGACACTCTTCTCTGGTGCATGGTAGGGAGTGTAATCGTACGTAGGGAAGCGAAGGTACGAGATGGAGGCACCGAGAAGTTGGAGACCAATCAAGATGTAGATGTAGTGAGAACGTTGCTTGCGAGCGTATGGGTTGGCAGGAGCAGACTTGAAGCGCTTGGTCTCGGAAGCAGTAGCAGAGAAGATGCCACAACCGATGAAGAGCATCATGGCAGTCATGACCCAGTCGGTGTGCTCACGCATAAGGGGGCCACCAGGCACAAAGGCGTATGCAACGACCCAGACGTGAGCAAGGACCAAGATGTTGTAGAACATGAAGCCAAGGAAGAAGGTACGACCAGGTGGGTAGCGAGCCGCATTGCCGATCAGGACAGGAGCAGCAGCCATCAGGTAGGTAGCAAGCGCGAGACCACCATAGAAGCCCGACCAGTGTGAAAAGGCGGTGAGGAAAGCAGCACCAAGAGCACCGACACCGTANAAGGTCCAGCTTCGAGCGAAGACAGGGTAGTAGAGTCCAATGAGCAGACCAAGACCCATAGCAAGGAAGGTGTAGTTACCATGAGGCACAGCGATGGGACCGCGGATAGGGAAACCTTCCCAAACCCACGAGATCATGGTACTCGAGTCGGAAAGGAGAGAGTGCATTCCGAACATGAGACCAGCAAAACCAAGAGCAGCAGGGAAGCAAGAGCCGCTTACAGCCTTGTAGCCAGGCACATCAGCACGAGGGTCAAGCGGCTTACGAGTGACTCTCAGGATGGCAACAACAGCAAGGACGAGACCAGTGTAGTTCCAGCCGCCATTCTCTGCGTGGACAGCAGGCCAGATTGGGTTGTTGGTCTGGCAAGCATACTTTGCGACACTTGAGGTGAGCAGACCAAGAGAGAAGGCCGAGATGCGAGCTTCGAGTCTAGCAGGCTGAGCACGCTCCGACCACCAAGTAGCAGACCATGCGAGAGCTGACATGAAGATGGAGAAGCCAACGGCGAACAAGCGGTACTCGGGCTTGGGGATCAGGAACGCGACAAGACCCGAGAGCGAGAGGAAGTGGATGATGCGGATGTTGTGGACAACGGTTCGGCGAATGGAAGATATGCCGAGCAAGAAGGGAGAAATGGGAGCCATGACAAAGGCTTCATAGCCAGAGATACCCATGTGCCAGAGAGGGAAGTACCAGATCAACAAGCCCAAGCCGGTAAGAACAGACCAGAAGGTGAAGCCAAGGTAGACATCAGCGATGGCGTCGAGCATGTCGCTCTTGGAGTAGGGAGTGGCAAACATCTGGCCAACGGGCTTGTCCTTGTCAGTCTCGGCAAGCTTGTCGGCGACTCTTTGGTTGCTGCTGCTCGACGAACGGGTTAGCTTGTTGGTCACGGGCCAGCATTGTGGTCTTCGCATACCACTATTTGGGAAGCCAGTTGACATACCCTTTNNGCTGGTTCCCTTGGTATCCTTGACGACCAGCTCGAGGCTGTCGAAGTCGAGAGCGGTGACAGCGTCGAAGGCGACATCCAAGAGGACGAGAGCCCACTCGAAGAAGGCGTAGATGGTGTATGCGCCGGGCACCTTGTGGACCTTGTGCTGGATGAAGAAGTAGACCAGAGGCACAAGGGTGGCGAAGAAGGCGCCACCGAAGACTTTGCGGTAGTAGATGGCCTTGGGGTTGTTGGGGCTCAGGGCGATGCAGCCAAGCGTCCAGGGCAGAGTAGCGACCAGGTAGGAAATCATGAAGATGTCGTGCCAGTTATGGTCGTCGGTAGATGTGACGTAGGTCCAGCCTCCGCAGGTAAAGGTTCTGAAGATGCCAACACCCAGGATGAACTTGGGAAGTGTTTGGTTGGGTCTTGCTGTCAAGATGTACCACAATGCGACGAGCAGGAAACGAGGACCTGGATATTGTGAACACAAGGCTCTTTCCGCCAATCCATGGCTTTACTGACCAGACGTAACTGCAATGAAGAGCTGGAAGACGGAGCGTTCGGGGTAGCGGTCGCCAATCGTGGCAGAGACGGATGGGAACCATTCGATAGGGTAGCCCTGGGTACGTGTCAGATTGGTTATACGGATGACTTGTTGTCAAGACGTACAAAANTGCTCGTTCTGCACAATCTTCTCGTAGTGGAGAGCNACTACACTTGTCATTATTCTCATAAGAACACACAGTATGCACGTTACTCACATTCCAACTACCAGAGCTCCCAGGAAAGCAGCATAGGCCACTATGGTATGTAACCACGAGATGTATTGTCCAGGAATCNNTGCACAGAGTCAGGAAATGCCAATGGTATTGCAGCTGTCATGTCATCTTACCACTGCGACAACGTCGCCATCCTTGTGTTTCGGAGCCATATCTCCAGCCACTGTACCTGTCGTTTGTGACTTTCAATCTTCAAGAGCTCCGTCCCCTGAGTCCTCGAGTCGGACGCGCCGGCACTGGCAGAATTCATCTTGGCAGGGCGGTGAGCTGCAAAGCTACGAAACCTCGGCTCAAAACCTTCTCTTTTTCTTCCACCAACGCGCGACCCTCGCAAACATGTCGCCGCCTTCAACAGCACGCCTGCAAACATCTTGGAGGAAGCTGTAAAGCAAGGTGCTTCTTAGTTGACGCCGACCCATCACGACCCCTCAGAGCATGAGACAGCTCCTTGGTATGCATACTCTTTCTTCTTCCACATCTCCAGCACAGATTTCTATGATGAAACCCATACCACATTCGCAGTTTTCACGCTAGCCGTCGCCTAGAACCTATCTTAGACGGTCGTTGAGCGCAACATCTTCCTTGGATGTCTGATTGAAATCCCTACACATACACTCTGCAGCTTTACATACCGCTACTCTGCGAACACTTGCTGACATGTCATGTATAGGTCTAACGCTAATGTACCACTGTACTTTGTGACAGATCTCGGGCTGCCATAATATAGATGATGAGATACGACTCGGATGATATACATGATAATGGTACAATAATACTTGTTCAATAATCTGATTTTCCACCACCTCTTCGTGCACTCTTCTTATCGCTGTGCTTCTTCTTCATCTTGAGTCTGCCCTCGTTTTCTGCTTTTTGTNNCTGCAACACCTGTAAGCAGAAGCTAGCGTTGGTCACGCAAAACATGTACACCTACAATTTCTTGACGCGCTCCATCTGCTCAGCACTAGTCTCGCCGGGCACTACCTCACGGCCCGCCTGTACAATCATCTCGTGCAGCTTGATGAAGCACCGATGTACATTTTCATTCTGTTTCCTGCTGTCGTCTGCCTGTATCACCAAGTCGTCTTTGGCACTATACCGAGACTTGGATATTGCAGGTCGAAGCACAGCAGGAAGCATGGGCAACAGTGCCGATAATGGCAGCCGCAAGGTAGCCTTTGAATTCACTNNCTACACAGAAAACATCTCAGCTTTTGCTCTATATAACAAGATTCCAACCTTTTATGTTGGTGGCTGATGAGGGTGTAATTACTTGTTCACATTCTGACCGCCAGGGCCGGACGATCTACTGAACGAGACGTCGCAGATGCTGCGTGGTATGGTTTCGGCATCGAAGTTTGCCAACCAGCGCCTCGCCGCGTCTAGCTCGTCGTCGCCGCCGCCATTCTCACCGCCGTCTGTTGGCGTTTTCGGCCTTTGAGCCAATAGACGCGTCGACGTGCAGAACGATGCCGGGATCCGCGTGATGAGAATTCTGGAACGTGGGCGCAAAATGGCGAAGGACCGGATAACTATCATGGCGCGGAAAAGTCTGGTAATTCGTGAAAAAGGGGTTGGGCCGAGTCTTGTTAGTGGGTGTATTGACTAAGCTCACTCTCTGTTGCGCAAGATGTTTATCAAGTATTTTTGATGCGCTGTTCGAAAGTAGTGATGAACGAGGAACGAGGAACTGCCTCCAGGGATGCTTTCGGTCACACTTGCTTGTTCGAGATTAGGTCGGGAAATACAGGGATGGGTTTATGCTTGCGGATGCAGGTTCTCAACGCCAATATTGGTGTGTATTCATGCGGCTCAATCTTGCCGTGACTTCTAGAAAGATGGAAATACATGAAAGCCACAGCTCACGCCCTTGGCCAAAGTATAATGAGAAGCCAGATGTGTAGGCTGGTGTCGCTGCTGAGCTGTGCTGAGGAGTTGCAAACAGGTATCTCACATCTCATCACGTCTAACAGGAGACAACAAAAGGATGCATACGATGAGCAGTGGTCGTCGTGTTTAGCATCATTAGGCTCGAGCAGTCCACGATCTCAACATGTTTTCGATGATCTGGTGACGTTCATATGGCTCGTGCTCATGCATACAATTCCGCGTCTTTGGAGGGGAAGGACTTTGAGTCTTTCCCTCACGCTCGCGCCCTGTTCTTGCCGGTGCAAAACATTCGTTTTCCGGCGTATTTTCTGAACAGCTCATCAACAGCTCCTAGCTAGACGCAATAGCACGTTCTTTACTTTCTCCGTGCACGGCGACGGGTTTGCGGGGAAAGCACAAGCTAGCGGCTACTGCAGCTGAAGTGAATTTCACGCCTCGACTTTCACGTTTTCTTTCTGTTGGTCATACAGCCATCATCTCGACGTTCTCTCCTCATCGCCGCCTCGTCCTTCTCGTCCTTCTCGTCCTTCCCCATCACTTCCATCTCGCTCCTGCCACTTGCCGACGCTGTTATCCGGTCCTAGCATGGTTGGCGCATAGCGCACTTCGCCTACATGACATCTGAAGAAGCACCCGAGTATACGAGCGAGCTCAACATCCTGAGCCCAGTGTCTCCCAAGCCTGTCCATTACCCAGTGCCCTCTAACATCCCCGTTCTTGAGAACCAAATCGACCCCGTCTTTAACCAGACCGGGACACACATGGTTGAAGCCCTCCCTCAACAGCTCCCGCCTCCCATGTATCTCGACCAGCAAGCTGGCGCGTACACCCAGAACCCCTATCATCAGCAGCAACACGCCCAACATGAACAGTCTCATTCTAACCATCCTGAAGCCTACATGACTCAACAGGCAGGTCAACTAGGACTGGGTCAAAGCCAGCCTCCTTCTCAGGCGCAGCATCAGGGCCATCAAGCTTATCATCAGGCACAAGAGCAAGCATCGATTGGAACGGATAGTCAGACCAATCAAGTTCCTCCTGTCGTTCATTATGACGAGAAGTACTCTTACCAGCCTGCTGCCCCTGGCGCCGTGGCCTCGAATGACGCCTCTGCCTCTGCCAGTGCATCTGTTCCATCTGATCTTCCTTATCCTTCTACTGCTGCCCATCATCTCCCTGCCTTGTCCAACCCGTCCAACAACGAAGCCTCATTCCAGAGCAATTCCTTCCAACCTCAGAGCCAAGCCAACTCGTCGTCTGCCAACATCGGCGCGCCCGAGCACCCTCCAGGTGTCGAAGCCAATAGTTTGCAGAGTCTGCTCAACAACTTGTCACACCCCAGCCATAGTCAGGCCCATTCCACTTCTCCCTCCTCCCAGGTTGCGCAAGCCCCATCCAGTGCTGCAAACCAAACACACGCTCAACATGAGCAAGCATACTCGACCTACACGAACGACTCTCAAGCTCAGCAACCGCAGCAGCAACAGGCAAACGGAGGGCACGCAAACAGCAATGTAAGAGTAGGAGCCAACGGTTTACCGCCGCCGCCTGTGGCCTCGTTCCAGCAAGGCATCAAGCTCGAGAGTCAGCGCGAGAGAAAGCAAGCAGCAGGAGAAGTCTTAGACGAGGACGACCAGCCATGGACACCCGAAACCCAGCACCGCTACGATAATTTCCTGACCGAGGAAAGAAAGTATGTGACCGAGGGCAACTGGGAACAGTTTCCTTATGGATCGAGGCTGTTCGTGGGCAACCTTTCCAGCGAGCGCGTGACAAAGCGCGACATCTTCCACGTCTTCCACAAGTATGGTGATCTGGCCCAAATCTCCATCAAGCAGGCATATGGCTTTGTGCAATTCCTGGAATCTGCCGGCTGCTCCAAAGCGATCAGCGTCGAGCAAGGAAAGACGATACGCGGCAAGAAGATTCGTGAGTTTTAGCGTGACAAATGTGAGCAGCTCATACTGACAATTTACAGACNNCTCGAGGTCAGCAAGCCTCAAAAGAACCGCAATCCCGATCCGCGCGCCCCTCGTCGTTCGCGTTCGCCCGACACTGGCCGAGCTGGCAGTTCCTCGGTAATCCCGGATCGCTACTTACCAGGCGACAGAAGAGCAGAAAGAGACAGAGACAGGGACAGGAACAGAGACAGAAGGTCCCGCGATTACCGTCCTGGAAGATCTCCTTCGCCGCGCTCTCCTAGATCACCCAGATCGTACCGCGGTCGCGATCGAAGCAGGGACAGATACGACGCTCGGTACAGGAGCAGATCAAGAACACCGCCCTATGGCAGTCGTGGAGGTCGCTTCCGCAGCCCTAGTCCTCCAAGACTCTCAAGGCGCAACAGCGACGACGATCTGCCACTGCCGCGAAGAGCTCCACGCGATGTCCCAGACGTGCAGATTATCGTTCTCGACGACCTTGATCGCAACTTCATTGCCTGGCTGGAACACTCTTTCACCCTCCAGGGCATCCGTGTCGACGTTCTGCTCCTGTCTCCTCGTCTGTCAGAAGCTGCAGTCGTCCGTCGTCAAATCCTTGAGGGTGTTCTTGCCGTCTCGCGCATCACTCGCATCAACCAACAGACAGCCAAGATCCCCTTGCAGATCTTCGATCGCCGCGCTGGTATTGAGAATGTTCGTTTCGATGAGTATGACAATCTCGATCCGACCATTGCTGCACAACTAGTCTTGCGCGCAAAGGCTGCTCCTGCCTATGCTCCACCACAGCCTGTACCCGCTCCTGTGCAGTATGGTTATGGAGCAGGTGTTACTGCTGCCGCCCCCAACCTATCCAACCTGATTACCTCTCTTGATCCCACTGGTTTGCAAAAGCTTCTTGGTGTCATGCAGCCACCTAGCATTCCAACTGGCCCGCACCCTGGTCTTCCTGCCACAGCCTTGACCCCAGATCTGGCCAAACTCCTAGGTAATGCCGCTGCAGTACGCCCACCACCACCTCCGTTGCCTTCACCAGGCATCCCGACACCTGGCCTGCAATCCCCACCTTCCTACGCTCAACTGCCTCACCCTCACCAGGATCCACTTGCCGCTCTGAGGAACAATCCTGCCTTGGCCAATCTTTTAGCCGCCCAGCAGCAGCAACAATCGCCTCAGAACATTTCCGTCCCTCATCTGGGTGTTCAAACGCCTGATCTGCGCTCGCCCATCCAACCCCAACGACACAACGCTCTACCTAGCCCTGGACAGCCCGACATGGCAGATATTCTTGCCAAGTTAGGGTCCTACAGGCGATAGTTTCAGTCTTGAGGATTGCGAGACCGAGACCACTGATGACCCTTCGCCTGTCTCTCCTATCTTCACTTTTATTATGTTTGTTCTTCTCGTTTCCCAGGCGATATAGCGAAAATTATTCTTTTTTTAACTGTTTGAGTTTCATCTCTGCGGGTTCTGGGAGGCAAGGAAAGTTTGCATCATCCGAATCTGTCTTTATTGGCTCCTGGGGGTCTTTTTCGGTCTTTTTCGAGGTTGCATCTCTGGGTCTCTCCTTTCATTACAGCATGGCGTATGGGATGTATTTTGTTTATGGGCAGGCGCTTTTTCTTTTCTTTTCCAGGGGGTGTTCAAGGTGTTCTTTGGCGATGGGGTTTTGCTTTCACTTCTGCTTTTTCTCCAGACTTTGAGTGAAGGAGCACAAAAGATCTTGATAGGTATAGATATGGCAATACAAGGGTGTGATGAGAAGATGCATTCTGTACGATTCTTATTCTTTTGCCGTGTCTGCGAACAGCTGGAATGTGAAAAGGATCAACTACATGAGGGACGGTCAGTCAGTGTGGTCTGACGAGTACACGGCACCGCGAGAAATAGGCGAGCTTTAGATGCCGTATTTGTTTCACATGGTTCTGTTCTGAGTTTCAGAAGAATATAGATTCAAGAAATCGTCATCGTGTTGATTGGCAGAAAGAGACACTAAATACTATCATTGGATATCTGGAAAAGGCAGAAAACAAAGAACAGAGCTGAGCATCCTCTCTCTCCCTTTACATCTTGGTGTATCCATTCGCGCCAGTAATAACCACATTAAACGAACTCCTCCAGCTGCCCACATTAACAGCATTGGCCTCCGACACCGCTGTGCTGTAAAAAGCACACTTGACATCCACCTGGGGAGCAGGGTTCGTGCATCCATCTCCAGGTGTCAATTTCGGCACTCGTTCAAAGTAAATGTTGAAGCCCTTGCATGCAGTGTTTGCATCGCAAATAGCTGCACATTGGGTAGGCGAGTAAGAAGACAACTCGGTATAAAACATATATCCTGCTTGAGAGACCGAAGCGTAGAAACCGGCAAAGCGCCAGACGTAGTTGGAGGGCACGGTGGCAGACATGTATTGCGAGCGTAGAGTGGAGTCCTTGAGGAAAGCAGAGGGTGCGGCATTGGAGGGTGTGTATGTGTAGCCAAAGTTTGGCATGGACGAGCAAGCTGCCGCACTCGTTGTGGCAGCAGCAACAGAGGACGAAGTAGTAGCTGCACGGCGTTGACGCTTCTTACTGCTGGTGCTAGTCTTGGCCTTCGAGGTCGTTGACGCAGCAGTAGGCTTTGCAGAGGTAGGAGCTGTAGTGCTCATTTTAGCGACTGCGGTGGCAGCGACAGGAGAGCCGGTGATTGAGGTGGTGGTCAAGACGGCTTTGGGGCTTTGAGCAGCCATTTGAGAGAGGATTGATGCAATGGCGGAGTCTGTGTTTTGGATGGTGACGGGGCAGGTTGTGCAAACACTGCTGGGCTTGCTGGAGATGGCAGCGGCCTCTGCGATAGCAGCCAGCACCGGAAGAGCGAAGAGTTCGAAACGCATTGTGGATGTGTTGTAATGAGTGTAGGTTATATAGAAGTCGTTGGAGAGGGTGTAGTAGTGATTGTTATAGAGAGTGACTGAAGCTTGAGCTTGGAAGAGAGTGTACTGGTATAGTGAATGAGTGTAGAGTTGCTTGATAACAAACGAAAGAACAGGGAAATGAACGAAACATATATACTGAAACCACTACAGAAGGCTTTTGGTATACAAGACCTTTCGAGGATCTCGGCCCTCGTGGTAGATGGATCGGGTCTCACATCTTCAACGTTTGGGTTCTGTTAACGGCCGAAAGATCGGCTAGGGTGGCTGTCAAAGGTTTTTCTAGAATACTTGCCGTCTCGACTCATACAAGACTTTATGTTGATGGTTTTCTGTGTAGGTTTTGTTGTGGTTGCTAGATGTCATCAGAATCGTTCGTCATAAGCATGCAGTTCAACGACAACACTACCCAGCAAAGCATTGCCTACGACATCTCACACTGATTGTGACACAGAATCAGTAGCAGGACCCTTGATGAGAAGCGCGAGGGTTTGCCAGAATCGTGAGGCTCAAACATACTCTCGACATTTGTCAAACCAACCAAGTCCACACATCGACGCTNNATAGTATAAGACCCATACCAAGCATACCAGGCCTTCCCTTATNCTCGCACTGTCAAGCGCAATCAGGATTAAGTATGTGATCAAACCGTTTTCCAAANNAGGACGAGCGAGGACGAGACCGTTGTGTGGCTTGACTCCAAGCGCTATTAATTGTCTTAGATGCTTACTCGAGNNCATCCGAATGGAGCCGGATGCACTGTTTTCTCTCGAAAACTCTGGTAGAAAAGGGTTGCTAGGGCTTGGTGGTTGATCGAGACCGAGTATATGGCTTTTGGTATATGAATCAGGGGAGTTTGCTAAATGTGGTGGAGGCTTGTTCGGGATATTGGCCGACGTGACTCGATCGACAAATGAGAGGCTGTAGAAGGACGTGCTATTCTTGCCTATGTTCGATAGAGTTCTGCGATTTGTTCCACTGCGCCTCAGTATGTGTGTTACTCGAAGTAGAGCCTCCTGCCGAGAGATGTGTGAAGAAGATGGTGTTAAGAGGAGAGTCCAGGTGGCTGGGTAATGTCACGGAGTGTTTTGCCCGAGCTCCGGTTGGTTGGCAGCATTCTTTGCGGCCAAGGTTTCTTGGTTGTAAAGTGTCACCCTGCTCCTACGCTCCTCGCACCATATCACGGCCAAATATACCTCTACTGATAAATTTGCCATGTCTTAAGAAACATTGAACTGCCTATCGTATAGATTCATAATTGGTCTGCTATAAAAATACTGCATTCGAGCTTTGATGTTGCTGTGACTCTTTTGTCTAGGATCAACATCATCTTGCGTGGGTTGTAGTGGCTTTTCTGGCGAACTAATGCTCAAAATCGTAGATCTCGACTAATTCCACACTGCGACATCTGAACATTATATAGCTGCCAAAGATGTATCTTCATACCACTTCTCTTCGATACGTATGGATACGAGATTATAAAACATCAAGCGTGGCCCGTAATACCGTGTTGAAGCCATTGAAGTTGTGAAAATATATGCGTGAGGTACGACCCTGTCAATTGTCGATCCGCTTCGGATCCAACGCCGAAGGATTTGTTGACATTCCACAACCAACAACAAAGTCAGCGACACACGATATAAGGATAAACGATGATTTCATTTCAATTTGACGAGATACATGACTAATACTTATGGCAGCGGAGTGACAATGAACCCGAAGAAAAGAAAAAAGGAAAAAAGAAGCAAAAGAGCAAGAAGATTTGGCTATGCCCAATCCATCACTGCTTCCCCCATGCAAGACTATCCACCAAAGTTTCCTTTTCCAACATTGTCATGTTTTGATCAGACTACTAATCTAACAGGAGAGCACGCAGCTAGCAGGAGAGGCGGCAGTGTTGCAAGTCAAGATCGAGCCCACCACAACGGCACCAGCCCTCTGGTTAGAGAAGTTGACGGCAATCTGTGTGCTACCATCGTTCGATCCTTGGATACCGATGTTTGCGCTGGCGGACCCTTGGTCCTGGCCAACTTCGTAGTATCTGTAGACAAAAACGCCAGGGTTGGTGCTGTCATAACTGACAGTGAAGTGGTAAGTCTCATATGTGCCGCCACGACCGAGGCGATACTCGTACGTCACAGCGGTGGCTGAGACGTTATAGAAGATACCCATGTCGAGGTCATCTCCGTTCTTGATCAGGTCATCGAAGAAGGGTGCTGCGGCGTACAAGGGGATGTAAGGGTTAGGGAGGCCGCGTCCGTTGTCATAGCTAGCGGTGCTCTCGATCAAAGTCAGGAGCNNTAGAGTCAAATGGTCAGTAAGTTTGTAAACAAAATAGATCAGGCAACAACATACGCCATTAGTGGTGGCCCAAGTTACGTTCGAGGAGCCTCCATAGATCTTCATTGCGAAGGGAAGGTCGATTTCACAGTACGAATCGTCTTCTTCGGTGTCAATCGGGTCACCAAAGTCACAACGTGTTGGGCTGGCAAGCAGACCGTTGTAAGTCGATGTTGAGCCATCAGGGTTGACGACTGTAGGACTGCCGCTACCAGAGGGAAGAGGAGGGGCAGAACATGCAGGCGAAGACGAAGCAGCAGCGGCACTACTGCTACTTCCGGCTCCCGCTCCAGAGCCAGAGCCAGTTCCACTTGAGGCAGCAGCTACAGGACTCGTAGCCGCGGCCGTGGTAGCACTACTGGTAGATGCAGAGCCAGAAGGACTAGCTAGTCCGTATCTGATACCACCCACATAATCTGCAGGACCTGGAGCGAACGCAAGGCCTCCAGAGCCAGGTTCCTTGAGATAACAATTTTGAAGATATCCAATATAGGTGAAACCACCACAGCCAGAAGTAGCGTCGCATTTCAGCATACAACCATTGAAATCGTTCACAGAACCAGCCAATGTACCGCCAAGTGTGGTGTCTGAGCCACACATGATGAGGTAGCTGGCGCCGTTGGGATCAATGACTGTTTCGTTGTTGTTTGCCGGGCAGGAATAGCTAGCCTGCGATACAGTAGCCCCCGGAGGGCTCCCGCACTGATAGTTGTAGAGACGNGTGGATGAGGCACTGCCAGCCACACCACTCCTGATACCAGCAATATGGTCCGAAGTACTTGATACGAACTGGAGCCGTCCATTGCCAGGCGACTTGAGATAGCAGTTTCCGTTTGTAGCACCAACGTAAACGAAACCACCACAGCCGGCAGTACTGTCACACCTCGTCATACAGCCATTGAAATCTGGTGTAGAGCCAGAGTTGACCCCACCNAGCGTTGTGTCCGCACTGCACCTGATCTGGTAGGTTGCACCGGTGGCATCGACGACTGTCTGGTTGTCGACTGATGGACAGGAGTAACTGGTCTGCGATATGACAGCAGATGGTGCAGAGGAAATCGAGCTAGCTGATGTGGCGACCGGAGCAGATTGGGAAGAAGAGGTGACTTCAGCAGAAGATGCAACAGAAGAGCTGCTCGGGGCTGAAACACTTGGAGAAGTACTCGAGGCAGCACGTGAAGATGAGCCTTGTCCTCCTATTCCTATGGACACGATTGGAGCAATTGAAGCCGAACGGGAAGAGGAAGAGAGAGAGGAAGACATGGCAACCGATGATGATCCTGCGCTCAAAACCGAGGAGAGGGATTGAGTAGCAGAGGAAATAGAGCTGAACAGCAGACGAAGCAGGTTGGCTAACAGAGGCAGACGAAGCAGGTCCGCTACCAGAAGAGACTGCCAGAGCACTGGAAGATGATGACAAGACTGCAGAAGAACCCATTGAGGTNNGCTTGAAGAGGTACTTCCAATACTGCCAGGACGAGCTGGTACATTTCTGATACCAGATACTGTGCCTTGTGTGGCAGAAGGCTGGAACGTGGTGCCAGCAGAAGAGGTACCGGTTTGTACGTAACAGCTGTCAACACCGTCGAACGTCCATGCCGTACAGCCATCAGTCTGATCGCAGAGAGTAATGCAGCCGTTGAAGTCCGTAGCGGAACCAGCACGTTGGGTGGCACCTCCACCAGACAAAGCGTCGTTGCAACCGAGTTGATACATGCCTCCCATGTTGGATTGAACCATCTCTCCGTTGTTGACCGGGCACGAATACGTGGTTTGAGGAAGCATACTACTTGTGGATGTGGCAGAGCTGGCAGTGCTAGAACTTGGGACAACAACAGGGCCGATTTCGCTGATGGAAGCCGAACTACTGAGGGAAGCAGAGTCGCCACCACCAGCAGCGGAACTAGCTCCTCCGAGAGGAAGGGAAGATACGCCTGCGGCCATCGATGAGGATGATGCCATTGATCCCATCATAGAAGGAGCAGACATAACATCCGAAGACGTGCCGGGGCCCATTGCGGAAGACATCGAGCCCATCGAGGACACAGAAGAGGCTGCGGATGCCATGGAAGAGAGCTGTGATGACAACTTCGATGCAATCGAGGATCCGACGGGCGCTGCAGACGAGCCAGAGGCCGAAGCAACTTGAGAGCTTCCACCGTTGGGCAAGAGGCCTGACACAGTACTCAGAGGAGCACCCGAAGCGCCAGAGGAAGCTGAAGACGAGACTACTCCAGAGCCATTGTTCACCAAGGGCTCGACGTAGNNAAGTATAACTGGACTCCAGCTTCTCTGTGCCTCCATAGGGCCAAGGAATTTGGCAAGGATCAAAGCATTTTCGAGCAGACCTGGAGGCAGCTTGTAAAACTGTGCTGTGCCATTGGTGAACAGGGGGTTGGTCCAGTTCAGCATTCTGTTGTTCACAGAGAAGGTGGTATTGATAGGCAGTTCGTAGTCAGTAACGCCGAATGCTTGATCGACGACGTTGAAGTTAGTCGCGACATGACTGCCGTTCAGAGTGGCAAGTCGGCCTTGGTTGATGATGTAAACTGCTGCCAGTGACGAATTGGTAGTGGTATTTCCATTAGCAGTAAGCCAGTACGGAGCGGTATCCTGGTCTGGGTAACCAGAGATATCAACCTGCTGCAATCTAACCACAAACGGTGCACCGCCATTGGCCGCGGCATCAGTCCATGGTGTAGGCTGAACAGTCACAGTTGACTGAATAACTGTGGTGGACGTGCCAGATGTGTAGGTTGCGCTGCAGGCACTGACATGAGTTGTGAGAGTGATCGTCTGAGCGCTACATGTCTGCGAGAAGAAGGAGAACGCAGAAGCAATCGAGAGAAATCGACGAGGTATCATCTTTGTGTCTGCCTCTGGAGGCCGGATAGCGAGATGGGAGTGTGTATCAGCAAGAAAAACGAATGTGGTATCTCATCCAGCTCACGAGTTGAAAGGAACGACTGAGATAAAGGAGGAGAGCGATCCGCGCGGAAGACATGGTGCACGCGATTGATCAACTAGGGTTGAGGAATGAAAAACATACCTATAGTTTGATGGGCCAAGATGGGGAGGAATGCGCAACCATCCCTCCCTGCATAGCAATTTGACTCGACCGAAGATCGCGTCACTCACATGCCACAAAGCATGCTTGATTGAGATTATACCAGCACAATGGCTAGGAAAATATCTAGAATGGGACATTTGCTCATAGATGAGTGGTCAGTTGTGAGGCGTACAAAGACCAGACATGACTCATATATTGAACAGCAAGAGTGGACAAGACCTCCTAGTAACTGACATCTTTGGTGTATTTGCGCATAGCGAGAAGTAACACAGGGCTGCAAGATGGGGTCGCATCGTCTCAATAAGGAAATGAAGCCATGTTGTTCGAAGGCCTACTCAATGTAAGACAGACTGAAATATGAAATAGAACACAGACGCGTACGTCCTAATACTAGAAACAATTAAAAGCCGATCCAAGATGTCCGCCAACGTGCTGCAGCGGAACCTTTATTCTGAACCATCAAAATCACAGACCAGCAATGCATGATGAAATCGCTTTTGAGCATTTACAGAAGAAGGGCAGCAGCGCCAGAGAAGACGGCAATGAAGGCAGAGACTCCAAGGGTGTAAGGACCGACTTGGACGGACTGAACAGAAAGAGCAGCGCCTGCACCCTTGGAGCCAGAGCTGGAGCCAGAAGACTTTGAGCCAGAGCCACCGGTGGCAGCGGCGCCAGAACCAGTAGTAGGAGAAGCTGTAACGCTACCAGTTCCTGCGGTTCCTGCCTGGGCCATGAGCGATGAGCAAGCTCCAGTAGGCTTGGCTCCAGACTTGAGGGTGGCAGATCCGCTGAAGCCGCAAGCGCTGGCACGCTGAGCGGAAGGCTGGGCAGAGTAGTACTGGTCGAGGACGAAACCAAGCTGTTCAGTGGAGTTGCACATGCTGTAAGCACCGTAGGAACCAGAGGTGGCATTCNNTGCGATCATGTTAGTGATATTCTTGTGGAAGGAGATCTTGGAACAACTTACGTGTTGAATACCGGCGCAGGCACTGGCGTCAGCACCGCAGACATAGCCAAACATATCGCCATAGGCCTCTTCGCTGACCGAAGACTTGACAGAGCAGCTCAGAGAGTTGAACATGCACTGGCACAGCTCACGGTTGGGTGAAGGAGGAAGGGGANNGCTGGCGACGGCGGCCCAGGCGGTACCAAGAGCTGGGCAAGAGGCAACAGTGTTGCTGGGAGAGTACGAAGCGCTGTTGACACCAGTGGGAGACACGGTTGCCATGGCCTTGGACAGGTTTGAGTAATCTCCCAGGGTGCTGACCTTGTTGTTGGTGACGGAAACGAGACCGTACTCGTTCTCGGTCTCGAAGTACATGTAGACGATACCACCAGACCAGACCTCAGTCATGTTATCGCCGTAGAGAGCGCTCACTTCGCCCCAGGTTCTAGGACGGTGGGTGTTGCAACCGTATTCAGCANNCTGAAAAGGTTAGTAATGGTCCTTCAAGCGATGGGAGGGAGAAACTCACAAGAAGACGGGGACGTTGTAGGTTGAGAACTCCTCAGTGCGGGCGGCATAACCAGATGTTTGGTAGGTCGAAGGGTCACACCAAGAGTAGACGTTGTAGCCCCAGAAGTCAATGTTGAGAGAGGTGTCGGAGCTGCAGTCGAAGTAGTCGGCCATGTTGACACGAATATCAGAGTCGTCAGAAGTGGCGTAACCGACACCGAGTGATCTGTAGCCCTTGGACGAGATGTATCTCTTGGTGTCACGAACGGCGGCCTTGACGAAAGCGCTGGCCTGGGTGGTGTTCTTAGAGTTGGAGACCTCGTTACCGGCAAAGAAACCGAGGGTGTTGGAGTAGCCAGCAAGAGCGTCAACAACCGAGGTGTAGCGCTGGTACAGGTCGTCATTCCAGGCAGGATCATTGCGGTTGATGGACTCGTCGGGGGCGGAAAGGTCAGACACGACGTAGATGCCAGCATCTGCGAGCATGTTCATGCAGTCGTCGTGGTTCTTGGTGGGGTCAATAGCGTAAACACGGATGGTGTTGGTGCGCAGAGCAGTGAGGTAGGGAATATCACGCGAGCAGACGGATGCATCGGCCAAAGGGTCGGTGTAGGAAGAGTCGGTGCTGTTCTGGACGTCCTCCTGGTATGCGACACCGCGCATGAAGAATTGGGTGCCGTTGGTCTTGTAGAAGAACTTGGAGCCCTTGATGACAATGGGGTCGACATCAGCAGCGACCTTGGAGACGAGCATGCTCGCAGCCGCGATGGCTGTAGCAACACCGAAGCCCTTCATGATGGTGATGTGGATGCTTGTTTAGTTGTGAATCGAGTGAAATGCCTCCTGTGATAGGTGATCAGGGGCTTAGGAAGGCGCGAGACGCAGGAATGAAAAAAGCTTCGAACGAGCGGTTTAAGGAGATTGAAAAGATGAGCAATGAGTGAACGAAGGTCGATAAAAGGTAAGTCGTCACAAGAGTGGAAATACCCAAGATGCACAAGGAAAAAGGTGGGCAAACAAGAAGGGTTGCTGTCCGGGAGAGTTGCGCACCGTGGCGACAGACAAGCGCCTTACATAAGGCAAGAACGTGTTTGGCACTGGCCGCGCAAGCCCACCTCCTGGCCCATCTGATCTTCATCTCCCCGAGGAGCTACTTCGCCACAACGATACGAGCCCGCACGAATGTCTGAAATATTGAATGCCCTATTGTTCTATTTCCTAGTCCCCTGCCCAGCGCTTGGCCATCTCTGCGCAAGAGCTTTCCATTGCTTCTGCTGCTTCGTCTGGAGCTCTCGTCTCTATTGTATGTGCTGTCGCTCAAGCCCGCAATTTCGAACCGTGCCTGCAATGTCCACTCCCGTCGACCACGGGGAGTCGTCAAACGAATGCATGCATAGGTGGCGCAACAGCACTCTCGACTCGACAGCAGCCTTCCTCCTTGTTCCCGCCGCAACATCCTCTGCAAAACTCCATTCCGAGCAGCCGGGCCAAGCTTCGTGTGCCTCAACGGCTGCTGCGTATCACCTCTTAGCACGGTCAACAAGATGCCGAAACTGTAAACAGTCGCCTTTGCCCTGCTGACTTTTCATGATGAAGATGCTGTCTTTTGTGACTGAACCTGTGTTCCTCCGAGGACATCAACCTTCATCTTCTCGAACAGCTTCTCAACGTTTGTGTCATTGTACCCGTAGGACATTCCATGTCGTCACGATCAATGGGGATTCACAGATAATTTGTAGACGTTGGAGGAGACATGCTCAGAAGTAACAACTCCGTAGCTGGACCTGTACAGCAGCCGGACTTCCAGGAACACCCATGTCTGCTCGCGCATGCATCTTGTCTTATCTCAGAGACATCCATATCACGTCCATCCAGTCTTTGCTACGTCAGTCTTTGTGCGCCTAGCTGGGCCCTACCAATGCAATTCTACTCATGACTTATGTCATGTTTTGGAATGCGTTTCATGATTTAGGATGACGATGGAGGAAATTGCGAATAATCAATCAATACATAGGTCACGGCACCGAGCATTTTCTATCCGAGACTCTGACCCTAAACAGCACTGCCATTGATATCGCAGACTCCTTCTGGAATGATTTCGATAAGGCATCAAATTATTGTATGCTCAGAGTCGTGGTATGTATCCGAAAATAGCACACAAAGGTACAAACACTGCCGTACCCGTGTATGTAAATTCGTTACGAGGTGCGAACACGCGGCGAGAGCACAGCTCGTGGCCAATCGATTGTGTGGTAGACGCGGAACATTTGTTCGATCTGCTTGGAGCAGAGTCCTCAGCTTTAAGCACTTTTGATGTAGGATGGAGCCTCTCAACATGATACGAAAATTGAATGACGAGGTCGAGTGCAAGCCACCGGTGCCACAGTCAAAGTACCATCCAAGCATGTCACAACGAGCAGCGAACCGTTCTACAAAGCAGAGGTATGAGGTGTGAGGCGCATCTCATGACAAAGCCGAAAATAGCACTGGCAAGTTAGCAAGCATCCAGAAATTCGTCTCCTCGAGTAGTGCTGGCGATCGCGTTAAAATGTCTGTTATCTTGCTGACAGCCGCCAATAAATCAACCATCCAGTCGGTCGGGGCGGCACAAAACAAGAAGAGCAAGCAGCACAGGGCTGTGCAAGAGATGCGGTTCGGTGCTTTGAGAGTGATCGTCAGGCTTGATTTGTCTTGATGTCAAGTCGTGGCCTGCTCAAGACGGTGAGATGGAAGTGCCCATGGACCATGGTTCTCTAGCGATAATCGACGATGGACGGTCCGCAGCGGAAATGATTTCAGAGGGCCAGTCTGGCAGAGTCTCAGGAATGGCAGGACGCATGTTTGAAGTGAGGCGCTAGAGGGCGAAGCGATGAGCGAATGGGAGGCCGGTGTGCGGGACTGAGGCGCGAGATGAAAGTTGGCTGGGGCGTGATAGCGCGACTCGTCCTGCCGCGAATGCTGGAGCTAGAGTTGAGAAGTGGTCTGAGCGCTGTTTTGGATCAAGGAGAGACGTGTGTTCCTGCTGGGTGCTCGCTGCCCGGGATCCGGCCGGGAGGTGCATTCTGCTGGGGCTTTCTTGAATCTTGGTGCTCTGTTGGTGCTCTGTCGAATCGCGTTGGTGCGGCCTTTCGCCTCCAAGCCGTTGAAACAGCAGACTGCGATCAACCGAAAGCACCCCCTTTCCCGCCCCTGCCTCGTGCGCGCGCCTTCTGTTCCAGCGTCTTTTTGCTTCCGTGCAAACACACATTCGTTCTCTTTTGTGTTCCTCTCCCGGCTGCACATCTGTCTCCCTTTCCTCCTCCACCGCCGTCGCCTCATCCAAGGTGTCGGATTGAATAA